CCCAAAATAAGTTTGTTTCGATAGAGGCAGAATAATAAGAAAATCAGGTGAGTGAAAGTTTGAGCAAATTCTGAATGAAAATAAGAAAGTTATGAATTATTGAAGTTGTGATCAATCAAATACAAATTGGCAACTCTGTGACTTATTATACGAGCTCTCCTTCATTTGCTTTGTGCATAATATTCCATAAAATCATGTTTTCTTCGTTTTTGATGACGGAATATATATTTGTTCCTTGCAGGGGGAGTATAGAAACATATATTTGCAGTTATTATATTTAGGGTGCATGTATGGTTGAAATTTTTCTTGAGGGAAAATGAAAATTTTAGATTTTTTTAGTACTGAGCAAATGGAAGTTGAGCTCGCACGGCATGATATGTCATAGAGTTGCCAATTTGTGTTTGATTGATCACAACTTCAAAAATCCTAACTTCCTTATTTTTAATCGGAATTTGCTCAAACTTTCACTGACTTGTTTCTCTCATTTTTCTACTCCTATTAAAACTAACTTAATTTCAGGGTGGACTTCCCCTTTAACCCTTTCTGTGCCATCAAATGTATGAATATTGTGTGTTGGGTGCCAGAAGAACAGTTACTCATATCAGTGCTGGATGATATGAGTTAAAGGCGTTCTGACTCTGAATAGACAATAAATCGTCGCTGTTTTCACGAAGTGACGGTAGTGAAAAAAATTGCATTCACTTTGCGTTACGATTTTCCTCACTACCGTCACTTCGTGAAAACAAGGACGAAATGAACTTGCAAGAGACAAATCAATTATTTAACATCTTTGTTATATCCTTCAGTTCTTCCATGCCATGAGTGCAGTAAAATAACCCCTCTCAGGAGTTTTAATGTTTTCTCCTTGAATTTAGACTGAATAAAGCTGTTTATTTCTTTCTGAAATGGAAAACAGGTGCATACATTTAGATTGTAATTCCCATGTGACTTATGTAAAGCTATGTTTGACTTCAGTTATGAAAGCTGTTCAACCTAGTAACTTTGACGACACAGTATGTTTCCCTGAAGAGGAGGAGGAGGAAGGATAGAAGAAGAAGAAAAAGATAACAGAAGAATGAGAAGGAGGAGAAGAAGAATGAGATGAAGAAGAAGATGATAACAGAAGAATGAGAAGGAGGAGGAGAAGAAGGAGGAGGAGGAGGAGGAGGAGGAGGAGGAGGAGGAGGAGGAGGAGGAGGAGGAGGAGGAGGAGGAGGAGGAGGAGGAGGAGGAGGAGGAGGAGGAGGAGAAGAAGAAGAAGAAGAAGAAGAAGAAGAAGAAGAAGAAGAAGGAGAAGAAGAAGAAGAAGAAAAAGAAGAAGAAGAAGAAGAAGAAGAAGAAAGTTTCACTTGTTTCATATCTACTGAAGATGCTAAATCACCATGTTTACTTAACCATCTGATGATAGTGAGGGTGCTTTTTTGTGGTATAATCAATTCATCTTTTGAGAGCCTTAGGGCTGTTAACTCTGTGTTAACATGAATGTATATGAATAAAGATAGCCGGGCTCTAAACATACAAAATAAGCAATGTAAATCTCTGTATATTTCAATGAAGGGTGAGTTAGGAAGAGGTATTGAAATGTATAATGGATAATAGAATGGAGGGAAAGGATGAGAATAGCATTGCCTCACCAAGGAGTCACCAGTCTACATACAATGTAGATGTATACATGTATGTACCCTGGAGGTGCCATACGTGTTAGCACTATTGGTAGCAGATTGCATTTGTCACCTGTGTAAACAAGCACATTGCTGTGGAAGTTAAGTAATGTCACCACAGTCTTTTCAACTTAACCACTTTGTCCTGCGGAGTAGATATAGCAATAGACTTCATGTGGCTAAGTGTATATTATACATGCTGCCTTAGAGCCATAAAGGCATTAAGCTTTGTGTTATTATTTTAAGGGTTGTGAGTTAATGCCATTTAGCTCGATCTCAGCAGATGATAGTGTGTTTGTTCACAATAGCATTCTCTTATCCCTTTGTGTCTGTATTAGCTTTATTCAGTTATTTGAGGCACAAAGTCGAACTGGATTCAGCTTTATTGAGTACAAGTAGAATCAATTTTATTTGAGCCAAAGCTCAAAGAGAATTGAATCATTCAGACTAATAACCCCATATTGACTCCACTCAACTTGATTTCGGGACTTTTGACTCTTGTGGAATTATCTTGAGTCTGGACTTCAGTGTTGCCTCAGGCACTTGTCCAAGTCGATGACAATGATTTCAGTACTTCTAATAAGTTAAATTAAAGATTAACTTCATGTAAGTTAGTGTTAGCAGACTCAATTTAGTTTGAGACCCATCCCCATGTTGATTCAACCTGACTCAGGACTCAACTCCTTTGAAATAATTGTGAGTGTATAGTTTTGGGGCTCATATTGTACAACAATGTCAGGGTTTTAACGACTCCATTGTCTTAGCATCTTTTAGCAGACTCAACTGGTCTTGAGTGAGAGCTAGAAGAGAATCAACTTAGAGTTTGAGACTCAACCTCCTTAACTCAGAACTTGACTCCTGCTCTATTTAATGCAAGATTGTTTTAATGACTGACCCCACGGAAGACCAGCTTTCCCATGTCGGGTTAGCTGAATGTGGGCTATCCATCGTATTTTATGCATTTTTACTATGTTTTTTATACGAAAATAAATACTACTACTACTACTACTACTAGAATACTCAAGTTGTGACTCAATGCTAGGAGAGACTCAACTCAACGTGGAACTTGCTTACACTACTAATTTGATCTAAATTAATCACAATGTATTTTTCACTGTTTATCTTATGGTTTTACCGTAAGATGCTTGCCAATCAATCTATGGCACGGAATCCAAGAACTTAGTCTCTCCCTTTAATCCTTGTGGAGGAGTGTTGCGTTTCGCCACAAGAGGTCTCACTTTATCAAGTGGGTGTAAGATACACTCACCGGTATTGCAATGCATATGTCCTAGATGGTGGTGATATACACTCCTGATAATTCCTCCTCCTGAATCACAGAGTCTTCTGCCAAATCTTCTGACATATGATGAAAATAACTGTTTGGGAAAAATTGTTGTTCTTCGTACCCCAGTTCTACTGACAAAACCAACACAAGACGAACAACAGAGTGATGAAATAGATTGCATTCCCATGAATGACCCACAATCCGTTGGTTCGTAGTTCGTAGTTATTACACTTGCTTCATTATATTTTTTTACATACAGTGATTTACTGCATCATATCAGAGCGAGGTTTGAGCATTCATTTTATCTCTTGTAATGCCCTATTGGCTATCAGCTGATGATTGAATGCATACTAAATAACAATTTTTCAGGGGGGGGGGGTCGGTAGGGGTAAGAGTTAACTTCAATGCACTTGAAATTCTTTGCTTCTTAGACTGAATATTACATCTATTGTGTATTTGATAGTTCAAATCTGGTTGTTGGGTGCTGACTTGAGATTGATTTTCACCCATCTGTGTCATCACATTTCAATTAACAAACTATATTTGCAGCATAATTAATTGAATCTCCTTATGGTAGTGAGACTGAAAAATCCATATTTGTGTCTTCTTGTCTCAATCTGAATCGTGTGAGGGCAATTTGCTTGTCATAATTGAGAACGGGAGTGAAATATATATGAGTTGAGAGAAGTTATGAAATGGAGGTTGTGACAGGATAGGGAAGGAAGACAGAAATGTTGGGAAATGTTTAACCCTCACAAGCTCAGAGGAAAGAGAGAGAGAGAGAGAAAGAGAGATGGAGAGAGAGAGAGAGCGAGAGAGAGAGAGAGTAAAAGAAGAGAGAGAGAGAGAGAGAGATTAGACTCTGAGATTTGTCTAGCTCCCATATGATTTAAGATTTTATTTGAGTTTTTATTTGATGTAAGATGACATAGAGAGGTAGAAATATATGCCCCCCCCCCCAAAAAAAAAAAAATGATTAGGAAGTAGGATGGGGGCAGAGAAAGAAATAGTGTAATGTAATGTAAGGTTAGATTTATGACAAAAAATTAACATAAGGATTACAATTACATTGTGCATATGATAGAGAAGGATAACAAAATTGAAATATATAGAGACAAAGAAAGGAAGACATTTGAATGACTATAAGTAGAGAGAGGCTAGATATAAGTTGACACAATTCAAACTCATTTCATGTGAGTGTTGTAAATGGGATCGAATTCTCATTCACTTTTCAGCTCCATCTTAGAAGAAAAGCCTGTAATACAATAGGTTATTCCTATGAAGAAGAAAAAACAGTGAAAATCGTACTCTATCTCTGAATTTGAACCTCTCAAGAAACTGTCAGATTCATTCATGCTACTGTAACCCACTTCAGGGATTCAAGGACAACTTTCATTAGCTATCATGCTAGTATAAGAGAGAGGTACGTAGGAAAGATCATGAGCTGCGTTGGTGTGATATATACAAGAAATGTTGCAAAGGCAAGATCTATCTCATTTCGCAGTATCAAAGATCCAAATCAGCATTTGATTGGGAACGGGTTTGGTTCAAACAAAAACAGGTTGTTGTCCATCTTTAACTCTATCACTCTCTCTCTCTCTCTCTATTTTTTTCTTTCTCCTTTTCTGTCTTTATCCCTCTCTCTCTCTCTCTCTCTCTCTTTGTCTCTCTTTCTTCATTTTCTCTTTTTCTTTCTATTTTTGTTTTGCCTTTTATACATTTATCCCCCCCCCCCCCCCCCATTTTCACTCGCTTTCTCCCTCTCTCTCTCTCTCTCTCTCTCTCTCTCTTTTTCTCTCTCTATTTTTCTTTCTCTTTTTCTGTCTTTTCTCTCTCTCTCTTTGCATCTCTTTCTCTATTTTTTTCTTTTTCTCTCATCTATTTGTGTTTTACCTTGTATGTATTTCTCCTCCCTCCCTTCTCTCTCTCTCTCTCTCTCTCTGTCTCTCTCTATCTCTTTTTGTCTCTTACTCTCTTGCCTTATACTTCCTATTGCATTATAGGACATTTAAGAAGCCCCCTCCCCCTGACTTTGGTTTGAGAATTCTTGGAGAATGGGTGAGGTAAGAGAGTAAAGAATAAATACAGGGCCAGATGACTAACGGGGAGGGGGGGGGGGGGGGGGGGGGGGGGGGGGGGGGGGGGAAGGGGGAGGGGTGCATGGGACTGTTGATGATTTAACATCCATAGGAGAACTTGTTTTGCTGTTCCTGAAATGTCTTTTTGGATATAGAAATTTGATCTCTCTCTTCTTGCTCAGTTTTACAGAAGTCATTCGATTCTGTAGGTCAATTCCCTTAATGGCCTCCTCATTTACCTTCAAATGGAGTCAAATGGAATGATCTTGAAATGCAAATGCAATTTGCAGGTTACTGTGAAAGATCAATTTGGTGACCTTGATTGTGTCATTGAGTTTGATTGGTAATCTGGAAAAGCTTTCTCTGGAATTGAAGATGGGAAATGGCAAAGATTGATCGATCTGCAAGAAATCTGGATAGGGTAAAGTCTAAAGTTAGTCTTGAGTTCTGGTTATGAAACCGCTTAAGGTGAGAAACTATCCGAAAGTGGTTCTAAATTGTTTATCATGCAGTAAATGGAATATTTGGACCATCAATGTACGAGCAAAATTGTTATTAAGAACAAGCTGAATATTGTATGAACTGGAAAACAATCCCAACACAGTTGGTAAGAGCATGAATGACCCATATTTTGTGGTTGCAACAATCACGTTCTCATGATTTGAGTACTTTTGTAGAGCATGCTATCTGATCTATGGAGTGTTGGGTTTCGTGACCAAACATTTTGTTGAAATACCTTTATAAAACATCGAGATGATGAAGACGCGCCTAGTGATTGTATTTGAAGCAGATGTTAACAAATAAATGAACATGGTCACAGAGAAGAGACAAATTTCCATTTGAAAAAAACGAAGTGTCAACCCTACTCTTCCTAGATTAGAAGGCCTGTTTCTACAAAAGTGTTCAAAAACGATTTATATTTTTCAATCAGTTGTGTGTATGTTGGACAGAGTGCTTTGAGATATCTACAAATCTGCCTGCATTTATGGAACTCAAAGACCTGTAAGACCTGTAATTGTCCATGTAACACATGCACCTGTAGCTACCATCCCACATGTAAATAGCATTTTCACTTGAGCTGTCTCTGCCACTATGAGCATCTAATCTAGCATGGTGAAACTCGCTATTTGTGTGTGAAAGCTTTCAAATGGAAAACAAGATTCAATAAAATTGTAAATGAAGTGCATGCTATTGGCAATAAAATGAATGTGATAGCGGTCATTCTAACAAGATACACTCTGGTACATTTCTATGACATCTTAGATTCTCAAGTTGAAACCGTAATATGTAAGAAACATTATATTTTATATTTTGTGTAGGGGATGATACTCCAGCACACAAAGATTTGATATATCCCTGGTTTATGATAAAGCCCCAATAGGACATGCATCTAGAACCTGTAAGCGCAATGGCTCGGTGGTGGAGCAGTGGTCTTGTAACCAGAAGTCTGCTTCTCTGATGTCTTTTTGCTTTCTTTTATAATTTGTTGCTATTGAGATTGGATTTCCCTTTAAGAAAAATGGAAGGTATGATAAATGAGACATCGATGCGGTACAGAAATTGACAGTTCTCTTTCAATGTATTTTCATATATCAATTTACTTGTATGTTTGTTTGTTAGTGAGCCTGAATTAGTTGTACATTCCTCTCATTGTTAATTAAATTTTCCTCTCTCTCTCTACCTCTCACTCTCTCTTACAGGACAAACTCTTCTATGAGCAGTTGAGGCACTATGTATTCCAGCATGACCTACTGGTTGATAACCTCTACTACAAGGTAATAATAAACAAACAAATACATGATTTTTTGAAAAGTTATACCTATACTAAAGTTATACTAATACTAAACAAGAGGTTGGGGGCACATTTCTTGAAAATTGGTATTACAAAGGGGGACGGTTAAGTTAAAATTTGCTTGCTAACTTATTTATAGCGAAGAAAGCACCCAGAATATGGTCCATTGACTTGAACTTCCCAGAAGAAAGACAACCCTTGAGCCCAACAGCCCTTGCTCATAAAACAAACAGACCACTAAACTAACAATAAAAGTCTTGAGAGCCCTCTGAAATTTGTCAGAACGGGACTTTAGCCCTATTGACACCCCTCCTCTCTGACCCTGTCTTTCTCTCTGACCCTGTCTTTCTCTCTGACCCTGTCTTTCTCTCTGACCTTGTCTTTCTTTCTGATCTTCTCTTTCTCTTTCTCTCTGACCTTGTCTTCCTCCCTGACCTTGTCTTCCTCTCTGACCTTGCCTTCCTCTCTGACCTTGCCTTCCTCTCTGACCTTCTCTTTCTCTCTGAACTTGTCTTCCTCTTTGACCGTGTCTTTCTCTCTGACCTTGCACAGGATGTGAAGCTGACAGCAACCAATGATGATCAGTACTTTGTCTTTGAAGACTTCCTCTATCAGGTTCTCCTCATCTTCTCGAGGGACACCAGTGTCCTGAAGCACTTCGGAAAGAGCTCTGCAACACCGGCAAAGTCATACATTAGAGGTAATTATTATTGTTGTAAATATAGAATCAAATTGGCAATATCTATTAGCTTTCAGCTCTGTAACATCCACAAATTCATACAATGTACATTGAAGGTATTCTGTAGTGGAGCTTTTTTTTCCCCCTTCAAATTGGCCATGTTAATTATCACTTAAACACAGGCAATATATTAATTTGCTCTAGATTATCAGCAAAGTCATCCATTAGAGGTAATCACTATTGATGTAAAGTAAATCACGTTTATCATATTAGCCATATTAATTAGCTCTTTATAGCTCCATGATCACATCATCTACATAGACCTTTAGATTAGTTGGCATTATTGGTACACTGTCACTCATGAAGGTGGAATATTTTTTTTTTTTTATCCCAATTTATGGAATTTTTTTAAAAATAATTTAAAAATAATAGGTCTAGATAATAGTATACATTCTCAGATTTTATTGAACAATGATTTGCCAATTTGTGCTTTGCGTGACTGCTAAAGCATATGTATGCTACTATGCTTATCAACTAGGGGACCTATGCCCTTAAGTCATAAATGACAGTAATGAGGATTAATGCCCCACAAAAGGGCACTAATATAGCACATCGACACGGTTTTGATCCTGGGGCCTCACGGTTACGAGGCCATTGCTTTGTCACTGAACCATGACTGTACACAGCGGGGGCTAGGGTAGGGGGCAGTTTCCATAAATAAAATAAAAAAACAGAAAATGCAATAAATTTTCAATAATTTATTGCATTTTACCCCGGTTCCCAACATAAAAAATCTTCTGTGTGCCCATGCCTTGAGCCATAATGTATGGCCGTCTATTATCTAGATCTATTATTTTTAAATAATTTGTAAAATAAATCCATAAATTGGGGTAAAACTAAAATATTCCACCTTTATGAGCGACAGTGTAGTAAGAAAATGTGTTTATCAAACCACGGCAATATTAATCTGCTCTGTAACCTCAAATAAATCATATACCAGTTGCAACCTTTACTTGTTTACCATGAGTGGGAAGAAGTTGTCCAATTAGCAAATTATTTAGTTTTTTTTTTAAAGCATGGTTTACATTATACATGTTGAAGCCAACTTGTAGTCGATCTGAATTAGTTTGTTCTAAGTGGTACATATTGGGCATTGTTTAGATTGCCAATTGTATTCAGCATTGTAACACCAATAGAGTTAGAATCTCTTAGTGATGGATGTTAGTTTAACGCATGTTTATTAAGATCAGTAATTTCAAATTGGCAATGTCCATTAGCTCTTACACACCTTGTAACTCCCACTCCCAAGTCCTTCATTAGATTGTATCAGTGTTTGTGTAAATGGTTAAAAGGTGTTTTTGTCCGTATAGACCTTATCAATTAGCTTCAAAGCATCAGTAAATTACTTCATGCATTATGCTCGTCCACTGCCTGGACTGTTTCCAAGTCACGCGCCCAATCAGCTGAGAAAATAACACAGCCTCAACGCTAAAACGGAGACAGTCCTTGCCTTTCATTCTCACCCTTTGCGGTTGTATTTTTGGGGGTTTCGCAATCTGTGTGGGATGCATGTAAGGGAGAAGGACATAGAAGGACATAAAAATGGATAGAATCTGGACTAACATTATACCAAAACACGGACATGTTTTGTTGGTCTAAAACATGTGGTTTGTCAACTTTTAAAATAAATAAGAGTGAGCTTTGTATAACTCTCAAAGTCACAATCTGTGATAGTTTGATACTTGCATGTATTAATCAGTCAAACAAACTGGCAACAATGATTAACACTTTAACGTGATTAAAGTCATGCGTTAGAGGGAATCTGGCACTAATTGGTGTAAATGGTGAAGCTATACATATATATATGTCTGTCTGCATTGATAATATCAATTAGAACACAAACAAAAAAGTTATGTACATTATACTTAATCTGTGCTAATTTGAATGGTAAATTTGTTGTTTCAGTGTCAACATTGATATTATCAATTAGTCCTTTGACACTAACAACTAAGGTTTAGATGAAACAAAACCATATTTGTCACTTGAGACAAATTTGTAGAGAATATTTGTCAATATTATAAAACATGTATTCTTAAAGAGGCATGTTATTTTGACTGAAATGGGACTTAAAATGGAGAAAAAATAGTGGTACAATGGATAAAGTTGACCAAGATTTCTGGTACATAAGCAAATTGAATAAAGTGCAATACCTGTACATGTTTATGGCCTGAAACCTCTGATAGGTCAAGTTCTGATCACTTTAGAATATTCCCCTAAAAAATGGCTTTTCTAGAAATCTTTGCAATGAAATTATCATATCATACCTTGGAAGTAGTCATAAAGTTATACAAAACTTATTCGCCCCTCGGTGTTGGCTAGTAGGTTACTCTTAAATTTGGCACTCTGCAGTTACAGAAGAACATGGACAGCTGAATAATTCATCAGGATTAAACTTGTCTTTTTTCAGTGACCAGTACATATCGAGATTTAATTTGAAAGAATTGAGTGATAGACTTTCTGCTACATATGATGGGAGACCATTCCATTTGTTTACTACTCTCTTTGAAAAAGAGCTCTGCCTCAATTTAGATTTGTACGTGTTTCTTTTGTAGTTTGAACGGGTGACCTCTTGTTACTGTGACAGTGGTACGATGAAAGAAATTAGTGGACTGAAGGTCGTCGATTCCATGCATTATCTTATAGACCTGTCGCTTCTATGACGTCTGTATGATAACGAAGGCAGATTTAGTTGTTCTAGCCGTAACTTGTTCTGAAGACACTAGAGGTTGAAGGATTTTAGTTGCACAACATTGAACTTTTTCCACTTTGAGAATAAATTGAAAATAAATAAAGCAGCAAATTCTATTCTCAATCTGATAGCCATTTAGAAAATGAAGGTTCTCCATACAGCATTCATCATTTTGTTTGTATAGTCATGTCTATTCTGATACTTGTTTATAAGATATATTTATCCACCAGCACTTATCGTAAGCTGGTTGTTCACCATTGATGAAATAGATATGCAAACCACACAAGTGACAACAGAGGTCAACTATTTCACATTTCATTGTGTGATTCCGCAAGAGGTTTACAAAATGCTTTTGTCTTTGTTATGCAGTATTGATACTTTCCTTGATTTTAGTTAGCACATGTTTGGTTTTGAGATACAAGGGAAGTGCAATAACAAACATTTGAAATGGTCATAGAACAGAGAAATACAAACTGTAATTTGTGTAGATCGATGGCCCATCTTTTAAAATGGAAATTGGTGTTACACACTTTGAAACGATATGAAAGTAGCTATTTTATAGATGAGTTCAGTCTTTATAGTTTCACTCTGAAAGAGGAACATGTCTCAGATGATATGTATAAAAAATTACAAATTAAGAGAAATTATTAAGTGCCCTGTGAAGTATATTGAGAGAAAAAGACAAAGGGAGAATTATACTTGGAATGGGAGTCTTTTCCCTATATCTAACAACAACAAAACAGTTTAAGAAAGAATTGGATGCCACAACCAATTTCAACATCAAAAGCATTCATAGAGAAATGTAAAATAATCATGACATATTGCTTGTGACAGATACCATACATTCATTTCCATATATTAGGAAAGTGAATCTTCCTGCCCGTACATATTTCATTTTCTTCTCTTTAGTTCTCAAGGTGTGATTTTCATGTGTCTCAACCACAGGAAAGTGGTAGATATTCTGTTACATTGTCAAAATAATGTACATACAAAAATCTGTTACATATTATCTCATTCTTGCATGGTTTTATCTTAACACAAGAAAGAAAAGAATTGGTTTATACCCTTGTCAGTGCCACAGGCTGTTTAAGCTCAATATCTTGATACTGTATCCTCCAGTCTTTTGACAAACTAAACTCCCTTTTTGTTTCATCAAAATAAGTTCATGATTTTTAAAGCTTAATATGCAACAATGCAAGTATCAAGAAAAGCAAGGAAGACAAGATAAATGATTGAAAATGTGTATATAACCAAAATTTGTGATACTTTTCAAAAATATTTATTTTGTTATACCTTAATGTGTTCAAGTGTGTTAAAGTTTCTTCAAATTGAACATCTTTTGTTTGATAGATAAAATCATTATAACAGTCAAATGTTTTCTGAATAGTCTCTTTTCTTTCTTAAAGAGGTGAACGTTTCAGGTAATCTAACATTCATAGCAACACCTCTTTTTCATTATCTTGCCAAAGCTCATTATTGTATCTTCAATTATTTAGGCTAACAAGGTGCTTTATGTCACAACTCGGGTTCAATTGATCTCTATTGGTAGCGCAAAACATGCTCTAATTAAGATGGAAGTCATGCCTTTTGCCAAAGCATTTAGACGCTGGTCATGATTCACAGACATTAGATGGATAAAAGGTGTTTCGGTGCTACAAACAGTATAGTTAATGAGAATTGACAGATGTATATTCGTGTTGCTTCAAAATGACAGCTATTTTATAAAATTAGTCATTGCTTGCATGCTAATGTGTGAGGATGTGATTAAGAAAGGACTGGCAAAATTAGCATGCAGATGTCATCTTCAACTAACAATGATCAAGAGATGTTCATCACTAATATGTGATTGGTTAAAATGTATCCGGAGGTTATGAAGAGAAGTTTGTTATTGATTTTTTTTTTCCAAAGCTGATTGTTCTTGCTTAAACCTGTCTTAGTGACTAACTCTTCATGAAAGCCACCAGTCTTCAGTGGTCATGCATTTTGTTTCCCTATATAATGAAAGAAGTATGTATTGAAGAACCTGTCTAGAAAGGCAAGCTGTCTACACTGGTCACTTCTGCTGTTTCCCTTGGGTGACCTTAATAGACAGGTTTGACCAAACATATACATGTACTTTACATTTATTGTGTAAATGTTTAAAAAGGTTTGTAGAAATAAGTGGAGTTTATTGTATTTTTTAAAAACATACACATGCATACTCTCTCTCTCTCTCTCTCTCTCTCTCTCTCTCTCTTAATTGTTTCCCTTTCCCCTCTCTGTTCCCTCTTTACATCACCCACTTTTTTTTTCCTTTTCCCATGTTAATATCTTGTTCCATATCTCTGCTGTCTCTTCTGTGAAAACTTTCTTACATCAATCTATTATGCCTGCTCTCTCTCTCTCTCTCTCTCTCTCTATCTCCCTTTCTCTCTCCCTTTCTTTCTCTCTCTCTCTCTCACTCACTCTCTCTCTCTCTCTGTCTCCCTCCTCCCTCCCCTCTCTCTCCCCTCTCTCTCTCCCCTCTCTCTCCCCTCCCTCTCTCTCCCCCTCTCTCTCTCTCTCTCTCTTCCTTCTCTCTTTCACCTCCCTCCTTTCCTCTCTCTCTCTCCTTTCCTCTCTCTCTCTCTCCTTTCCTCTCTCTCTCTCTCCTTTCCTCCCTCCTTCCCTCTCTCTCTTTCCCCTTGCCATAAGCCATCAATTGTAAAGGGAAAAAAACAAACATTGTAAGACATATATTAAGTGATACTATCCAGATATCAGATAATGATATGCTCATCAAAAATGAATATATATTGATGTTTGTGTTTTCTGAATGTTCTCCCACTGCAGGCATGTTAGGTGTAGATGAGTTTGCTGTTGTGTATCCACCCAATGGAGTCATACCCTTCCATGGATTTGCTATGTTTGGTAAGCATTAAACCTTGTTCATGCGTGATATGGTTAAACACCTAAAAAGACACCACAATCAGAAAGGATACATTTTGAAGTGTATTATAATGGGGTGAAAAGTAGTAGCTATAACTGTATATATATATGCAATAAAAGCCCTTAAAAATAATCATTGCTTTGTAAGTTTTAAGATGCAGAAATGTGAAGTGTACTACAAAACCATATATTTGCCTAATTTAGTATACTTTGTTTTTGCAGTATTTGAGGCAATTTACACATGGAACCAAATTGCCACCCTGCACAAAATTCAGTGTTTTGTTGCCATTTTCTACTTTTCTATGTACTTACATGTGTAATAAACAATAGATGCACAATACTTTCTGAATTTGTAGACTGTTGGTGTGCATTGATTCTTTTTTTCAACAACAGAATCGTCATCTACCTTTAACCATTTTTCAATGAATTATCTCATTCCTCCTGGCTTAATTATTATAGGAATCACTCAATGTCTATAGACAATATGTGAATGAGATGAAGTAAAGGGTTGTATTTGACAAACAAATTTTAGGTTGCCAGTGTAGGCAACCTTTCATCTTACTTCTTGAATATATAAGATTTCCCAACATAGAATTTTGGTGGCCCCATGTCATGTTAATCACTTGTAAAGTCCAAGCTTTGATCTATGAGATGGGGTTAGGTGTGGTCTATAATTCCTTCTTAAAGATGCCATTGGATTTGCCTGCCTAGTTTTACTTACATGTACATTAACACAGATATTCATGTTTACTTACGTTTGTATATAAATTGCAAATTGTAAATGAATTTTGAAAATGTTTCCCCTGTTTGTTCTTTCCTCAAATTACAACCAGAATATAGCAGAATGGTCTTATAATAAATGTATTTCTAAACAAGTCACTTTTTAAAAGACTTCCACCTGCCTAGTACATCATTTTGTAGCATACTTGAGATGTGTTACCATTACGATTAGATGATAACACCCTAAATCAGGTGTCAGGCTAGATTTACATTTTTTGCAGTTGAAATCATAACATTGTAACTCATCTGGCTCGTAAGGTATCAACCATAAAGCAATATTATTGGGCTTGCTCTAAGATTTATTGGGAAATGCTGACTTTATGACAATATAAATCACACTTGTGGATCTTTGCTTTTAGTATGAATTGGAGGCTGTTGATTAATATTTCACCAGTAGATTATCCTGTGAATATTTTTATATTTCACTATCTATATGTATTTGTTTTAATGTACTCTGTTTAAGTTTCCTTTGGTAACTTATGGTGATATATCTTTTATATACCGAATTCACAACAAATCTACAAGGAATTCTTACATATACCTTATCCTTTTCTTGAGTATTAAAAAGACTGGTTAAAAACATCACAGAAAATCTGAATTGCAGACAAAGAGCACTGTATGGTATCCGCACTCGCACAAAGAAAGTTTTTACATGTAAACCAATGGGGATCTCAGCAAAATTTATTTACGCAGCCTGTTACCCGGGGCAACGAGCATCTTTAAAAAAAATATTGACTGGTAGTCGGGCATGAATAAAATCACAACTCCAATTTCAACCAATCAGATGACTAGATTTATTCAACATACGAAAGAGAGGTATATAAAAGCTGATAGCATGCATGTTGGCAAAAGAGAGAGAGAGAGAGAGTGAGAGAGTTCAGAAGGAGCACGCATTTATATTTGTATTTTTTTTAGCACAAAATTAATTCAATTTCCTGCACAAGCATAAAACAAAAAATCGCTACCCTAAGGGCAAAACATGCGAGGAATATATATTTTTTTTAAAGCTGTAACTCGCAAATGATTATTCATGTAAATCCTTTTAGCAACCATATATCCCCTCTGACCCATTTCCTATTCAATAAGTATGCATAATTCTTGTAAAGATGGAGTTGAAGCTAACTGTATCTAAAAAAAACCCAAAGGCACTTTACCGGGATGTCTTTCATCAATCATAACCTTTGCAATCGTTTTCACTGTTGATTAAGAAACTGTCAGTCCTTATCGAGTACTCTCTAACTCAGCCTCTCCTAACTTTTATTTCTCTCTTGCTAGTGGCTCCGTTATGTTTTGTCTACGACCAGCCAGCGGATCTGTACTATGTCTTCCGTGAGATCTACATGAGGCACCTGTTTCGTCTTCATGCCATCTCCTCTCATCCTCAGGTACGTAACCACACCCAAAGAAGCTATAAAGCTGTGCGTAAAGTTACAGATGACTTTACGAACGACTTGAATATAAGATAAGATAAGATAAGATAAGATATTTATTCGTCGTTCTTTCAAATGACACATAGAGTATAACATTAGATCATTACACATTTACAATGCAAAATAACAAATTATGGCAATGATAAAAACAAAGTTAACTAAAAGAAAGACGAGGAGACCCTGGTAAAAGCAGAGCATGTAATTATTAGGGTCCCCTCTGAGCCGGATAAACATGACGAATAGATATTTGTGACTACCGAAGAATACGATAGGGAAAAGGGGTGTAAAAAAAGAAGTGTACACACAACAACAACAACAACAACAACAACAACAACAACAACAACAAACAAGAGACGAGACTAGACAAGACGGGAGAAAAGAGAAAATATGAGAAATAATAGAAGACTACAGCACAACAGGCACAAGACAACAGGGGGAGGGAATAAGAGGTTGACAATCTGAAAATATTCAGTTAGACACATATTAATATCAAGAAGAAAAGCTTAATGGGATTCTCAAATCCTTGTAATTGCATAAGCTAAATTTGATATATGCAGATGTAGATTAAAGGGATAGTTGAGTTCTGTTTTCAGACCGCAAATATGCCTTTAAAGTGCATGGTTATTGCTCTTATTCTTATCTATGACCTTTATAGCGCCCTTTTAAAACCTAAAATTGCTAGTAAATTTAAGGTAATTTTAGACCTCAAAATGTGTGAAATTTAGCCAATACGTTCATACCAATTCAGCTCCACTTTAAAAAAAACATGGTGACCGTTAATTAATTATTCAATTAAAAATAGCAATACATGAGCCGGCTAATTGTAGGTAATATAAGCGACACGAAAATGCCAACAAAAAGCCAACATCGGCATTGGCTGAAATACGATGTAAAGGGCGTTATTTCGTTTTTTCAACGGTTTTATCAAATTTTCAAAATATCTAATATTTGTGGTGGTACACAAGTATTAGAAATCGTTATATTTCAGCCGTCTCTGAACCAATTTTGATCAAACAAAGATGATTTTGTCATTTAAATATTATGAGCTTTCAAATTTGACTCTCATTTTTTCATTATCTCAGAAAAAAATTATTTTGTGTAGCGCCCTCTGCAACAGAACTCAGCTATCCCTTTAACCTTATCATTATTATTAACAAAGCATTTTAATGCAAAGTGTATTTTTGGCTACAATTTAATTAAGATTATGGGAAATACAGTCACACTTTGTTAAAATGTCAGGAAAACTTTGGGCATCCCATATGACTCTTTTTTATTTTCAGTATATTTTGTGCCTTAGTGAGCAACAGCCACTCCAGGAATCTACAGATAATTTTCAATGACCATGTCTTCTATTTGAAAAGTGTCCACAATTGGTAAAACTGGCATGGTTCTTGTAAAGAGATGCCCAGGCATTTTGATTTCATAATAGAATCTGGTGCCAATAAATCTCTTGTTCAGCTGGATTCACTTTAATGTGAAAAGTACATGTGGCAGAACTTCAGGATGCTATGATGTTAATAGATTGTTTCCTCATACAATCTAGAATCCTTAAGCCCATTGCCTACATGAACCACGAGGCTCCTGTATTAAAACCTATGGAAATGAAAGAACTCAGTAGTCAACAGGTTAAGTATGGTGATGACATTGAACCTGCTCCATGTCGTTAGTTTTCATATTTTACGTCATTACTTTTCTTATTTCCATGCGAGATATTGTTCTGAGAGTTAGATCTAGGCATGACTTTGTAGGGCATTTGAAAGCGATAGAAGATTGGGCTATTTGAAGGGATGTAAGCATCTGGTTTGGGGATTAGGGGGATATAGAAGAGATAATGTTAATCACTTCAAATGGCTTCTTACAGATTTCATTGACCTTTATGGATTAGTCTACAGCTCTATTCAGAATGAAGTTCATTTTTTCTTCTTTTAAGAGATGTTTATAATACGAGGTATTTGTTGCGGAAATACATGTGCAAATCAGAAGCAGATGCTTCCTAAATCAGTCAATCCTTTTAACCTTTTCTTTCCAAACTAACAATAAGTCATTGCCTAGAGACGCAGAGATTAAATGATTATTCTAACCATGTTTCAGTTTTTGTAGTTTTAAGCATTATGGGTTTCTGATACAGCCACTCTAACTTTCTCAAAGACCCTTGATATACCGTGTGAGTCAAAAAAAGTTTACACCTAGAAAATTGCTAATTATTTTAAAATTCATCTATGAACAGTAAATTATTATACATCTTATGAAAGAGTGTTTTATCCCAAATCATTTGGTATCATGTTTGTGTGGTATGTGTTCACGCTTGGATGAACACGAGGCATTGCTTGCGAGAGTGCAAAAATCGACTTGCGCCAAAGTGATGCGTACAGTATGTATTATGTTGGGATTAGTGGAGTGAGAGAATGAATTAAATGTATCAAATGAAATGCATTGCATATGCTTTTTGCAAAGGGCAAAGTCACACCATCCACACGCACACGCACAAATGTTCGTTGATATTTGATATTCGATATTTGATAAGTGTGGTATGATTAATTTTGTTAGGGATGTTATTTAGATCTGCAAAGACCGAATTAATACCTAAATCCAAATTGTTTTATTCAAACATCACATAAGCAACTTTGGCGCAAGTCGATTTTTGCACTCTCGCAAACAATGCCTCGTGTTCATCCAAGCGTGAACACACACCACACAAAAATGGTACCAAATTATTTGGGATAAAACACTCTTTCATAAGATGTATAATAATTTACTGTTCATAGATGATTTTTAAAATAATTAGCAATTTTCTAGGTGTAAACTTTTTTTTGACTCACTCTGTATAAATTTGCCAGGCTTTTACATTAGATTGAACATTTAGATCCCAACTTTCTTTTATTTGTTTAATGCTTCTTATTATGGCTGCTTTTTAAGTTTATGATACCTGCTTGTTTATGATCACAAGACAGTTGTTTCTATTTTGTCTATAAAAAGAAGCAAAGATACATGAAAAAAAGTGTGGTCATTGTAATTCATACTTCAATTTTCCCATTTAAAGCTCAACAGGTGCTCCACTTTAGTACTGAAGTTATTAGAAATATCAAGTATGCCCGAGTGCAATATATCAGACAATTTGTGCAGACCATTGATTTATACAAAATTGGTTAATTCATTGTTACCTCACCCCTCTTAGAATATCAGATTTAGTTGTTAATTTTATACATGCCATTTTACCTTCTGAATTTTAGCCAGCTCGATAGAAACCTTACTCTACATGCAAGCCTTGTCAATCGTGTGTGAATTCTGACCATAGATGGAGCTATTGCTGTTTGAGTAGTGATGTTGTCCTGTATTTGTCTATACATGCACATACAAAATTTACAAATTGAAATGTATAATTGGCAATGTTCTATGTTTTAGATCAATATTTTAGATAAATATGACTTTTCTAGTAGACGTAGTAGACGTAGTAGTAGTAGTAGTGGCCAGTACCATTTTGGATATGTCTGTAATGAGATTTGTTCAAAAGCAGTTATTCCTTTTCTTCAATTTTTTTTTTTTTTAAATTCTTGTTCTGACCGGTATTTATTTATTTGTTTATTCATTTAGGGAGGTAATCAGTGGATTTAGATTGAAATTATCTGGGGAAGTTTCATGTGCTATACAACGCCTATATTACAGTATTATTAAATTACAATATTATTACTACATGTAGATGTACCCTTTTTCTCCTCAGGGTATCTTATCTCTGTGCATCCTGTTTGAGGGTCTTCTACAAACCATCCAACCTCAGCTCTTCTTTCATCTCAAACAAATCAACGCACAGCCGTGAGTAACTTTGTTTGTAGTTTGTAGCAATATTTGTATATCATTCCTATTCCAATTATAAGATGTCATGGTCCATAAGATGTGTCCTACGACCATGCAGGGATCACATGGTTCCTTGTTAGAGACCCGCCATGGAACTGATGTCCTTTGGCAAGACATTAATCTACATGTGCCACTCTCCACCCAGGTGTTAAATGGGTATACCTGTAGGTAGGAGTTCCTTGAATGCTGTGAGCACAGAAAGTGGCTGCCTAGCAGAGCCAGGGTAATATTGGAGCACCTTGAGTGCCATGTATGGTTGATGTTTGTGCTATGAAATATCCAATTTTATTATTATTATTTTATTTAATTCAGTGTTTCGTTGATAATATTGAGAATGAAACATATTGCTTGGGTACAAACATTTCAAATGCATAGGCCTGTATTAGCTTTAGGGTCAACCACATTCATGTGTGGGTGGCAATGCTGGTCCAAGAATGTTGATAACATACAAGGTACCACTTGTTTGTACTAGGAGGAGCTAGGTTTTTATTCCTGAAGCTAATACAGGCCCATGCATTTGAGAAGTTGTACCCATTAAAGGTGTTTCACGCTCAATTTTGATGATGAAAAACTGAATTGAAATTGGAAATTTGACTGATGAAAGTACATTTATTTTTGGTAACTTTTTGTAAATTATGTGGTATGGTAGGGGTTTAACTATTTCCACAAAAAACTATTCAACCTCTCTACATGAACGTTTAAAGTAAAAGGCTTATACTTTAATGAAAAATGAAGGGGAGAGACCACTTGAAATATAGTGTAGGCCATGTGAACAAATAAAAATGACATCTAGAGTGACAGAAATATGAAGAAGAAAATAATACCTAGACACAAAATTTAAAGGGGAAGTCTACTCAGACATCAAATTAACTTTCTGTAGTAAAAAGCAAGAAATGCGATAAATATCTTGAGGATAATCTGAAGAAAGAGGGAATTGTTCTTTTAAAAAGTTGTGATCAATTAATATGATATGGCATCTGTGGGGTTCCTGTTGCAAGTAGCTCACCATTTTTCTTCCAACAAATAAAAATCATAAGTGAAAGCAATTTATATACAATTTTTACAGTGCTTACATCATGTGTAACCATGCCCCCTTTTTGGCTATTGAATCTTGATAATAGAATAAAGATTGCCTTTAAATGGATGGTGAGGTATGGTAGTCTCAGGCAGTAATTACGGTAGGTTCAGTGACTAAAGATTGAAGCCAACTAAATGTAAAGCAAAGTTGATGTATTTGCACATTTACACACACTTTGATGACATAATATTTATCACCCCCCCCCCCTCAATCTCTCTCTCTGTACATTTCTAGACTATTTGTCTTCTTGATTGTAGATTAAAGATTACCTTTAAATGGATGGTGAGGTAGGTAAGTCTCAGGCACTCGCAGAAGATTCAGAAACCAAAGATTGAAGCCAATTAAATGTTAAGTAAAAGTAAATGAATTTGAATATACACAAATACAGTGATGACATGATAATTATCAACCCCCTTCTCTCCCCCCCCCTCTCTCTCTCTCTCTCTCTCCCTCCCTCCCTCTTTCCCTCCCTCCCTCTTTCCCTCCCTCCCTCCCTCCCTCCCTCCCTCCCTCTCTTCTTGGCTAATTTTCTTCTTGATTGTAGACTCAAGATTGCCTTCAAGTGGATGATGAGAGCGTTCTCTGGGTACCTTGCCAGTGATCAGCTGCTTCTCCTGTGGGACAGGATTCTTGCCTATGACAGCACTGAACTTCTTGCAGGCATGTCTATGAGTATATTCAAATGTATTGTTATGAGCATGTACACATTTGTGCTAATTGCTTAAAGCCCCACTGCACTACTTATAGCTACTTGCGCCCTCTATTTATCAAACAATGCCTAATTGGTGCCTGTTGGTCCCCATGATCCTCTTTTTCTTATGTTAATTGAGAGCTGATTTGATGAGATAATCACCTGTCAGTGACCTTGCAGGGAGGTCTAATCCCCTCTGGCTAAACTAGTGCAGACAGGCTTTAACCAGTCTCTAATAAAATTCCATAATTTGCAGTAAAACACATTAACTATTCTGTATTCATACATACTTTCATGCACAGAAGGTATCGCAAACATCTGAAGGAAGAACAAGGTTTTTTATATGTCTTTACATGGTTTCATGTTTGATACTTGATTGTTTACCTGAATAATGTAGATTTTTAAACCCAGGAAGATGTTAGTTGTCTACGGGAGAAATATTGCAATTTATTTATTTGATGGTGTCGTTTTTGGTCTCCCCTATGCAGTTCTTGCGGTAGCCATCTTTTGCTTTCGTCGGACCAACTTGATGGAAGCGTCAACTCTAGCCTCGGCTGATGCAATCCTTGCTGATATCTCAACCATCCAGATCATGCCCTTGCTTCAAATCGTCCTCTTCCCTTGACATCATAACCATAGCAACGGTTAGTGATGAGAATTTTAAGAAATGATGTGACCATTCATTGCTTGAGAATGTTAACTCTTCATATGCCACACAAATAATCTCCCTGTCCCACATTGGATTTGTCATGGGATAGATATACTAAAGGCTTCAAGATTATTTAACTATTTTCAGAGCAATATTATACAAATATTGACTGCTCATGAGGATGATGGTGGGAACTATCACTCCCAAGGTGGTGTTTACACCGGCCCTTCTATCAACCCCGAGGCGAAGCCGAGGGGGTGATAGAAGGGCCGGTGTGAACACCACCGAGGGAGTGGTAGTTCCCACCATCATCCGATTACAGAGCAGTCCATATTTGTTTTATATACCTCGTCCTTTTTATTGATTCATGATTAGGTCTAGCTGTAGGTCTAGATCTAGCTCCAAAAACAGGAAACGAGATCAAGAGGAATTTACTAACCCAAATAAGAAAAATACAACATCAAGTCCAAGGCAAGAGTATTGAATTCCTACGCGCTGCGCGCAACCGCGCGATTGCGGTAGCCTAGCAACTCTAAAAAATTGTGTGCGCAACTAAGTCACGGGAAGGGTTAGGGGTCCTATCCCAGGGTTTGATAGTAGCTATCAACCCCTCTGACGTAATGATACTTGATAGATCGAAATGCTCCTTGACATGTGATATAGTCTTGACCAATCAGTGAATGACAATCTATGTATGAGGTATATAATAATATATACTGATGTTCAGATGGTTGTCATGAAGCTAATTAAGACTGGGAAAGGGTAATTTTTGCAAAGACATTGTGGTGCACAAAACAATCTTTCTATCTATTGGTGCCTACTGTTTTGTGCCAAATTGCACATGAGGCAAACGAGCAACCATGCAAAGAGGCAAAGAAAGCAGCCGAAGTGTTAATAAACAATCACAGAAACTCTAAAGAAACCAACTAGGGGCCAAGCTCAGTTGAGAAACAGATAAAGAATAAGTTAAAGAGACAAGCATCATTTGCTCTCTTTTTTGTCTTTTTCTCAATTTTATACTCAGTTCAAAGAAATAAAAGTACTAAACAGCACATCATATAAATGTAGATGAGCTAAATTCAATAATTATTGTTACAATTGTGACAATATTTTATTTGAGCTGATACAGCAAGATTAGCAAATACATTAAAACAACTGATAAAATAATCTTTCTGTTCATATTGTGCATAGGTGTTAGACATATATTTTAGTCAAGTATTGAGATAATAGTGTGATTTTGATAGAAATAATGACAAGGAAACCAAATGTAATGCCCATGCACACTTAAAAAAAAAAATTCAACACTCGTGGTCACATTCCAGCACTCACAGTTTCTTGAATAACATTTGTTTTTAGGTACCTATACCTTATTTTTCTTATATTTTTTTTAAATTAACTGAGCTTTTAATATTTATAATTGATAGATATTTTTGTAAACAGGTAGGTACATTTGATGACCTCAAAATTGAATTAGACAATGTTAGTTACCTTTCACCAAACATGTAATATGGAATATCAAATATAAATTTCTTGGTACATGAACATCTATGTTTGAAGCTATATCTTACTGCATTATAGTCATATATTATTTAAGGGAATGGAATATTATGAAATGATGTGCTTCGTAATTTATCATATATTTTGCAGAGGCAGAATAATAAGTGATATCACTCTTTAAATACAAACAAATGTAAGCCTACTTGATAGTGCTGGCAAGAAAAGATTGCAATAATTCCCAACATGTTACATTGAATAATAACTCCTGAATACACACAATTTGTAGCACAGCATTCCCATAAAAAAAAGAGAAGTTAAATCATACAAAACCAGTTAAAAAGTGGACCACCTAGATTTAAAAATCAAAAAACCATACAGATTATCTAGATTGTATCACTCATTAATTTTTTAACTGTTACGTTTTGACAACATAATATCCCAGTTTTTTTTAATTATTAAAACAAATCTTGATTCTTTTTTTTTTGGTCACAGTCTGAATGAGTACAGAAACTTACTTGTCCCCCCCCCCCCCATAAAAAAAAAAAAAAAATTCGATTTACAGTTACCGCAAGCTTGGCTTGTATAAATTTTGTTATGTGTTTGATTTTTCCACAAAATTGATACAAGCATGCATTCAAAATCAAAATCAAAGTTCAATGAAACTGAATTGTTTTCATAGGATACCCCACATGATATGTAAGTTGTGCAAATCTAAACCTTGTGCCATGTTACAGTTTATTTCCACATCTTGTACATAGGTTAATTTCTTTTCTTTTCTTTGTATTTGCACAGTTTGGATCACGCTGCCCATCGGTCAAAGATTTAAGGCTATATGATGAGATGTCTGGAGAAGTCTTCAAATCATGCTGGCTTACAAGACTCTGTCCTACATGGACTTGCAGCTCCAGTCAAATTTCTCTTTGGTCTAAGCATGCATCTATGTCAGGAGATGCAGTTGTTGACCCTTCCTCTTCAATGTTCCTGTAATTTTGCTATGCTGTCATTAAATACAGGTCCTCAAAAAATGTCCTGATGCTATCCTCAACTAGGCTTTCGCTGAAACTCCTAGCTGTGAATTTTCTTTTCGACTTCAGTCCAAGAAGTTGTTTTTTTACCACTCTATACCTCCATCATGATTTTCAAGGTATTATTTAAATACTTTCCTTAGTTGAAATATCTGAGGGTGCGTTTATTGGGTCTTGCCACTAGATATGTACATATCGTACCCCACTATCGAACCCCACTATCGAACCCCACTATACGAAGGTGATTTGCAGGATGTCGCGTTTATCGTCTCTTCACGATTCAAAATAAAGGCCTTGTCTCTGCGCAGCTGCTTTGCGCTTTTTGAACCGGGAAGCAGCCAGAGGTCAACTACACACACATGCTTGTACAACAACATGTCACAACTCATGGCGCGCTATAGCCTGCGAACCGGAAATTCAACTGGAAGGTCCGATATGCCATGTGGGGTTCAAAAAAGCTTTGCGTTTATCATCTCTCAAAAACGTTCAAAAACGTTCAAAAACATTCAAAACACACCTTTTTGCGTCTTTAGATATGCCCATATCTAAAGACCTTTAAAAAAGGCTTTGCGTTTATCACCTTCTAAATTTGCCTGAAAGACATTTGAGAAACCTGATTCTAGGCAAAAATTTTGTCAATAAACGCAACCCTGAGGCATTTGATTCATCATCATGTCCATCTTGTGTTCTCCTGTCTTCAAGACATTATCTTGATGCTATTCTTAGCTGGACCTTATCTTTGACCTCATGCATTGTTTGTTCCATCTCCACTTTCTTGTATCTCTGCCACTCTGTCGTCACGCCCAGGTCTTTCAGGCACGTGTCTTGGTCAGGGTAGGGCTCAAACTGAATCACGGATTCAAATTGAAAAGAGAAAAACACATTATTTATAAGATATTGATTACAGTAGGCCCATTTTTCAAACATTTTGTCATGATATGAGAAATGTTTTAATGATTGATTTTTGACAAAGTGGAAAAGCACATTTGAAATTTAGTATTCCGTGCATCTAAATATCAGTATCATTGCAATGGAACAAACATGTATTCAATTTTCACTTGAGCACATGATATTGGTTGAGAATATGTTGGGCCTTAGCTTTCAAAGATGACCTTTGTCTATAAGCTTTCAATTCTGAAATGTTGAAATGGATGCAAAAAGAATTGAGTTCGTTGACAAGGGACACTTATCTCTGTGTCACACAACTCGGCTGTCTTTCTTGGTGAAAATATTACTTGTGTAAATAATATCTGGATCCTGTTTCATAAAACCTGCCATCAATAAAAGGTTACAAGGACTGTTATAAGCTACTGAAATTGGGGCTTTTGATTGACTGAGAGCCAAATTTGTCATATAAATTTGGCAGTTGTTCTTGATCAACATGGCCCTGCTCTTTTGTAACAGAAATCAGCTTGGGACTAGACACAAAAGTGTTCCTCCATTAAAGGTACTACAGCATGTCCCATTTGCAGGCCAAAAAAATGAAACTTCCCTTGAAAATGTCTTTAAGTGGGAAAATAACGACTATTAGTTGTCGAATCGACTTAAGAGCTATAGAGCCAGTAAGTAATAGTCTGATTTTCAGACCATTGTACCGAATGGCCGTACGTTTTATGCTGCGCAAAGATTCAATCAATTTCATTTTGGCCATTACAAGAAGTGGGTAATTGATGTAAACAAATGCTCATGTACCCTTTACAGCTCATTGTATGTGTGTTATTACCAAAGAAGAAAAAAAAGCCAGTCAGTCACTCAATAGTGTCTGACAGTGAAGTCTAGCAAGTAAACAGGTTCCTTGCATAATTTTAATATCAGGACACTGCTAACGTTTAAATTTCACAGATAGGACATACATGACATATTCATAGTTCCTGCAAAGTTCTACAGAATTTGATGTTGGCTGCAAAAGGGACATAGTGCCTTTAAACTAATAGAAGGAGGTCCTGTATATTTGACTTACCCTCATTTCAATCTCAGTGAAGACCCTCTCATCTGCATACTTGAGAAAGAATGACTTGCTGATCTTTATCGCTTCTGCCCCTTGGCTTACCTGGTAATGAATAAAAAATAAGGTATCTTAGCGAAAGTGCAACAAAAAGTGGAACCAAAAGATGCATAATTGTTGAAAATCATAATTTCATCACATAGAAGTAGAACCACATTGTTAGGATATGGAGCTGGTAAATGCATGTATTATCTTGATTAAGCCTTAATGTTAGTTAAAATTTCATTCAGATATGTAATGAGAAAACTTGAATTCACAAACAGCACTAATGATTACGCCTTTTGCGTTCCAGACGCATCTTTTCGTGCCACTATATTTTGCTTAGCTACCTAATGATAAAAATAATATTAATACTGTTGTTCATGGTTTATGGAAAACATTTGAAGTCAAAGATAAGGAGATTGTTTATGAAATCATTTTTAATGTAGTGTTCAGTTGCTAATAATTTAGTCATAAGATATCTTGAATGAGGATACACATCCTATGCAAGCATGTTATGATATTGGAGGATTGATTACTAATGACATGAGTTAGGCTGGAAATGAACTGAATGATGTCGTTGATTGGTCAATGAAACCGGGGTGATAATATGATTGCAAGGCCCTCAAGGAGAACAGTATGAATACTGATGAGGCTACCCTGGGTAACAAGATATATTTGCATTATTATTATTATTATCAATGAACCAAAGTATTTTGATTTCAATTTATCTTTATATAGGAGTACATTTCTTTACAATCAGATATTCATGCAAGTAATTTGAGAAATATATTCATGATACCAGATATTGAGTTAAAAATATAATTTAATTAATTAAATACTCATTGCCATAGTATGAATCTGCAGGCATTAGGTACCTATGTCCATTTTCAATAAAAAAAAAAAAAAAAATCATACACAAAAAACGAAAATCAAGGACATAGTTGCAACTGCGTCAGTGCTATCAGCTATTCTACATGAAATCAAATCTTATATGCATATCACAGAAATGGAAAAGAGGGAAAACTTACCAAGCTAACTCTGTCACTTTTGCTGTGTTTGTATCCAGGCATCACTGTCAGGATATCCTGGAAAAAAAGAGAAAGAGAATTCAAGTGTGAAATAGGTTCAACATGTCTCCTCTTTACAGGCACAGCAAGCATGATGCGTTCCCACGATTTTGTAAGCTTGTACCGATCTGTTAAAGGCTGACGGGTTATGCTGAAAGCTTAAATACACATACACACAACAATCTGTGCTTTTATGACACAAAACTACTTGAATTAGGTACATGTAGCGACAATATATTTTCTCTTTTTATTGGTCATGTTTAAAAGATGATATACTTGTAATTGTATAGAGCATTCAAAACCTTAGAATGAAATTTGCTTTGGGGCATGCATGTGGGCTAATGACCTTCTGCCAGTGGCACAACCATATTCACAGAATAATAATGGAAGAATGAATATCATTCATATTCTATCAATAACATTTGTTATATTGACTCTGAAATTGTGTGTGAAAAATTATTACCTATAGTGTAAGTTGTGGTTAAAGTTATGAGATTAGAGGCGTCTGCAATTGACATTGTTTTGTATATAATGGATGTTGATAAATAATTACATGTATGTTTCATTGCCTTTCGATTGTAAATAAAAAGAAATATGTGAGCATTGGTTTTTAATCATGTACAATCTGACTTACTTAAAAACGAACCTGTTTATATCGCATCATTTTTCAAATCCATTTTTGGACAATATGCAGTACTTTATTGTTTTATTAAAGTATCCTTTTGTCAAGATAAATACTTGTTTGTCACATTATTTATGTATGACTACCTATTATTAGCCTCACTTCACTCTTATCACTTTCACTTTGGTATAAAGTGTAAACATTCTGGACATAGATTTATTTTCTATCCTTTTGCCAGTCGTCACCATCATAAACATCACAATTTATGTTTAATGGGGATTGTTATAACCATCTATCATGAATGACATTTCAGCAGCACAATCATCACCACCACTTCTACTATCATAATAATCATTATGAATATCACCATAGCCTTCTGCATCACTATCAACTTTTTGGATATACACCACCATTGTCTCCATTATCATCACCAACATCATCATCAACATTATTATCACTGTCATCATCATCGATATCAATATCGTCAGCATCACGACCATCATCAACATTACCATCATCACCATCACCATCATCACTACCACCACCACCATCATCATCATCATTATCACCATAACCTTCATCATCATCACCAACACCATCATCATCATCATCATCATCACCAACACCATCATCATCATCACCATCATCATCATCACCAACACCTTCATCATCAACATCATCATCACACTCATCATCATCACCACCACCACCGTCATTGTTATACTTACAAATATATCTCCTGCTTCTAGTTCTCCTACCCTCACACAATATGGTGTCTCTGGATGACTCCCGGTCCTCATACATTGGAGAATGCTTTTACTCCTGAATACTGTATCCTACAAACAAAATTAAAGTTAAATATTTATAGTTTAATAATAATAATAATAATAATACAGCATTTATTATGCGCCATTGATCTAGTAAACTATTCTGAGGCGCAGAGGGATAGAATTAGAATGAGATACATAGAGAAATGAGAAGGGGGGAATGCATAGATGTACATTCAACATATAATTAACTAAAATAACATGCGAACATATATGACTTTAGATTCTTTTTAAATGTTTCTAGGGATTCTAGTGATCGGATCCTCAGTGAAAGAGCATTCCAAAGAGATGGCGCTGCAGAAATAAACGCCTTTTCTCCCAGACTAGACATAGTTCTTTGGACATATTTGGCATGTACTACCAGGTTTTAAAGTGGTGTAGAAATTTACCAGACTGTTTTTAAGGCTCGGCTACTACATGGCACATAAACATTCAGTGTAATTTCTATACCAGGTTTCCATTTACAAAGCCTGGATCAAGAGCGGCATATGTTAATTATTGTCTAATGGAAGAGATTTTAAAACCCACGTCATTTGATTGTCCACAGATAACAATGTCCAATTTCTATTTTTTTTTCTTTTCCTTTTTGTATTAATAATCATCGTTTCTAAAGCAACCTTGCCAAAGTGACAGATCAATTAATTTTAGTGCTTATTTCAAGAGAAATGTGTACACACAAAAAAAGGAAAAACAGCAGGTGCAGTTCACTCTGTACTTATTTTTTTATATTTTTGGTAAGTTCACATCAAAGTATAATTTCAACAATACTCAATGGAATACATCTTGCTCGAGTGGCAGCTCTTTGCTAAATTCTTCGAGTTACTTAGTCCTGACTAAACCCACTAAAGTACTCTCTAGACATTAACATCCCTGCCACAGCATTAACGTCCTTTGCATTAATCTACATTTGCCACTCTTCACCCAGGTGATGAAAATGGGAACCTGGTATAAGTCATTCCTTGAAGTGCACTGTGCAATGATAATAGCAGCTGGAGCTAAAGTCGAAGTAATAATTCAGTTCAGTTCAGTTCAGTTTATTAATTTTTCTCAAGCATAAAAACAATATAATATATACAAGAATGGCAAATATACATAGTAAGAGAAAAAACGGAAACTACAAAAAAAGTTTATAAAAACTTGTATGGAGAAGTTCCCAGTATAGAAAAAAATACATGGTATAAACAATTGCAATAACAAAATACAAAATTATGCAGATTTTAGCTGTTTGGAAGTGCATACTCTGCTATATTAGTATTATTTTATCATTATTATAAATGATTAAATGAACAGTCATGACAAAGACTATTGATAATAATCATCAAGTGATTCATCAAAGAATCTATAAAATATTTAATAATAGACCATCCTACGATTGAGATTACTTACAGTTATATCAGAACCTCCCTTCTTCTTGGCCACTAGCTCATCAGACATACCAGAGATGGGCGCCCGATCTCTAAGTGTCCGACCGGTGCTGCTCCGAGTGCTGCTAGGTCCGGGCGTTGTCAAGAACGTAACTGCGACGAGAGTGATTGGTTGAGAGAAAGAATTTTAGAAAGGAAAGGGTTAGGTGGCCGTGTCAATTAAATTACTTTAGGAAAATGTATAAAATTTCATGGTGAAGGTACAAGCAGTCATATAGGAATCCAGTCTTATAGGTTACTTCTCAAATCATTTTGTGTAATGTTTACAAATGCTACTTATATTTAATGATATGTATTTATACTACATTAAATTGAACTGTTTACATGAACACTAAGATTGTTTCAGGAGGATGTAAAAAGCATATATCGTGTGAAAGTTCTTTGAGAGGATTGGAAAGATTTAGAGTGTAAGTGATTGTAGTATATATTTTATCTATAACATTTTCATAATAGAGAATTAAAGGTGATGAAGCAAGGGACTAAAAAATCTAGAGCATGATGACTAATACATCGGAGCTACATGGGAGTTAAATGCAATATGGTTATGTAGAGAGGTCAAGAATGAGAATAGGGAGATTGCGATGATATCTTACCTCTGGTAAGAGGTGGTAGTTTGTTGGCCATCTTCTGGTTCATGACTTCGATCTCCTTGGCATTCTCAGCCTTCTTGAACTCTTTGTAGAATTTACCCGTCTTATCTCGCATGCAGACATCGGCTTTAAGATGCTTCAGAACGTCACAAGTACCCTGGAAACAGGTACAAGGAAAAAATAGACTTTTGAGACATATTCTCTCTCTCTCTCTCTCTGTTTTTTAATCTTCTTCTTTTTATCTCTTGCTCTTTCTGTCCTCGTATTTCATGCCTCTCTGTCTCTCCCTCTCTGTCTTTCCATCTCTTTCTTTTTCTCTCTTGCTCTTTCAATCCTCGTACTTCACCCTACTCTCTTGGTCTCTCTCTCTCTCTCTCTCTCTCTCTCTCTCTGTTTTTCCATCTTCTTTTTCTCTCTTTCTCTCTCTATCCTCGTACATCATCCTTTATTTGTCTCTCTCACTGTCTTTCTCCTTTCCCCATTTTCCTCTCCCCAATCAGCCCTTCTGTGTATATTTTGGTTGCTTCAAAACATACATATTCTACTCTATTTCTTTGAGTAATGCTTGTTATTGTTCGTGGTGAATAGATAATGATTCAAAAGAATCATCCAACATGATATTATTCATAGGGTAACTAAGGTCTTACCGACTTGATGACGTAAATCCATTCGTTCTTAATGCTATCGGGAACTATCACTTGGCCGGCTCTGTTAGAATATTGAAAATGAAAGAAAGAAATTACTTTTGTGAAAATAAAGGATAAATCAATTATACAGACGATTTAATTTCATTCTGTAAACGTGACAGGGGCTGTACTGTAAAGTGCGTAAGTTATATCTTTGTCTTGTATTATACATTCATACAGAATACTAAAGGATAGCATCATAGACATAAAGTGATGGACGGTTAAGACAACTTGAAACGAAGATAAAGCAGGAAAAAGTAAAACTGGATAGTGATATGAAATGATATAAGGCACGATGGCTCAGTAGTAGAGACGTGGTCTCGTAACTGGGAGGTCCCGGGTACGAGACCAAGTCGATGCGGTCGTGCCCTTTGGAAAGGCATTGATCCTCATTACTAAGTACCAAGTCCCTCGGTCCCCTGGTTGCTTATTTACATGCATATCATTGCTTTTTTAGCAGTCGGTTTAAAAAAAAAGTTTAAAAGACATGAAAGAATCAGGGGAATTGATTCCCTACAATAGACTTTTTAAGTTTGTCGAAAAAGAAATTAAAAAGGTCATCTCATTTGTAAATTACCAACAAAATTTAGCCTTGAGAACAAGGACGAAAATAAAAAAGGAAGAAACAAAAAGAAGAAGAGAAAGAAAGGCTTATAATATTTTAAAATGATTTTAACTGGTATTTGTCCCTTGTACTAACCTGTAGTTTTGCACTCCCCAATTAGCGGGAAAGTCGGGTAGTTTGTCGTGTCCCGTCCATGCCTTGAATACTGGAAGAGACCTGTCAAACATAAGATAACACGAATAGCTTCAATTTGATAACATTCAAAGAAAGACTTTCATGCAGTTGAAATTGTTTTCCACTCATGCCTTCTCACTGGCCACTTTGTTATAAAGAAAATGCAAGCTTTAGGTCCCAGAATTCAGCCATTAGAATTATGATTCATAGGAACATATTACTCTCTTCACAAATACTATAATCATTCTAAACCTCTTTCCGAAGAAATGAAAACGGATAACAGCCGTGAGATAGGAATTTATGCTTCTGTTGCATAATGGAACAGAAATAATGTTTGTGTTCATGTGTTTTATAAGACTAACTTCCTTTTTTCAATAGAGGGTCCTTTTCGGAAAGAATGAAAAAAATACGGCAGACTTCAAAGGACAAATAATTCTTTTAAGAGAACTTAAACAAGATGGTAATGATCAATGTCATTCATTCATCAACTTTTTGGAAATGTATGGAAAGAACGGATCGGTGTATGACTTTGTTTTAACCCGCTGGCTACTGAATTATCTAATTCAAATAGGCTTAACACAAGGGCCAACCGAATCCAGGTAGCAATGGATTAAACTCACTTGAGATATTCTAGGCAATCTTCAGGCTTCACGTTCAACTTTGTGTCAAAAATATCAGGATAGTCCTATGAAGAAAAAAAAAACAATGAAAGAAATGGTCATTACAAATCTTTTCTATCTTAACGAATTTAAGAATGAATTGTTAAAGACAAATATATAATATTCATTACGTTTGTAAATAATATCAAAATGTGTTCTGTTATTATTTTCCTCTTATGTATAGAGATGATCAGTTTACAAGCATATTTGTATCATGGTGTATATCAGGCACGAACGAAATCATAATGATACGAATACTCAACAATACATGGAATTGTTCAAGATATTGTGTGAATGCCATCCACTTCCAAAATGGTAAATAACTGTCTATTTCTGAGCTTTGGCAATGAGACACCGACCCACTTAAACATGCGCACCAATATCCAATTCCGATCACTTTGAAAAATTACTCTTAATAATTATGTCTTAGAAGTACACACAAAATCAAACAAACGAATTTAACACGTACCTGGCTATGAATGCAGAATAATTCTACTTGATCTTTGGACATGACCGTACAACTTCTATTGGTATTGTTTATCAGATCTAATTCCTATAAATATACAGAGAGAAAGACGAAATTGTTATCAGTAGCTCAAATACCACTTAACCCATAAATTTGGTTTGAAGATGATCAAAGATGCCTGCCACTGGGATGAAAAGTAAAGTACTCATGTACCTGTACTTTCCTTTTTGAATTGTTAGCTTATTTTTTCTATGAAAAAGTGAAATGAAATAAAACAAGTGGGAGAATGACGTTGTCACTGATATGTCAGGACAGGGGATGTAGGCTGACAGAGATAGAAGGCGCAATGGTTCAGAACCGATTTAAACACGCTATACTCGGGTCTGTTAATCATTCATTACCAGCATTTCTGAACGAATAACCCTGACCTTGTGTCAGGAAAACAGGTTAGTCATTTTCTGTTATCATCATATCAAGTTAGCCGTTATGTTATCATGTAAACAAACATGGCAATGTTAATGGTAACATTATCAGCGTTTTCACACTCCGATAAAGGCAAGCAGATAATCTCAGACAAGTACATATTGGTTTTCAAACGTTTATCTAAGGAGAGAGACAACGCAATAGCACTGTAATGAAATGCTGAAATTTGCCATGTATAATTAAAAAGACAAAAAGAAGCTCTAGGAACACTTCATGATAGGAAAAATGTATTGATGATATTCATAAATTTATATAAAAATTGATAACAATTCCTTGGAAGCTAGATGTTGTTTGGTTAGTGATCAAATCTAAAAATGATTCTAATTATTTACCCCAAATTTATCTCCTTTCTTTAGAATGTATGTTGCTCCTGCTGTCGTCATTGTAACTGCGATGGAACAATAAATGGAAAGTGTTTCAAGTCATGCAAGTGGTTTATTTCAGTGTTAGTTAAAAATTGTCTATATTTCACTACATCAGAGTCACGTATTCCTTTTGTTAATAATGATTGTTAATGTTAACATCATTGTTAACTGTTTCTACAGTTCACTCCATCAGATTAGTACATTCCTCTTTTTTCTTTCAATCATTGTTACTGTTTCAGTCATTGTCAATGGTATAATAAATCATCATATTTTATTACGTTGGCCTTTGTCCATTGATTACTCGTACTACAATTGCAGTAATGACAAAATGCTCTAGTTTAATCGCTTTATGAGATACTGTCATAACTTTATTCACACAGAAAGAAAGCCTAATTTCTTTTTCCGTTGAACAGATGCAGTTATTTAAGAACAGATTCACAATAACACCCGAAAGTATGCAAAGCAGATGCGTCATTAAAGAAGGAATTGTGACGCCCCATCTTTGTTTTTATCGGGTTTAATTTGAGGTAGTGTTTTGCCGTCGTCGAAAAAATTAAAGCAAATCATTATTTTTCAAGGTAAATTGTAAATTTAGTATCCTCACAGTTTCCATTCAGATATTCGAGCGACGCCCCTGTTTCGTCTTTACATGACGGGATAAGTATATAAAGTAAAGGAAAGGTGAAGGGCGTGATAGGGGAAAAGATTTAAGATGATATACTTACGTTTCCCAGACAGGACAAAATACATTCCCTCCGCTCGTTCTTGGTCTCGAATGATCACTCGATTTCGAGTGAATCTGTGAAGTTAAAGGATAGCCATTTTCTGAATACTTATCCAATTAATACTTATCACAATAAGTCTATTTTTGAAAAGCTTAATTTACAAAACTGTCGTACAATCTTTCTTTTCTTTTGATTTTAACCATTGATATCATTGAATTTAAATTGGCGCCTATAAATGCTTTTGATAGGAAAATGGTGCAATGTAAATGCTGTGAATCATTATGATCGTCGTCGTCATCATCATCATCATCACCATCATTATCACCATCATCATCATCATCATCATCATCATTATCACCGTCATCATCATCATCATCATCATCATCATCACCATCATTATCACCATCATCATCATCATCATAACCATCATCACCATCATCATCATCATCATCATCATCATCATCATTATCACCGTCATCGCCATCATCATCATCATCATCGCTATGTCCTTAAAACTTATTATTCTTTATACACAATAGTGTCACATAATTATTATAGTATGATAATTAATTTGTTAATTTATTCATTCATTCCATCAATCAACTCGCCTTTTTGCTCATTAGCAGAAATAAATAACTGTTTACTTACATGTCATACCAAGCATATTTACACATTCTCTTTTGTATTTCTGGAGGGTATTTAGCAAATTCTTCATTACTCTGCATACTCCGGACAACCTGTGCCGAAAACAAAAACATTGATTAGTTAGGGGTCGCTGGTTCTGAAGAAAAAAATTGTATAATTGTTTTCAGTTGCTTTCTATCTATTTTTCAGGCTAAAGATTTGTATACTTTAACTTGCCACCTGACATGTATTTAATAATAAGCACAAAACAATAGGTATAACCAGTTTTAGACAATAACATTAAAGGAAGAAAAGAACCAGAAATAGCATGAATACTAATCGAGCCTGATACCTTTGAACGTATTGTTTGGGTACATAAAACAAATTAACAAACAAATTTGAAATATTAAATGTATTAAAGCTTATTACAAACAAAACTATAATAAAGTTGTATAAATGGATGAATTAAATCCCATTCTTGTTCTCTCTTACTCTCTCTCTCTTTCTTTTCTATATGTTCCGTTTTAAGTTGATTTGTCTTGTGTCTTTGCAGAGTGATCATCCGTTGAATTTTAGTTTCTATTATTAAGGACGTTTTCTTAATACATTATTTTGTTCCTATGAAAGTGAAAAATCAAAGATTGTAAAAAAAAATGCTTCTGATTGTCTTGACCATGGTCTTTACGACTTCGGTTCCTTCTATTCAATGAGCATTCGGTGATTAGAATTAGATACTCGACTGCCATGCATGTACATGTAAGCTCAACCATTTTCACAAACAGAAAACAAACTTTTATATATCTGTTTTGTACTTTCATCCCCATGTATACAAATTCAATTGTAATCAAATATGTACTCACATTTTGAATTTGTTCTTGCGACCTATCGTCTTCTTCCATTGACAAGATATCCTTGATTTTATTGGGTAATCCTTCCTGTGAAGACAGAACGACAAATCAATAATATTTTAGCGGATCCCAGGAAACAGAAACGATTTATTTCGTATCAATGCAATAGGGCATTCGAGTTCATTATAGTCAATGATCGAAGATTGATGTATGTTTCCATAATTATGGAAATTATTCTTTTCACTGTTTTATTCTTTTATCTTTATTCGTTTTTATAATAACCCGGAAAATTATTTCAAGATAAATAGTCTCTTGGACAAAAACTTCCGGTCATTTATAAACCACGAACAAATACCACCCAGTAACTACTGCTCTTGGCCGGGCTCATTTGCCAGTGCAGTGGAAGTTGTCCTGCGGCTTATATGTTCCCAAAATCAGATGTACATAATCACGCGTCATCAATTTAGTTTTACTAAATTTACCAACCTTACAAAAAAAAACGTCTGTTGCGTCATGTTTCATTCTGCCCTTTGAATACGATGCGTCATTTCTGACGTACGATTGCGTCAGAGAGTTTTGTGGTCTCTCACACGCCATGTGCAAATGACATCGTCAACATTTGTGATACTTGAATGCAAAATGAACAATGCAAACATTGTGTCGAAATGCTTAAGTACGACCTAATTGTCTTCTTGGACTTAATTAGCGCGGGGGATGACGCAATCGAAACGAAAAAAAAAACACTCTGACGCAATGAGATGATCAACTTCTAAAATAAACGAGGAGCATACCTCTCTCTTTGAGAATCTTTGATAGTCGGCTGCGTCAAAGGTCATATCAGGATAGGCGGAACTAACAATGCCCTTTGGATAATCCCCGTCATTCCCTGTTCGTTTAGCTTCTTCTTCCGCCGAGGTCAAAATCTCTTCCACGACTTCCAGCAAACTTCCCTTCAGAGCTCTCTCAGATGCCTCCCTGTGTGTGGAAAAATATCGCTGGTGTTTTTATTTCATGGATAAACAATTATAACGTTTTTATGTGCAAATGAATTTGTATAAACTATACTTGACAATACACATTTCGGTTTATTTTTCTTGTCAGACAATTAGAAGTGTTGGATTTAGGAATATTATCTTAACATGTATTGAGCTATGTGAACATTGATATCAGGTGAAAGGACTTGGCTCGTTGGGATTACATGTACGGAGTGCGTTGGGTTTAGATTTGAGGCAACAGTAGAGGGAGAGTTGGTAAATCTCTTTGGAAAGTAAAAGTTATCTGCTGAGTTTATGTGTTGAATAAGGGCCCCTCTGGCTCTCATTTGATTTTTCAGTTTTCATTTATGAACCCATTGACAACTGAACCTGGATGGCTCCTGCATTAAGTCAATGGGAATTAAACAATTCAGTATTCAACGAGTTAAATCAAGATTTTCGACTTACCTCATATAGACAACGCATACCATACAGAGCCACTTCACTGCGTTAGCCTTTAACCTGAACCGCTCATAAGGCTAGAAGACAAGACAAAATATCACATATTATTTTTAGCCTTTCAAACAGGGCACATCAGCAACTCCTTAATGTATTCATACCCGAGATAAACCATGTGAAATCGTGTGAATCGGAATATAAATTGACTAATAATGTAGTAAATATTTTCATTTCTAATTACCTGTTATTGATATGAGATTAAATGTCAAATACGAGTTTGAGGTTATAGGATCTAAACGACAAAATTCATGCCAATTACTACACATTTCAAGGCCCGACTGGTATTGGTACCGAGTCGAAAGCGCCATTATAACCATGGTAAGTGCGTATTTATATTCGGTATTCAGACAGTCAATATATGTTACCATAGTAACCGGGCTATTAATTCACGCTTGGGATTCCGAAGCAATAGTGTTATGCAACAATCACTTAAATCGACAGTTTTATATCTGGAGGACGTACTCTCAGTGTCAAATCAATTCTCATTCGACAACGGGAGGCCTACACTTGTTTTCGTGTTTAGGCGTCAGCGATGAAGGATGCATAAGTAATATTTACACCGCCTGTACATTGGAATAGTACAGCGAAATTATTCTAGCAAACAAGAAAATGTGATAGCATATCACAGGTTTTAAATCATTGTAGAGTGATTTTTAAACCAATGTTTGAATTGGAATAGTATTGCTTACAAATAAGAGATTGTGTCATTGGAATGAAAGATATATATATATATATAATATTGTTTCAAGTCAGATTTTCTATGACAATGGAAAAGATCGAAGAGAAGGGTAAATATTCGAGGAGAAGGGGGAAGGGTATTATGATGAAAAGAAGAAGGAGAAGGAACAGAAAGGGGGAGAAAATGGGAACGAAGAGGCATAAGGGGAAGAGAGGAGCATAAGGGGAAGAGAGGAGCATAAGGGGAAGAGAGGAGCATAAGGGGAAGAGAGGAGCATAAGGGGAAGAGAGGAGCATAAGGGGAAGAGAGGAGCATAAGGGGGAGAGAGGAGCATAAGGGGAAAAGAGGAGCATAAGGGGAAGAGAGGAGCATAAGGGGGAGAGAGGAGCATAAGGGGGAGAGAGGAGCATAAGGGGGAGAGAGGAGCATAAGGGGAAGAGAGGAGCATAAGGGGAAGAGAGGAGCATAAGGGGAAGAGAGGAGCATAAGGGGAAGAGAGGAGCATAAGGGGGAGAGAGGAGCATAAGGGGGAGAGAGGAGCATAAGGGGAAGAGAGGAGCATAAGGGGAAGAGAGGAGCATAAGGGGGAGAGAGGAGCATAAGGGGAAAAGAGGAGCATAAGGGGAAGAGAGGAGCATAAGGGGGAGAGAGGAGCATAAGGGGAAGAGAGGAGCATAAGGGGAAGAGAGGAGCATAAGGGGAAGAGAGGAGCATAAGGGGAAGAGAGGAGCATAAGGGGAAGAGAGGAGCATAAGGAGGTACCTCTAGCATTCATATCAGAATATATAGGATTCCTGCGGATTGCGGAAGAGGACGCTGGAAATGGGAGAGGAGGGAGAGGACGAGGCGAAAGGGAGGAGGAGGAGGAGGAGGGTGAAGGGGATGAGTATGACTGAGGAGGTAGAGGGGGTGAGGCCGGGGATGAGGCCGGGGATGAGGAGGAGGGGATGGATCTACTTGATGGGGAAGGGTATGGAGGAGAGATGGAGAGGAGAATGTGTGAAGAGATAAGGGAAAAGTATGAGAACAGATTGAAGAAGAAGGACAAAGAGAAGGTGAATAAAGGCTGATGAAATTGAAACGAAGGAGGGAAAGCAAAAGCAGGAAAGATTAAGTGATTAATTATAATAGTTCTTCTCAATTATGCTTACCGTTGGTCCCGCTGGTTTGTTGTCCTCCGGTAGCGATGCGGCGGTCCTGCGGCGATTGGATACCTTCCCAGCTGAAGTAGCACCCTTCCTTGACCCACTACCATGACTAGCTGTGTCCATGTTGTCCAGAACAGTGACCCTCCTAGCACGGGGCAAGGGGTACATCATGAAGATAATTATCAATCATAAACAAAAATCCAACACGTCTGTCTCCGTTGCCACAGTTTGAACGTGAACTTTGTGCTCAGAAATGTGCTCAGAAACGTTTTCAGCGAACGTTAGCAAGAAAATATGTTAATTTTCTCGTTTATCGATCCCGCTGAGTAAATACAACGACATAATTTAATGCTAAATTTAGACAAAGATAAATTCATGTTAATGATGCTCATGTCTGTCGACTAAATGGTTATGAACTTTGTCCAATGTTTACCAAGGCAGGGAGTTGCGAAAAGAGGCAATTGGCTGGTTTCAGACTGCAGTCCAAACTTCGCGAATGTTCTCTTTAGCGGACCAGAACTAAATCACACTGGTTAATATCTAGACCATATCATTATCATCATGAGTAATACAATTTGCTTTATCACAGCAACATGTGAGGGCTGGAGCAACATGTGAGGGCTCACATGCCTCCGGGTAATAGTGTTGAATTTCACTTTTGTGAGCCCTGGCCCACACGTTGCTCCCTCCCTTTTCCTCTTGTGTTGTTTATGTATTGCATGATCTGTCAAAATGTATTTGTATTGTGCTTTTATGATCGGCCTAATAAATAATAATAAATAATAGTAATAATACTTCATTGTGTATAGCACGTTATTCCCATAGTGATCAAATGATATTGAGCTTCGTCAATCAAGCGTGGCCTAAAAATCATGGATGAGTATTATTGTGTTTAATCGTGCGGAAATAAAGAAAGATCTGAATATGACAGCTAGACGATTGTGCCATTGTGCCAGCTAGACCCCGTACAGATTATGGCTGACATAAAATGGGGGAGATGAAATCACTAACATTGATACGACGTTTTGATAGGGTAAAAGAAGTGCATGTGACATTTCACTGATAATCATCTAAACTATGAAGAACTTGGTCACCGGCTATATTAAAGATCTTCTCTTCCTATACTCCATGTCTAAATTGTATTTTCAATAAATTTCGGGTTGAAAATTTAAAAAAAAAAAATCTTCTTCAAGTTGATGTATTTGAGACGATCCAATCCAATCCAATCCAAAAGATATTTGATATAGCGCCTTTTCCTTGCAGTTACAAAGCGCTGCACACACGCTCGACAATGTTTGGGCCACTTAAAAACAAAAGTTAGACACTTCTCAGAGATCAGTAAAGAATATGTAGGCTGTTAATAAAGTAATTTCTAGCAAAATAGATGTGACTTAAGTAGTTTCTTCAACTAGTCAACAGATGAGGCCGTCTGCACCATATAACACCATAGACAACTATGGTAAAAAGTTCGAAATACACTTTACTTTAACCATTCGAGTACTACTACTGCTACTACTACTACTACTAATACTGCACCATTACTACTACATAGTTGTAATACAAGTGATGCTCATAGTATCACAGATGATGATGGTGGTGATGATGATGATGATGATGATGATAATGATGATGATGATCATAATTATAGTAATATGATTAGAAAATATAATACTATAATTAAAAATAATATTAATAATGATAATGATGATGATAGCGATGAAAATGACGAATAGATTCAATTAAATTTTTCAATCCAACAGCACTTGATGTTTGATGATTTTCTATATTCGCCGCGCCGGACTGTAAATGTCTGACTCGAAGTTAAAATGTTCAAATCTCACATTCAAAAGATGTAGGTCAATAGTGAATTAGGCAAGTGTATAGGACTATGATGTTTCTTTAAAGTATTGATATAAATGTATATTTTGATGAAGATGAATATTGAGAGAAGACAGGAAGATTGTAATGTATATTCCAATGTTTAGTGTACAATGTACTATTGGGGTGCGGCAGTAGCTTGATTATAGGTTACGAGATAACAAAAAGAAATAGAGGGAAAAGAGTGATTGGTAGATATAAACTACCACTTTTCGTCTAAATCTCTCTTTTTAAAAATTAGCATGCAGAAAACATAATTTGTGTATACTATGAAGCAAACTTATCTTCAACTACTGTTTTTTTAGGCCTCCATAAAACAATATCCAACATTTTAAAGCCATATTTTCTGGAGACGTTCGTACACATGTCAAGACCTTTTTGTAACTAAAACCGTTCTGAATTGTAATAATAATAATACGGCATTTATTACAATCAGGCTGAAGTTTATTAATGGTTTTGATTATGTTTACTTCTCTGGCGCCATTTCGTTTGGACTAACCTGTGTTTGGGTCTAAAACTTTCGCTTGGCGATCCAAGATCCATTCGCTCCATGATTCACATTTGACCCTCCTCCGTCAATTATTCTCAAAAATCCTCTTTACTCCAAATCCTCTCTCTAATCACCCCGCTTTCGGTAAGATGATTATAAATTCAAGAGGGTTTTAGACGCGATGTTGAACAAATAGAGACCCTCGAAGTGGTTTAATTTTCGAGTAGTAGACGTGTAGTTTGACCGCTATATACATACACATCTAGCCAGGCCGCCACGGCATGTCTGCTTTGTATTGTTTGTAAGAAAGTATAGAGACTGACTTGAATAGGATGGACGGAGAGACACAATGGGATTATTGGATGAGTCGTTGAGGGGGGTTGCTAACTAGTTCGTGTTCAGACAGTATGCTGTTTGCCTTTGTTATGATACATCGATTGTTATTATCTTGCCGGTATTTTATCTATTGGACGTTACTTTGTGAGTTTGGCGGATCATTGTACTGTCATGTCAAAGTTGCATAATCAAGCCGATGAAAAAATGAGGAAGATATTTCACTCGTTTGACTTATTCCTGATTCTATTTTGGTGGTGCTGATGCTGGTGGTGGAAGTAATGGTGTTGATGGTGGTGTTGATGGTAGTTTTGGTATAGTCAAGTGAAATTCATATACTATTTCCACTGCCCTATTATATACATCATTTTAAAAGTATATGGGCTGAAAGACCTAAGAGCAAGCAGGAAATGATAGATATGTATTTCATTAGTATAGCTATATTTCCCTCTTTAGGCGCATAGTTCGAAGATGGCAGGACCCAAGGCAAGAACAACCCCACCCCGTTGCTTTTTATCAATCGTATACGACTAGTGCCCACCCCCCCCCCGCCCTCTTCCGAATACACAGGATACACAACTGTGTAAATCTACGAAAAACACGAAACGAAATATACTACGTTTTGGCACCATGCACCCTCTGAACACTATAGAAGTCCAGTACTTGCCGCTAGACAACAAAAGGACCTTTAAGAATCACCCCCTTGGGAACAGATCGATAATATCCTTGTGTGAAAGATATTGTTGCTAAAAGTCCGATCGGACTGGCAATTATGATCTTGGATACAGCGGTCCGGATTGTTCCACATCTAGTCCAATGTCGACCCATCTCTTTAAGCGATCATAGCCTTACCATTAATTTCAGTGAAAATTGTTTTTGCAAAATCATGGCAAATTTATGTTGAATATCACATCCATTTTCTTCATTATAAGTTATTTCACTATGTGGATGTTATGTCTTTTGTGTTTGTTATGGCGTTTTAATTGTCTTGTATTTACTGCCATCGACCTGCTTTTGTTTTATGATTGAGAATTGTCGTGGTCTAGTGAGCATGACCCTGGATTGTGGGCAAGATGGTCTCGGTTCGATTCCCAGCCGAGCCATTAATGCCCTTAAGAAAAGCATTAATCTACAGTAGCGCTCTCAACCCAGGTGAGGAGATGGAACCTGATAGGAGGTTATTCCGACAATGCTTCCCGTGCGCTAAGGCAGGTTGGCTATATCCTGGGTCGAATAGTTTAAGATTTAAGATATTTTTAGAACAGGCCGAATTTGAATGCGCCGGGTGCCTTTATTGAACCTCTTTAGTGAATTAAGACACAACATTGTAGGTATTATCATTATCCTTGTTGATATGTGTAAAACATCATGTTCATTGATTAAGGTTTAATGGGCTGTATAAATAGCGAAGTACAACATTATTTAAAACATGCATTTATAGATAACATTTAAAAGTTTTTTTAATAATTATACAACGACCCCCCCCCCCCTCCGATACCCAAGTTTATGTCAATTCATATCCAAATTTATTTGTTAATGAGGGTCATTTATGAAGTATGAAGTAGGTAGTATCTAGCTGTCCTGGGTAAGTAATTGTCGTGGGGTTGATGAAAATGTTGTTGAAAAATTGTCCGGAATAATTATCCAAAGCGAAGAAGTTGTCGAAGTAGCAGTTTCTTGCGGAGAAAGATACGAAAGGACATGCCAGGTAATCATTATCTCACTACAGTCAAACCTGCTTTAGTGACCACCTGTCTTCAAAGACGACATTCTTTGTTTCCCTTGAAAACGGTTTCTCGTTTAAACATGTACTAAAGGCCCGGCCCCCCCACTCAGTGTTATTTAGGGTACGCATATGCTCGTACCCTCTTTTTGAAAGCACCCCCTATCTGAGGACTGCCAACATGTCCGAACCCCCCTTTCGCGGGCTTTTCGCGAGCTTTTCCTGCCTTGGAGACCCCCCTAAATCAGGAAAAATGCTCAATGTACCCCCCTAAATTTGAAATAATTTCTCAGGAGTCCAAAGAGATGAGAGAAAAAAAAGAAAAACACCCCCTTTTTAAAGAAATCTCCGGGTGAAAAGTCAAATACACCCCTTTTTTTACAATTCTCGGGCCGGACTTTGTCGCACGAAAAGTACCCCTTTACCGGACATTTTGGCAACACGCATGCGGTCATTCCAACCTCTGAGTGGGGGGGCCGGGACTAAAGGAACCTGTCTACAAAGACCACTTGTCTACAAAGACCATTTTTGTGTTTCCCTTGGGCGGCCGCTATAAACAGGGTTGACTGTATGATTTTTCCCAGTGACTATATACAGCGTGTGTTTTCTTGTTGGTTTATATCAAAATGGTACCTACCTCATGAGCACATTCTTTCCGGCTGACATCCGGGCCTCCTCATAGATAGGGGTCAGGGTCATCGTGGTCATTGACCTTGGTAAAGGCTTTTTCTCCTTCTCCTGGTGATGATAAGACCGTCGCCTGTCTCTCACCTCTCCTAGTCGTATCATCTTCTCAACGGAGTCCTTCGGAGGACGGGCGATGGGCGGTAACGACGACGAGGAGGAGGTGGAGTATGAAAACGACGATGATGATATCACTTTCTCGTCATCGGTCGCGTTGTCCGACATTCTTTATTTCCTTGTAGTTGATATCTATAAGAAAAAAATCAGAATGACTTCCGCATTTATTGTAACATACTATATGTATTTTTTTTGTTTTTTCTGTATTTTTTGATAAAAATTGGTTTTCAAACTACCAGCACACGATGATATTCCATTAGGGAAATGTAGGCCCGCACTCAGCTCTACGTATTGAGACATTAGGGACTTATCGAGACATTAGGGAGTTTTAGATTTGCGTGGACGTGGACGTGGACGTGGACGTGTGACGTCCTTTGAATGCACTTGCAGTGCCACGTCGCAGTCCACGTCGCAGTCCACGTTGTCGTCGTGCACATCTAAAAGTCCCTGATGTTATTCGTGACGAACTCTATGGCGGACCTGCAACAGCTAATTTACTTGTACGATATAAAATGTAGGCCCACAATTTTGAATGCAGTGAATATATATATATTAGGAATGTACTGTTGGCCATAGAGTTGAAATATTTTTTTCTTACCTCTTTTCATGAAATGATTGGGACAATATGGCTTATTCTTGATAAGATAAAGTTTCTATTTTCTCAGAGATGTATTAATCAATCTCTATGAATCTTTAGATTACTCAATAATGTTCCGAGAAGATATAAACTCTACCTATTAAGAAGAAATCCTCTTTCACAATCACTTCATGCACAGAGGTAACAAAAAGTATTCAACTTTTTGGTCAACGTTGTATAATTTTCAACAACTGTAGTATATAGATAGATCCAATATTTAGAAGCAAAATTGATTTACAGTGATTTATAAGAAAGCGATTATGGAATAACGTAACATCGTAACTATTTAAAAGTGGTTGTGAAATGCAGACGTTCATTGCATAATCTGAATGAAAGGTTGTATTTTTCCTGACACAAACCACGGACCTACTAGGTCCATGCACAAACTATCGCCTTGTTGTGTTGATATTGGGATGACAACAATACCGATGAGCGCATTTTTATTCAGCTTGAAGAGGAATGGGCCTTGATTGTCCATGGATGCACACAGTTCCTTATTCCTTAATCCTTAATCCTAAAGGGCATTTGATGTCGCTTTAGCCAAACCCTTTCTACAATAGGAAATAAAACGCCATTCTGTTAACTTTTTTTGAGGGGGGGGGGGTCGTCTGAAAGAGTTGTTGTGACAACAGTCCTCGGACCGTTTAATTCTCTACTGACCAAAGCGGATGCAAACGCTATAGTTTTGTTTTTATTATTTAGAAATAACTAACGAGAACCATGTACATGGCATGATACTGAGTACTACGAATGACATCATCATCATCATCAACATCGTCATCTCCAATTTTTCTCATAAAGCTTCAATCTATTTTTAATAACTTTATTTTCTGTACACTCATCTGATATGCTAGCAATATATTGTTGATGTTTTTTGTAGTTTTTTGTTGTTACTGCTTTGATGTGAACATTGATTTATTTTGATATAACTTTTCACATTTGCTATGTTTTTCTTTATATATTATGTGTTTGTGTGTTTGAATGCTTTTATAATTGTATGTATTAAGTAAACTCGCAGTTTTAGTCTTTGGACTTTTTGACAAGATTGAATAAAACATAATTTGAATTTAAATTGAATCAAATTGAATCATCATCATCATCATAATAATCATCATCAAGTGCCATCTTACAGACAGCGGCGGACACGGCCCTCCATTTCTGTTTATTATCTGCTATTCGTAGCAAGCTGATTTTGCTGATTTCTTTTTGCTTGCCATTTGTTCATGCCTTACGTAAAGCATTGCCTTCCACCGCTCCTCTTTCAAGCTATCTTCCCTGTTGACATTTTTTTTAATCTAGTTTTTCCTTTCTGTATAATTATATGACCAACAAATGACAACATTTAAAAGAAGTGAGCTGTCTCAAAAACAAGAAATAAGATTTGATAATTACATATTTTCTAATTCGCCTTTTTTTGTTGAATGCCGAAAGGGCGAGGATGCCTGTTATTGCGCTTTGTATTTCATTCCGTAAAATAATAATAATAACAATATTTAATTTTTATATAGCGCTTAATACAAATAACAGCATAGGAGATAATTTTATAGACAATGGTTATAAAGATATTATCGACAACAATTTTGAAAACGAAGATATTTTCAGGCCTGTATTTCACAATGATGTTTATACAAATATTGGAACTATTTATTATTCGTATCATAGGAGTATTTGTTATTTATTAATTTATCATTAACGTTTTATAAGCACGCAGGGTAGATAAATATAGTACGAATACGTCCTGTATAGTATTCAAGCATTTCGGGTTCTAAATGCTTATGAGAACGCTTAATCAGAAATAAACCAAACTTATTTCAAATCAAGTGCTGCAATAAGATGAACAGCAGCTATATTGAACATAACGAATACTGTATAGATATACATAATCATTAGAAGAAATCAAAAATGCCGAGTGAACATTAGCGTACTGTTTAAAATAAAAATATGACTTACCTAAATATACAATCAGAGAGTTGTAAAACAGTGATGAGTTCCTTGATTCAGACACTGAGCAATATCCTTGCCGGGTCCATATTCACAATATTTCCATGTTGTTTGTCACTATGTTGTTCTTGCACCATGCATTATATACCTCTTTTGGTTACCTGCGATTTTCTAAAATCCACTTGAGCGTCAAGTGCTATCAAGATTCGTAGAGAAGTAGTCTCTTCTCCAACAGAAGGAGAAGCTATCCAAAGATTAAACAGGAGGCAAGCGATCTTGAACAAGCATCCTCAGAAGATCTATATATCTTGTTGCTGTAGTGGAAATAGGTTTTTATATCTGTGTGTGTTCAAAAGGAGCAGAAATCTACGATTCACTTTATTCGTTGTGGAAGCAACGTTACCAGGAACTCGGCATGCGCTATCTGATTATGTAATGGTCGAGAAATCTACACGACTTTAACGAGAGAAAAGGTATTATTTTGAAAACCCGCCGAGGGAGAAAATAGCTTGTAAAATCCGCATGGGTGATGATACATAATGCTCGGATCCACACGCGTCGTCTCGTACTCAAATGGCATAAAGACGTCTTGAAGTCCATACTTACTTTCAAAGAAAGCTTGTGTTCTTTCGAAAATTACATTGGCATTATTCACGATGGTCCACAAATCTCAAGTGTATAGACAAAAGAAAGCATACCCATCAGCGATTTTAATAGGATTTTAGCATCAATCATTGAAATTCCAAAAGAAAATACAGGTCTCCTTTCTTATTTCGATTTCAGCATTAATAATTCATGTAGTTTGAAGCCTATTACATTACACGAAATGTTCATTGAAACGGCCTCGCCGAAAGTGAAATTTCCTTTCCTTTTTAAAAATAAATCATATGTTATAATTACTCCATTTACTTTACCGTTTATTCCTCCACGCATCATCACTCTTAAAGGGTAAATGAATAACGGTATACCTTCCTCAACAAAAGGCACAGCACATTTTGTACAATGACCTGGGTCTTTTCCAGTTTCACATACCCATTTCGGCCATAACTACCGCGATAGCCTAGACAAGAGTAAGACACATAATCCTCACTGTCTAATCCTAATAATTTCTACGTCCATTATTTGCTTTACACTTATGAGAGCAATCCACATTTGTGTGCAAACATAAACACCACTGCCGACGATTATGTTATTTATAAATCAATACACCCTCCCCCTCTTTTATATTTGGATAAAAGAAAATCCTTTGTTATTGGCGATTACGTTAGGAGGTGTTGAAAACGATTGTTCACATTTCGTACCACTTTAGGAAATATTTGGGAATAATTAAGGACCTTCGAAAGGGAATAAGAGTGATTGATATCGCTTGTTAGTCAGATAACTGGATCCCGTTTTGACGGATAACCCACGAGACTGACAGCCCGTGACAGACAAAAAACTGACCGACAGTTCAGTTGACTGACAGATCTCGAGACCGACAGACTTTGAGACCAAAAGGTGAATATATCGACAAATAAGAAACAGACGGTCCAATGAAATAGACAGATTACAAGACCGACGCCAAACGAAAGCGACTGACCAACATTGCATTCACTATAACTAAAAAATAAGCAGGTCTTCGAGACCTGGAATTTGGTCTTGTTACTCTCGTGGACAATTTACGGTAGCCAAATATTTCAGCCAAGTTATTCATAGGTTATAGTAAGAACAATTACTAGTCTTCCGCTTCTTTGTTCTATTAGGGATAAGGGTTAAGGTTATCAACACCTTTTCTGTTGTTGTCGAAGGGGGCGCCTGCGAAGATAGCTCCCAGACAGCTCCACCGAATTCTACAGTGGGCAGCTCTAGTCATGGTACTACGGCGCATGCGGGCGCTATTGGGATATTCTCATCCGATTTGGTTGAATCCTTTCGTTCTCAAATACCTCCCCCCCCCCCCCCATCCCCAACTGAGCGAAATATCAGCCGGCACAGCATACTAAATCTCAAATTGATTTCAAATTTGGGCCTCCCCCTATGAAATCCTGGATCGGCGCCTGATATATCTATTCAATTTTCTCAATACTACACACCAATAGCAACAAAATGGGACAATAATCACTACCACGGAGCAGAGAGTAAAAACTGTTTTAATGTTCCTGTGCGATTGCTTGTTTTGTAAGTGGAGGAAAAAAGATGTTGCCGTTTCATGACATTCAAATTTATTTTATTATCGGGTAAGTGAATGGATTTTTCGCAATCTTGGCATCTTACCAAGCATATTAACAGGGTGACTCCGAGTAATGGTGCCAATGCATTATTTTGTGTCCTTATTTCCTTTTGTTTTAAAATCTCCCCTCTAAATTACGTCTTTCTCTACTGCTTTTTTCATCATCTACATTACTTTTTTCCAGGAACCTATATTATACAAGCACTGCTTTCTAACAGATTCCTCACATTTTACTTTATCTATTATATGAATTGAGAATCATTAACATGTGCTTATTTATACTAAAATTGTAATGTATAATTTTTTATTTTATTTTCTGTAAAATGTGGAACATTAAACTTAAAACTTGAACTGTGTGCTTGAGTATTGGAGACCTTTCAGCGCATTTGCTTTCCCTTTATTATAAGCTCGGTAAAACTTGCATTTGATTATGTGAGGAAGACCACCTTACCTCCCCCCCCCCCCCCCCCCACCATGGTTCCAATGGGTGGGTTCACAGTACGCCAATGGAAATGGGTGCCCCTGTCTACAACACGTTTGACTTACCTAAACCTGCAAACCGCGGACAAAGAGAGGAAGACAAGTCATGGTTGAAAACTCACCTGCTCTATTCTAGTTCATTTCATTTCAGTGGTTCCAATTGATTGGCTGCAACCATGTGTAGTCAGGCGCGTCAGGTGCGTACCCCCCCCCCCCCCCCGCTTATTCAGCGGTCGGCTGAGTCGTTGTGATTTTTTTTGAGACCAAACAAAAAAAAGGTGACCTCTTACCCCCCCCCCCCCCCCGCTTATTCAGCGGCTGGCTGAGTCGTTGCGAAATTTTCGGCCCGATTTATAAATGTTAAACCCCTCCCCCTTGAAAAAATCCTGCGTACGCGCCTGTGTGTAGTACAATGTTCGCTAGAGAGCAGTTATAACTAATGTAGTTTAGTCGGCTCACAAGTCTTCAAGGCCGTCATCGTATAGACGAGTCCCTTGATAATGATGGCTCGTTTCATTTGGATATACGTCATCTTGTGGATGTTGAGATGTCGGGTAAGTACATCAGTTCATCCTTCAAAGTGCAAGACTTTTATTTAGGAGGGGTGTCACTCACAGTCATTCAGCATGTTCAGGTGTTGCGTTGTAAAATGTCAAAATCGAATTCATTTGTTGAAATCCAAATGTTAGCGGTCCTTTTCAATAGCCATTTTAATTCAGAAAAGTGTCAGAAATCTTAAAGCTGAAATTGAAAGGTACATTGAATTCAATCTTTCATAATAGATCTACTGCCGTATACAAACGAAATACAGCCGTATACAGGGGTAAACGTTTTACAGTTTCATAGGAAATCACAACGTCACTTGTCTATAAAATGTTTTGTTGAATATCCGTCTAAAGTGATGAGAGCCCCAAAAAGTTTGATGGCAAAATTTCACTTAAATTTTATCATAATGTGAAACAGAATGTCAATAAAGACATATTTCTGCAAATTTTTCCCCAAAAATGTGTTTGAAGTCGACTATCCCTTTGGAAATTGGTGTAGGCTTGCCACACGCTAGCAGTACGTGCAAGCAAGCTTCCTCTACATAGCTTGTTACGAGCTTATTTCAAGCTCGCTACTAACTTGCACGGTTCCAGAAATGCAAATAAGATTATCTGTCAGCCAATCAGGACAGAGGAAATTTATTAGCAGATCACAACATCTGCAAGCTTGTAACTGGGAACCTTGCGGCAAGCATGCATGGCTCCACAAAATGCCAATGAGGTAGCTTTTCAGCTAATCTGAAAAGAGAAGGGTGCAAGCTTGCGCAAGCTCGTAAGTTTATTTATATATTTTTCCAGCAGATTTTTCGTACGTTTCAACTCCCCCCCCCCTAATCAAGCATGTCGAGAGCCTTTCTCAAAGGTATAACGCGCTTTACAAGATCTGTATTATTATAATCTGTGTATATGACCATCCAATGATTCCCTATTTTTAGATCTCATTAGCAAAGAATCACAGGTATGAACTAATTATGTTACACTTAAAGTGTGCATAAATATATCAAATTTTGTGCTGTATGTTTATAGTGACAATAATTTGGTCATAAATGGGGTTTAGTCCATATCATCTGACATACACAAAAGTACACTGTGCTATACAAATGAGATTATGTAAATAATATTGAACAGCAGTTTGAAATTTAATTTTTTGTAATAATTAAAAAAATGTAAAAGAATTTATGTAACTGGCAGCCTTGTGGCAAGCGTGCAAGCTTGTTTATACATGTACACTGTTGGAATATTTATTATTACCCCAGTTTAGGGAAGGATTTTTAAAAAATTATTTATTTCTAATAGATCTTGATAATGGCATACATTCTCAGTTTTTATTGAATATTAATTTGCGAGTGTTTGTTTTGCGTGACTGCTTAATCATATGTGTGCTACTATGCTAATCAGCTAAGGGACCTACGTCCTTAAGTCATAATTGACAGTAATGAGGATTAAAGCCTTCCAAAAGGGCACTAATATATAGCTGATCGACATGATTTTTATCCTGGGGCCTCACAGTAACGAGGCCACAGTAAATTCCTCTGTGGGGTCATGTATTATGGTTCAATGCATGGCCCCACAGAGGAATTTTTCCTGTTGGGGGCCGGGGGAAAATGCAATGAATTTTTGACAATTTATTGCATTTTCTTCGTTTTGGGGGATTTGTGGAAGGGGCCGCGTACCCTAGCAAACACTGCGTACAGTCATGATTCAGGGGCTAAGCAATCATGGCCTCGTTACTGTGAGGCCCCAGGATAAAAATCATGTCGATCAGCTATATATTAGTGCCCTTTTGTGAGGCTTTAATCCTCATTACTGTCAATTATGACTTAAGGACGTAGGTCCCTTAGCTGATTAGCATAGTAGAACACATATGATTAAGCAGTCACGCAAAACAAACACTCGCAAATTAATATTCAATAAAATCTGAGAATGTATGCCATTATCTAGATCTATTAGAAATAAATAATTTTTTAAAATCCTTCCCTAAACTGGGGTAAAAATAATTATTCCACCATTATGACCAACAGTGTATATTTTCCTGCAGCTTTTTCTTATGTTTCACCTCTTTTTCCCTATTAAAGCATGTTGAGAGTCTTTTTCAAAGGTATAATGCGCTATATGAGATCTGTATTATTATTATTATATTATGTGTATATGACCATACAATGATGCTCTATTGTAGACCTCATTAGCAGAGAATCGAAGGATTTGAGATAATTATTGACCAAAAAAATGGTGCATTCGTGTATAAGTGTAAACTTTTATGCTATGTGGTCATAGATGAAGTTTGTCCCTAGCATACACAGAAATGGACTGTACTATACAAATGAGATCATGCAAACACTCGAACAACAGTTTGAAAGTATTTGTTAAATGTTTGCAACATGCCTTTTTTGTAATAACTAAAGAATTGTTTAAAGAAGTTATAGCATTTTGTATTTGAAAAAGCTGTGTAATGTAACAAACTGAACACTGGGCAATTGGTAACACTCATTTGATTTATCTGTATTATGTTTATATGGTTGTGTAAGAAGTTGGCCAGACTCTTGGCCTGCAAACTAACAAGAGCTTGCGATTGCACCGTTGCAAGCTTTGAAGCTTGCAGGGCATATCCTCTTTACCTGCAAAATTGCAGGGGCTTTAGATTGCATTCTCGCAAGCTTGCAGGACATATCCTCTTTGCCTGCAATATTGCAAGGGCTTTAGATTGCATTCTCGCAATCTTGCAGGGCTTAACCTCTTTGCCTGCAAGCTTGCAGGAGCTTTAGTTTGCGCCCCCGAAAGCTCCGCAAGCTTGCATGGCATACACTGGTCGGCCTGCAAGATTGCAAGGGCTTTAGATTGCGCTCCTGTAAACTTACAGCAAGTTTGTTGTAAGATTGCGAGCAAGTTTTGCAAGCATGAATTTTTAATACAAGCTTAATACGTTTGCCAAATATGTATTCTTTTATCAATTATTTGTCTCTAAATACATGTTTTGGGGGAAATATTTGCAGAATTTTGTCTTAAATGACATCCTCTTTTAAATATGATACTATATAGGTGAAATTTTGCCATCAAATATATGGCGAATTTGGGGCTCCCATTACTTTAAAGGGGTTTTAAAGCCCCACTGCACTACTTATGGTTACTTGCGCTCTCTATATAGCAAACAATGTATGCCTAATGCCTAAGCGGTGACCGTTGGTCCCCCATGATCCTCTTTTTCTGATGTTAATTGAGAGCTGATTTGATGAGAAAACCACCTGTCAGTGACCATTCAGGGAGGTCTGATCCCTTCTGGCCAAACTGGTGCAGATAGGCTTTCAGTACTTTGTGTCAAAAGCTATTGATTTTTTTTTAAATCGGTGAAAAATGTCAAATTTCAGTTGACAAACATTTCTATTATACACATACATGAAATAATATACTGTTGGTACTGGTGTGACATTATAAAGGGTTGTAATAAACCAAAAGCAGTGAAGAATAAGAGTTGGTGGAAAGAGGGGATAAAAAGATTGGAGAGGAGGTGGTGGTTTTTTTAAGGCGAACAAGTTGTGTGAAATACCATAACAAAATAATACAGGACAGTTCTTCAATATTTTGTAGATCAGACAAGTATACAAGTCACCATTTAGAGTAGTTCTGAGTAAAACTGCCTTATTATCTTCCATTTGTTTTTCACATGAACGAAGTAATCATCTATTACGTGTATGTACAAAGTATCTTGAGGATGATTTACTGTCACGTTGATATTATACTGGGAAGAAGACGTAAAATCCCAATATTATTGAAGATGATTAGTGTAACCTAGCAAAACGTCGAGCATGAGTGGGCCCCTATCAGGGCCACTTACTCATTCTCGAAAGAATACTTGCATGGTGTAACCGCAAGCTTTGCTCAAATATTTCTTCACCATGGAAGCCTTCAAAGATTACAATGTAAAAGAAGTTTACTAGAGGGTGCTCCATCTTCAAACATTTGACCTTCTCAAAGTAATATATCGTTTGCCATGAAAATAAATAGTTTTAAATAGTTTTAACATTTAGGGGAATTATGAGTGGAAAGTAATATTTTTCATAAATAAAATTGTTAATATTCATACCGATAATACGTTACACAACTTAATTTTAAGTAAAACATTATGACTGAAAAGGTGACCATTTTTAGCAGGTCTTAATAATGGCGAGAATGGTAATGGTAATGGTAAGGGTTTATTTAAACATACATTTTCCACTTCAAGCCACATGGCTGCATTGCAGAATTGTGTACATTGCTTAAAAACATAAATAATTATACCGACATAAATAAACTACAGTACAATTATCCATCAAATCGTATTGAGAGATAACATACAGTGTAATACACCTACATATAAATCAATAAAGTTCGCTGAACAGGTAATTATTGTTCAAATCTATTCCACAATCATATATAATGAAAAGATCGTTCGAAATAAGAGACAAAAAAAGAGAACAAAAGGGTTGGAGGGAAGTAAAGAATAGAGGTTAGGAGGGGGGAATTCAGAAAGCACAGGGAACCAGGAGAAGAATGAGAGACAGAGAGAGACAGAGGCAGAGAGAGGGAGAGAAAGGGAGAGAGGGATAGAGATATAAAGATTAAAGGAGAGATAGAGTGATATATATTGGACAATGCTTAGGATTGTATTGATCTTTGTTTCATTTATCATAAAAACATCATAAAATACATACAAAATACAAAACATAGCGTACAAGTTAAAGAGAAACATTTACAATAGAATACAACAACAACAAAAATGTCATATGAATGTGGAGACAGCTAGGAAAGCCAAAGGCTTTATTAGTGCTGCCACCGAAACAGTAATACAGTATAATATTGTTGTTTAAAAAGGTGATTACAAAAAACCGTACAAAAACTAAAGCCTAAATAGAGGGGGGGGGGGGGGAGGGGAAATAAAAACAAAACAAAAACCTGACCGTGTACAGAATCAATCTTCATTTATTTTTTTAGATTAGAAATGATTTACATCTCCTTTTAAAAACTTCAAGTGATGGACTAGATTTTATATCATGAGGTATATTATTTCACAATTGTGGCCCTTTAAAAATATAGTTGTTTTAGTTAAAATTAGTCTTATTTTATTTAAATAAAAATTAGAAGAACTTCGAGTATTATATGAATGTAATGCAGAATTAAGAATGAAAGTCCTTAACGGACATATCAAAAATAAGGTAAAAAGGACATTCGACAATTGAGAGAATTCCATTATATTCATATTAAATTCTACCCATCATATATTTGAACTATGATACGACATATTCTGTTTAGAAATCAAGCCCGAACCACGTGGATCACTGGCCAAACATAAAGCTATACCCGAAGTAAAGAAATAAAGTTCGAACCACATGTAAATGGGTACCTGGCAGGAATTGATACCTTGAAATGCTGGAGCGCTGTGTAATGGCAGCTAGGCTAAAGCCGGGGTAATAATAAATGCGCCTCGGAATAGAATTTCTAGATAGACGGCGCTATAGAAATGCCTATCATTAATATTATTATGGTTGACTGGTGAAACTTAAAGCTCTGCTCGTAGGATACCGGTCAAAAGGCGCAGAGTGTTTGTTCTTTCTGTAAATTGTTCAAACTTGTTTGTATTGCTAGGATTTCATCGATAGGGATTTCCCCTTTTAGAGAGAAAAATGAATGCTCTAGTACAAAGTAAATAGAAGGCCCCCTTCTCTTGTGTTAAAAGCCAAGCGCGCCCATTAAAACCGTAAAAGAAGGAAAACAAAGTTAATGTAAAATGAATAAAGTGACAGGTAAAATAACCATGATATTGGCCAGATAAGGCTATTCCATTCATGCTATGAAATTGCATTTAACCCAGATCACTTACAGGTTTACATTATTTTGATTCGACTCGATTGGAATTATCTGTTCCTTCATCATCATTTTGACTTTTAAGAATAATATTTAAAATCTTTTAACATTATTTACATACACTTTTTTTTGGCTCACAACAAAAACAAAAACAAAAAAAGTTGGGGGGGGGGGGACGGGAGAGGGAAAGGGGGTGCATGTTATTGCAACGCTAGGAACATCCGTCTGTAGACATGCATCAACCTAGACAGCCACAGGGTAATTTGGTAAAACTTGGTATCAGATATAACGGTAGTCGTGAGTTCTGGTGTTGAAGGAAAATACATTTCTATAGCGTCTTCAAAACTTACAATGAATGTTCAGGACTACAATATATGCCATAAAGTAATATAGGAAGACTAAGCTAATAGTCCTTTCCTATATGAGCACGACACACGTTTTCCTAATGAGTAATGGAAATCATGAGATGTGCTTTGAAGTGGACACGTTTTTCGTTTATAGTTTGCTTATTATGTTGGGCCAAAGAACCCATTTTCGTTCAATACACAACTCGATATAACTACCAACTAGATAAAGATAAAGTTCGATGACATTTTGATACCAGACCTTACTTTTAGTTTTAAAGACCGTCATACTACTGGGCCAGAAGGGATTAGACCACACAGCGAGGTCACTGACAGGTGGCAATCTCATTAACTCAGCTCTCAACTAACATAAGAAAATTTTTCTTATGTTAGTTGAGAGCTGAGTTAATGAGGATCATGGGGGACCAACAGGCACCGATTAGGAAGTTAGGAAGTTGCTACAAGTAGGACAGTGGGGCTTTAATGTTATCACATTAAACGCTGAATGAATTATCATGTACTTGAAACGAGAATAATAATAGTCCCGACCTACTTATGCATCTTATGCATAATTCCATATATTATATAGGAACAAAGCAACTAAACCAATCTTAACCGATACAATAGTATCACCTGGAAAAATACAGAGTTGAACATTTTTAGGGGTGGGCTCTTTCAATGAGATTCAGCACTATCATCAACAGGGCTCTTAGGAACCTCCTGAATAAAAGATCTATTTTTAATTTACCCTTGTTCGTCCAAATGAAATTTCTCGCTTGCAACGATGCCACATATGTAACTTTGAACCCTTTACACTGGGGACGCTGAATATTTCTTGCGGTGAAAATAAAAGATGTTTTCCTGAATATTTCAAAATCACCGAAGTGTGTGGAAATGCATTATGAAGAGATCATGTGATGAAACTGGTTCAAAGGACACCCTATTGGTTTAAGTATTATTTGACTTCTTTGTGGTGTATTCACAATACAATTGTATCGTTGTCATTCGTAAATGATCGATTACAAAGTGTAGAAAAGAAGATGTTTTTCTGAATATTTCAAAATCACCGAAATGTGGAATTGCATTATAAAAAGATCACGTAGATGAAACTGGTTCAAAGTACAGCCAAGTTAAGTGTTACTGGAATACATTGTATTTTATCGTTGTCATTCATCAAAGATTATTAATTGAAAAATAGTACTCAGCCAGAACGTTTACAATGGTTCTAATCGAGAAGGTAATCAACTTTGGAATGTATTGCCGTATTATGAAAGACGTAAAATAACGGAATAACATGTTTATTCAATTTTAATTTTCTAAATTTACCCCAGCATTCATATATATATATATATATATATATATATATATATATAAACATATTTGTAATTCTTCTTTTCAGGATGTTCACATGTCTACTACGACTGCATCTACAGGTAATGACCTCAAATAATGTATACATTTAAAATGGTAGGCATAGTTATTAGCTGTCCTGTTTCAAGTTCCCTCAAGTTTCCCTCACATTTGCAGCTAAAACGAATCTTTTACTGATTCGAAGAAAGGCCACTGACAGCATTTTTCCATTGAAAAGTCTACCATGTCATTCATATCGATGTGACGAACTAATATATGTAGATGGTAAATGAAATAGTTACATAAACAAACTCGAAATCAAAAGGTTCGAGTATTCACCAAATAACAATATCTTCTTTATTTTATTTAACATTTCTATAAAAGAATTTATATTTTGACTTTAGTAATTACTGCCATTGATGTGGCTAAATTGTATATGTACTAGCTGAGTGCCCATGAACGTGAATAAGATTCGGAAGTGTATATCATTTTTAAAGGCGAGGTTCACTTTGATATTAAGTTGGTTTAGAAGCAGCAAAATGAGAGGAATAGGAATTTGTGTTTGATTGATCGCAAACTTCAAAAAATCATAACTTTCTTATCTTTCTTATCTTGTAAATTGTTAACCTAATAGGGGACACTACAGTACCACAGGTGGCACATGGGTTTTGTACTTACGGTACTCTAGTTTTAGTTCCAAAAGGGGGGCACAGGACGGTAATTGACCCCCAAATCCAGAATTTACACTTCCTTTCGGGAGGAGGGTGCTTCTTCGTTGAATTGCCTAGTATGTGAATACATCTATGGCTGAACACGATGTAACAACACTTGATGTGTCTTTCTCGGTCTCCACTCCAAATCAAAACGCTGGATGAAGGTAACCCATAATATTCTTCCTGGCCTTCATGGCCGAGGCTCATTGAGGCATCTTGGGTTACGCGTTGTACAAAATAGGACATAAGTACATTCTATCTTCTTATAATTTTTATTATTCCGGAGATCAGTGGTAATGCCACGAAAAGTTGAAGTCTGGCATGGATTGCATAGCAATATAACTGAGATTGACATTCAAGCAGCGCAGAGCAGAGAGAGAGGAACGAGTGGGGTGTACCTTATGTAGGAAATTAGGACGGATGCCATCCCTCATTAAGGAGAAGTATGGGATGAAAAGAACAAACTGAACTAAGGTATCCACATATACTAGAGGGATGCCATATGAACACAGTGTTCTAAATTGACCACTAGTTTGTATCATAATTTCCCTTTCACTCCACAATCTTATTAGACGACAAAAAACATGTTATGTTAAAAAAATTGTTATTATCACATAAATTATAAACTGTTTCCTTGTTTTAACAGAGGTTGACGAATGTGCTTCAAACCCTTGCGGAGGAAATGGCGACTGCGTCAGTTTGCTGAGTGTTTACAAATGTTTTTGCCATGAGGGGTGGAGTGGTCCAAACTGTCAAATTGGTAAGACAGTATTTCATTTCATTTCATTTCATTTATTCATTTAAGCACGGTCACTCTCTCAGCCTATTGGTTGATTTTCATTTGAAGTTAACTCTGTATATGCCACGTTAACACTGTATTTATCATGAGATAGATGTACCATAGTCTTCAAGATTATGTCATACCATTAAAGATAAAGGTGAGTTCTGGTAATGTACTTACATTGTGAAAGAAAAGGTGTGGAATGGATCAGAAAAAGTTGATCATGTAGCATGTAAGTATTGGTGTGCACTGCAAGGTTCTGGAGTCATCAAAATCATAATAAATTTGACCCAGTCTTGGTAAAGTGACAAGCACTGTACACAGAAAGATGTATATGGGACTACACAAATGGTGTCGGGGCTAGTACTACCTGATTTTCTTATCTTTCTATGCTCATTACTCAGCCAATATACATTTTCTTCCAAAACTGTTTAGCACATGACATTTATTTGTAATCTTGAACATTCCGTGTAAGTTTTGTTTGATTCTGTGAGAATTCATTTTTTTAATTTTTTTTTTAAAAACCAGAACTCAAAATTTATCTTTAACACTGTTTATTGGGTTGTCATGGAGCTAATCAAGACCAAAAATGGGTCATTTTGCCAAGCCATCGTGTTGCAGAAGGCAATCCTTCTGTGAATGCGTGCATATTGTTTTGTGCAAAAATACGCGTGTGGCAAACGAGCAAACGAATAATGTGACCATGATTTGTTCGTCTCTTGAGAAACCAATGCCAGAAAATAGTGAGAACAGTGCCATGAACGGCCTGTCATTGTTAAGTACAACTTAAAGTCGATCTTAGTTTTTGTGAACACTCCCCAGATGTTCATCGCTATACAAGCACTGTTCAACATTGAAAGTAGTATATCGAACTTTTACATGACTGTTCTACTATCTCATTCTTTGGCATAGCGGAAAAGAAAGTAGAAAATGCTGAAACCCGTACCCGATTAAATGTTTAATATCTACGTTATTTTGTTAACAAAACAAGTCCTCTGCATAACTGATTAACATTTATTTTTGTAGAAAATTGTATAATTTTACATTAGTTTTTAAAGGTATAGACCACTTCTGGTCATGTGATTGCATTGTGAAAGAAACATTGAGGAATTGATCAGAAAAGGTTGATTATCTAGCATATCAGTATTGGTGTGTACAGCAGGGTTCTGGAATCATCATAATGATAAGAAATTTGGTACAGTCTTGGTAAAGTTACATGCACTGTACACAGAAAGATGTATATGGGACTACGCGATATCTATCCAGGCCGGATAGATATGATAATTTACCAAATATATCAATTAGTAGGCGGTTTCCCGGCAAAATTTTTAACATCACGGATTAGTAAAAACATACTCTTTCACATGATTGGTAATAAGAGCTTCCATTTCATTTTTGAGAGGGGGGCGTTTCCAAAAACTGGTCTATAACTTTAAAATCATGTTTATTCTCATTTTTATTACTCTCTTTACATGAACATATTTCCTTCGCCTTTTTTGGTCATACAGATGATGACGAATGTTCTTCTGATCCTTGCACCAATGGAGGCACCTGTAACGATGAAATAGACGCTTTCTCTTGTGATTGTCCTGTTGAATACGGAGGAGCTCTCTGCGAAGAGGGTACGTCATTATTTACTTCACCGAACCAAACTTAACCGAACAATATTCATACGCTTAACCCTTCTATCTTTCTCCATGTCTCTCCTTCTCAATTTCACATAGGTATCACAAACGGGGGTCAACATACCTAGTGAGCTACAGGGTGCACAGAGGTTCTGTTCCCTCAATCGAAAATCGTAAAACAAAGGGAAACCAGAAAAAATAGGGACAATGGGATGGAAAGGGATGTTTTGATGTAATATGTGTATTTGCTTAGAATAGCGAACCTGTTCTTTTGCCACGTTTAATTTGTTTGAGGGGTGGGGGGGGGGGGGGTAAATATAAATGTAAACGTGCAAAAGGCAAACAGATAATTAAATGGAAGTATTAAATAGAATATAAATAAATACAATTCAATGGGGTGCGAACCTCTCTCTCTCTCTTACGCACAAACAAGGAAGAACGTTATACTCTAGTATTCTATGAAGAAAAAAAGGTTGAGTTCTGGTAATGAAATTACGTTGCGAATGAGAGTGTCTAGTGTCTAGACACAATTGAGTACGGATAATGTTGTGGTTCTCAACAGTCTATGTATACTATGGTGTTTTGTAATCATCAAACACATACGACATTAAATCAGTTTTGCTGAAATTACACTGCACCGCACACATAAATGGTTATATGGGACTTCACATACATGTGGCCTGACAGTTTAGTCCAAAATGTCCAGCATTTTCTCATCGCACGTCGGAAACAAAATGCATTTTAAGATCGCTTATTTTTCAGGGGACAATTCCACAGCGATATTTTACAAAACTGACATAAAATTTGTATTTCTCACCTGTTCACAAACTTCACCTTTTCACCTTTACTGGAACAGTTCATACTCGGTCACCTTCTTTCTTATCTTTACAGAAATTAATCCATGCGATTCGAATCCATGCAGTGGTAATGGTCAATGTGCTAATGTACACGGTAAATACTTTTGCGTATGCTTCGATGGATGGACTGGTACCAACTGTGACACAGGTCAGTCAATATCACAATTCCCTTTGTTGATACGGGCACTAGTAATGATAAAAATGATGGCGATGGTTTGATTGTTTGAATAACTGACTGCTACGATATATATTATTAATAATAATGATGATAATAATAATAATAATAAATAATAATAATAATGATAATAATTTACAACAATAATACGAAAGTGGACAATGTTATAGTACTCATGTCTGGCACCATGTCACTCCTGAAGCTCCATTATTATTATTACCCTGTCATTTGCAAGGCTGCCATTAGAGCACTCGAGCATTTAAAGCGATTTATTCCTGCTAGGTTTCCATTTACCTCACTTGGATGAAGTATGGCAACTATAGATTAATGTCAAAAGATTCATATAAGTGTTGCGACAGGGATTAGAACCCAGTACCTTGTGTTTCACAATCGGAGACCTATCTACTGGACCTTAAGCATGACTGTGTATGCTTGAAGGAATCAGGGGTCCTCTCACGTCCTCTTGGTTTCGAACCTTGAACACCTTGAACATCCCTGTCACAAGACAACTTCTCCCATTGAGACGTCGCCCCTCCTGGTGATAATGATAATAAAACGCTACTACTTTTTCTACAGTAATGCTATTACTTTTCATTTTATTTTGTTAAACTACTACTTCTACTACTAATAATGATGAAAATAGAAATTATGATTATGATTATGATGGTAATATTGATTCAAATATGTCAAGGTGTCCTTTAACCTATTTCCTTTTTTCCAGATATTAAGGAGTGCTCTTCGGCTCCGTGTAGGAATGGAGGGACCTGTGAAGAACTACTAGATGGCTATAATTGCACTTGCCCTAAAGGATGGCATGGACAACACTGTGAAGAAGGTACGTCAGAAGCCAATTCCCAAGTCCCCCCACCCCCTCCAACAACAAAAAAATAAATGATTATAATGATAATATAAATTAAATAATAACGACAACAATAATAATAATAACAATAATAATCATTATAATCATAATCATTATAATCATAATAATCATAATAATAATAATGATGAATGATAATTAAAATAACAATGAAAATAACAATAAAATTAATACAAAGGTCAATGAAGTTAAGGCAAATTTGAAAAATTGGAATTCTGATAATCTGAAAGTTTAACAATAACTTGGTATTTTTATGCTGTCCTTATGTAGTCATGTCTCTCCATCATATTAAAGGGATAGTTGAGTTCTGTTGCGGAGGGCGCTACACAATTTTTTTTTTGTGAGATAGTGAACAACTGAGTGTCAAATTTGAAAGAACATACAATTTAAATGACAAAATCATCTTTGTTTGATCAAAATCGGTTCAGAGACGGCTGAAATATCCATAAATATTACGATTTCTAATACTTATGTACCACCATAAATATGAGATAATTTGAAAACCCGTTGAAATAGCGCCTTTTACGTCGTATTTCAGCCAATGCCAATGTTGGCTCTTATGTAGGCATTTTCGTGTTGGTTATATTACGCACAACCAGCCAGCCCATGTATTGTTATCTTTAATTAAATAATTAATTAACGGTCACCGTATTTGTTTGAAAGTGGAGCTGAATTGGTATGATTGTATTGGCTAGATTTCAAACATTTTGGGGTCTAAAAGTATCTTCATAGCAATTTTAGGTTCTAAAAGGGCACTAGAAATGCCATAGATAATAATAAGAGCATTAACCATGCACTTTGAAGGCATTTGAGGTCTGAGAACAGAACTCAACTATCCCTTAAAGTTTCCACCAAGTTCGTTGAGCTCATGTAATCCACTCCAGAAAAATGTGTATTTATGATATATAAATCACACTCGGTATTTCCCTTCGGAGCAAATCGATGCAGATGTAACTCTAACAAGACTTTGGAAAAGTGACTCCAGGACATTTTCACTACCTTGTCTATGTCCAATAACAATCTTTTTTTCTTAATTCCGTGAAACGGCATTGTGATGTTCACACATTCCTGTAAGTAATGAATAAGGCTACACAAATCGATTTTTGTGAATTGTTTCGAAAGTCTTTGATATCGTGTTCTATGCTATTGATTAACATGAAGTTGAGTTCTAGTCATGAGATTACATTGTGAAAGAAACGGTTTGGAATCGATCAGAAAAGGTTGATCATCTAGCATATAAGTTTTTGTGTGTATTGCAAGGTTCTGGAATCATCAAAATGATAATAAATTTGGCCAAGTCTTGGTAAAGTTACAAACCCAGTACACAGAAAGATGTATATGGGACTACACGAACACGTGGCGTAAAAATCCTACCCCGGATTTTTACGATGTTACATGACATATTTAGAACATGAAGGCATTTGAAGAGCCGTGCTTTTCAGGGAACATGTTTGATCTGATGTTCTTCCACACTTGCGTAATAACAATGATAACACTCAATAAATTATTTTTCACCTCTTCCCAGAACTCAACCTTCTCTTTAAATGTAAGAATAACTAACTATGAACATTTTTGCTCAGATATGACGCGGTAAACCGCAGCGTTTTTAAATGTATTTATGGTGGCCTAATAAAGGGTAATACGCTTCCCATTTCTGTGTCTCATAACACGAAACTCATTTAATATAATATGCATAGTCCATTTGTTCCACGCATATCCCATTCATTAAAACATTTATTTAAAAGAGGTTAAAAAAACCGCCGCGGTTTACTTCTTCATACCTAAACAAGCCTTCGACGATAACATATTTTGAAATCGATGATATATTTACTGAACCGGCTTTTCTTTAATCCACAGACACTAATGAGTGTTCTTCGGATCCTTGTGAGAATGGAGGGTTTTGTGTGGATGGAATAAACATGTTTACTTGTAACTGTTCTGGAGGCTATACAGGACAATACTGTCAGACAGGTAAGCTTTCATGATTTTGTGAAATGTAGAGTCGAGATTCAAGATACAAGATTCATTTTCACTAACCGACATTTAAAAAAAAAAGATACTTTAGAATGAATACGCATGTGCTGTTATATTACATATAAAATGGGCATACAATGGAAATAATGCGTTGTCAGTTTTACGGAAGTTTAACGTGGATGAATGATGATCAAGAGCAATTTTTTTTCTGAAATATTGCATGTTCGACCCCATAATTGTAATACTTAGTATCATAGTTGCATTGGTGTTTATTGCATATATGGCGTCGGAAAGGGCAGAGAAAGTTAAATAAAAGGTAATGAAAAACATAAAGGGGACCTACTTCGCTTAGTTGATGATATGTATATAAACAAGGCGAAGGAAGGTATAGTGAATGTAAAGCTTGTTTAGGTAATTCTTATATATCTAAACACATGGTTTAGAAAGGAGTATACTTATTTTCAAAATATTGACTTTTATTAATTGTTTATATGTTAAAGATACTATGTCCCTTTTGCAGCCAACATCAAATTCTGTAGAACTTTGCAGGAATAATGAATATGTCATGTATGTCCTATCTGTGAAATTTAAACGTTAGCAGTGTCCTAATACTCAAATTATGCAAGGGAACCTGTTTACTGGCTAGACTTCACTGTCAGACACTATTGAGTGACTGAGTGGCTTTTTTCTTCTTTGGTAAAAACATACATAAAATGAGCTGTAAAGGGTATATGAGCATTTGTCTACATCAATAACCCACTTCTTGTAATGGACAAAATTAAACTGATTGAATCTTTGCACAGCATAAAATCAACGACCATTCGGTACAATGGTCTGAAAATCAGACTATTACGTACTGGCTTTATAGCTCTTAAGTCGATTTGACAACTAAAAGTCGTTATTTTCCCACTTAGAGACATTTTCAAGCCCCCCCCTTTTTTTTAGGGAAGTTCTTAATTAGTATTTACTTTCAAATGCCGTTGGAATTTAACCTTTTCATTTTTGGCCTGCAAATGGGACATAGTACCTTTAAATATAATCTCTTTAACTTATTTTATTTCAACAGATATCGATGAATGTGCTTCCCAACCCTGCATGAACGAGGGAACCTGTATTGAACCTCAGACTGCACCTGACTATTATTACTGCAGCTGTGTAGATGGTTTTGAGGGTCAAAAGTGTGAAAAGGGTTTGTCATATAAAGATCTTTTTTCCATTCTGTTTTTTTCTTCTATCGAGCTTCTCATTATTACTTGTTTAATACTTTTTAAAATCTTTGTTGGTTTTGGGACGTTGTGCACGTTTGTTGCTTTTTCAACAACCTTTTCTTCCTTGTCACAGATTGTTTTAGGAAATTTGTATTTTCTGTGTGCCTGTTATACAATTCGAATGTGTAGTGAACCTACAGCTGCATCTGTATGTAAATGAAAAAAGGGAACCGTAAATGCTTAGGTATCCTAAAATCTACATTATTGTATGCAATATATCACAGTATTTGAAATGTATTTTGCCGGAAGCCTTCAGTTGCCGGAAGTTGAAGGCTTCCGGCAATATACATTTCAAATACTGTGATATATTGCATACGATATTGTAATGTTTGACTTTATCTGTACTTCTAAATGCTGAATGCCTTACGTTTTATCACTACATAGAAAAAAACAAGTGTTCCCCTGATCCTTGTATGAATGGAGGTTCATGTGAAAACAAATTCAACTCATTTACCTGCCACTGTCCATTTGGCTACCAGGGGCTGCGATGTGAAGAAGGTATGTCATAAAATGATATTCAGTCTTGTCAGAAAAAGAAATCTATTTCGACCAATTGATTTAGTTATTCATTTCTGCATGCTTCATCACATTACGTAGTGTGAACATATAGAAACAACATCAAACAATAACAGATTAATGCGCCACAATACAGATTAAATATTGGATAATGGAATAACACACAGAGATATAGTAATATGCCTTAGGCTTGAGGCCTTGTCATATTTCTGTATTCCGTATTAGATATTTGAATAAAGAATAATACAATCGGGAAAAAACAACAACAAAGAAATAACTAATATTTCACTGCATAACAATGCAAGAAACCGTTTAAACATTTCACTTTCTAGATCAAATGTGTGGATGCCAATATACAAAGTATATCGTGATAAAATATGTTTGAACGGAAATGGTTTAGCCATTATAAAAGTCATGCAAGTGATAAAACGGATCAAAAATGATAAACAAAACCAAAAAAACGATTGTAGGAGACATTAGTTACATCTTTGAGATAAGCATGCGCTTAATCGCACTGTTTAAAGGAATTTTTGATAAGCAAAATTCGAGTGTTATTTGGTATTCTTTACGTCTAGACTAACATATTGCATACTGGAATCGGGTGGTTCTTGTATTGAGAAATAAACCCAAAAATCCTTTAAACAGGCTTTTTTCTCTCTTGGATCATCTGTAGGTAGTTTTGTTTTAGCTATGTGATCACAGGCATGTATGCGAAAACAAATAATTGCACTCATGACATAGCAAGTAAAATGGAAATCCACACTATTATAATTTGGAAACTTGAAAGGTGACACATTATATTCATTAATATAAGCAGTAAAATCAGATTGCAGTGAAATTTTGGATTAAAAATTTAATGAAAAATAATAAAGTTATGAAATTGTAAAGATGCAATCGATTATAGACAAATTGACATCTTTGTGACGTTTCTTCCATAAACATTTCGTCTTTATAGAGATCAATCCATGTACTTCTCACCCGTGTTTGAATGAGGGAATCTGCTCGAATGAGATAATCAGATTTACATGCACCTGTCCCGGTGGTTATACTGGTCTTCGTTGTGAGCAAGGTAGGTTCTCATATTAACCCTTTTGGGAAAGAATGTTTTGACAAAGGGGGAAATTAATCACAATTTCTTCTTCAAATTGGCAACAATTACGTTTTTCTTTTATGGCTGCATTTTCTAATAAATATTCACGACTGTGAACTTTTTTGAATAGAAACAAAAACACACTCATTTCTCTTTCGAAAAACAGTGATCTAAAACCTCCCTTTTGATAAAGATTTTAAAGTTCAATTTCCTTTGGACACAATCGGGCACAATATGCGACAGTTGTTTACCTTTTATTGCATCTGTTATCCTTGTTAGGGCTCTGAGTCAAAAGTTACTAAGCCATATCAATAAATGTGGAGTGACTATTTCGAAAGCTGTAATGTGTTCAAAATAGGCGTCACCGTCACTGCATAGTAATGACAAAGTAATACTTCTGTAAATGCTTTCCACTCATACAATTGCCTTCTTAAAGTCCTCTCAGAGACGTATCAACGTTTGGAGCTAATTGGACCCTATTGGAATTGAAGAAAAACGCATCAGTCATGCTCTGTGCACAAAAGAGATCACAAATCTCTGTGCAGCCGGTTTCGTTCCACCACTGTACATTTTATTAAGTGCGTTTTTTTAATGTTTTGCCCGGATCGAAAAATTTGATTCATTTTGTGTAAGCTATGTGTCAAATTCTTCAAGAATTCCAGCTTTAGACTTCTTATACTTGTTCCTCACATTCTTCAAGTCCAAGTTAAATTTCCAATAATTATCAGTTTTATGTAAGGAAATTAATTGTTGAATGTTTTATGAAAATTGGTGAGTGTCTGATAAGGGGAAATGGTGGTTTCAAATGATAATGGGACTTCTTTTTATGTTGTGTAATTCACGATTAAATCTAATCTATTAAAATAACATGATAGTTTGAAAAGTAATCTAACCGCAACTCCATACCAATGTTAAAATACATGATATAGTCAATAATTCCTTCCAACTCTGTTTTTCGACACAGATATTAACGAGTGTTCCTCGAATCCGTGCTTGAATGAAGGATCATGTGATGACGAAATAGATCACTATAATTGTCGCTGCCCCGATGGTGTGATTGGTTTACGCTGTGAGGAAGGTTTGTAATGCGCTATATTCATAATTCACAATATAAAAACAAACTAATTCCTCTCGCCATCAATGTTACTTTTGTATGAATGAGCCTGTGTTCAATACTCTATTGTGCATCTCATAGAAATCAGGTTCGGGTTATGTAATACGACATTGTAATGTTTCCGTATTTCAAAAAGTGGTAGAAATGGCTGTTAAAATTGACTTAAGTTGATTTTTCGGAAGTATTGGCGATTTTATAATGAAAACTACAATGTATTTCAAAGAAAATTCTGGCTTGACTTCGTGGTTTGATAAATTTTTCTTTTTTCTTTATGTCTCAGAGATCAAAGAGTGCGATTCTGAACCCTGCTTGAATGGAGCAACCTGCACGGACGGGATCAATGCATTCTCATGTAATTGTTTGGCGGGTTATAGTGGTCAACGATGTGGACAAAGTAGGTTTTCACCGTGGACATAACATATGGATACCATGTCGTGTTCACATATACATAATATTTTCCTTGCATTCTTACATGTCCTTATGCCTCGGTCACATTTGCTCTACGGCTAGGATACGGCGGCCGTACGCCCCCGAAATCGACAGATACTTGCGGCGGCCGCAGATAATTTGCGATGGCCTCAGGGTCACCCTTAGAGTTATAACTGTTTTCATTTCTAGGTTCGTCGTAGCGATTAGACACGCCGTAGCCATGCTGTAGGGCGGTTCCACGGAGACCGTACGTGGAACGTACGGTAGGCTTGCCTTTTATATACTCCAGAGATGAAGCGGTAGCATCAGTCTGGCCCCCTTCGGCCGCCTTGCAGGCACCTTGCGGCTACCCTAACATATGTGACCACTACCGTATGTGAACGTGGGAATTCTGCGACGGTCCTATAATTGCTATTGGCAGTAGATGTTTTAGACCGCACGGCCGCCGCGGCAAATGTGACCTAAGCATTAATGGCGGGTTATAATGAATTCTTTCTTTTAATAACCATGTAAAAGATGATTATAGATAGAATATAGCTGAATTCGAATTTGAAATAAGATTAACTTAGATCCTTAAGACTTGATTTAAAATGAAAAGGAACACTCGGCAATGATTTGTTTGAATAAGATTTATATATGCTTTGAGGTATTTCCGAATGTCGTATTAGATACTCTCGAACGACGGATCATTTAGTCACCAATGCATGTAGATACCGTGAGAACATCCGGCTAATCAAATGCTGGAAGAGGTCCAAATATAGGAGTGTCGTGGTCGAGTGGTTTAAGGCGCTTGACTGGAGATGCGAAGGTCGAGGGTTCGAATTCCGACACGGCACTAATATCCTTTGGCAAGATATTAACCTGCACTTGCTACTCTCACCCAGGTGTCAAATGGGTACCCGGTAGGATGTCATTGTTGGTCAAACAGCTTGTGAGAGTCAAGTAACGCCCGGCTGGAATGCTCCCCAGGGAGTGGAGATTGTGCACTCAGTGTGTGCGGGAAATCACTGAATCCAATGACCGGGGTAATAGTATATGTGTAAAGCGCTTAGAGACATTTGTATAAAGCGCTATATAAAAATTAAATATTATTATTATTATTATAAATGTTTAGAATTACCGTCATTGATATATGCCAACCATTATATCAAACAGATATTGACGATTGTTCCTCCAATCCTTGTGCCAATGGAGGTACATGTACAGATGGAATAGGGGCATTCACGTGTTCCTGTCCTAATGGTTTCTCGGGGCAACGCTGTCAGGAAGGTGAGATAAAAAATAAATAAAAAAAACACATTTACGATGTATTATGCCTCATAAAATCAATAGTTTCGCTTTCCTATTTTCGGTGGGGATAAAATATATGAAATAATGGTAACTACTCTAATATTCCTCCTCTTACATTCTTTCTCTCATTCACTAATTGTCCTTTTCAGTCACGTTCATCCATACAATTGACGAGGTCCAGGACTGGAAGAAAGATTACCTATTAAATTCAAAGACTGGTAGATGATTAAAACCTTATTGTTAAATTTATTTCGTTTTATTACAGAAATCACCTTACTTTAAAAATTGCAAACTGATCAAACTTAGACTTAGACAAACAAAATTTTCTTTGAAGATTTAGTTCCTTGTATGTATAATATGGTTTTTGTTTAAAATATTGAAATATGACTTTGAGAGATACTTTTGTTATTTTAGTCCTGGAAGCATCGGTTTTCGATGTACATGTGTTGTTTGTCTTGAAGCCTAGAATGTAATAAGTGACTTATTGATCAACACCCATAAGAGCCAGTCTTGTCTCGGTTGATATCTGTTTTGTCTCTAGACATCAACGAATGTGCATCCAATCCTTGCCTCAACGGTGACTGTATTGATGAGCCGAATATGTATAATTGTACCTGTCAGCCAGGGTGGACCGGTGTGAACTGTAACATAGGTATTAGAGAAGAATATTCATTGCAGTTTTTAATTAAGCATACGAGGCGTTATTTCCAATACGTTATTACCCGCACTTATCAAGTTCTACGAAGATAATTTGCGTTTGACCAGTTATTCAAAACAAGCAATGTTTGCACTCTGCATTTTTGGTTTCACTTTGGCATGCTGGCGTCATATATTATCAACTTCGTATGTCATGTATGTCATGCTAAATACCGCATAACTTTTTGACGGAGTCCTACTTCAGAAATTGACGCATCTTGTCGAACGGTCAAAGGTCTGAGGATTCCTTAATTCAAAGGATCGCTGACGCAGGCGTATTCCCTGTCGAATGGGCTGTTAAATGGTAATTTATGAAAATATATTCGGCTATTCTGCTACTTGCAAAGGAGTATATATATATATATATATATATACAGAATAAGAAATCTGTAGATATCACATTATCTACCTGAAGAAAAGAAGTGACAAATTGACGATGATTAGTCAAATCATGGTGATATTATTATAGAAACAACATAAGAATGATAACAGTTAGTAGTCTGAAAAAGTACGATGATATTACTTCCATCATATCTGTAGACCTCCATGAAAATTTCGTGCGTATCATTCCTTATTGTAGAAAACTTATTTTGTTCTGAATATAATTTGATAAATTCATATAACCTCCATGTCTAATATATTGCATGGACTTTTCATGGTCACTATCACATATATTTTGACGAGTGTTCTTCAAATCCTTGCCATAACGAAGCTACGTGTACTGATGAATTAAACCGTTTTACTTGCACATGCGCTGAAGGCTTCACGGGGGAACGTTGTTTGGAGAGTAAGTCTTAATAACGAGATCCTAAAACATGGCAGTCGTTGTTTCTTTTTCCTTTTTCCTTTTTCTTGACATGATTATCGATAGTATGGCCAGCATTAATAACCCTGAATATCAACAACTGATCATTATAAAGATCTTGAAATGCCTGAAATAATATTGCATGGATGTTATTCAAACACAGTCGGTCATTATTATTATTTATTTATCTATTATTAATTTTCAACACACATCGATTACGCAAATTAAATTTTAAGTTATTTAGAGTACTCGTCTGTATCGATGCATTAACTTATATAAAGAATATCTATTTTCCACAGGCCTATTGTAATAAGCTCATGACTTAATATGGAATATCAGGATCTCAACGGCGCATTCCAGGTCCCAGATTGCACAAAGTGGCATCTCAATTAAGAAATGAAAAGATGAACATTAATCAAAGTAGAATGTTATATCATTATATCAGTTACAGTTCGCTAATGAGCTATTCATTTTCTTAAAAAATATTTGATTATCTATTCATGTATTAATAAATATATTTATTCCGACATTTTTTCGACAGAACCTGACAAATGTGTTTCCGCTCCTTGTGTTAATGGTTTTTGCACCAGCGGCAGCAATCGCTATCTTTGTTTCTGCGATCCCGGATGGACTGGCACAGATTGTGAAACAGGTAGGACTTTTTCTTTTTCTAAAAATATAATCGAATGCAATATGGAATAAATGGTTTCGTCCAATCACATCCCTACTACTTAAATTCTTCTCAGCATTCCCGGACAGCTTACTTGTAGGGTAACCGTACCTGAACAACAATCCTCTCGAAAACCCCAGAGGAGGACTGCTGGAGTAATGAAGGCAATTTTAAGTTGTTATCCGGTGCGATAGTCAATAGGTAGTTAGTCCGATACTTGTGTTAATGGTTTTTGCATCAGCGGCAGAAATCGCTATCGTTGTATCTGCGATCCCGGATGGACTATCATAGATTGTGAAACAAGTAGGGCTTTTTCTTTATAAAAAAAAGTAAAATTGTAATACTCATATCAATAACTTTATTTTTCCTTATATTTTAAAAATATTTATGTCATACATTTTGCAGTTTTATATTTATCGGTGAAACCCAACCAATCATTTCAGTCATTGAATAGTTCAATTATTATGATAATCAGTGATAAGTTTTCAGTAAAGTAGACAAGTGATCTTTTTTCATTTTCACTGGGAATGTTCACCTTCTCTTGCTGCCAGTACAAAGGCACGTTACCTCAAAGAAAACTGAAAAAGACATACAGAATATATAAGTGCTATAGATAATATCCATATAAACCTTTACCTTTCTTTTTAAAAGTTCATTTCAATTACGTTTATTCCACTGAAAGGCCTTGTAGGCTCTCTTATGTTTGTAGGAAATGAATTAAAAACACCGAATCATTCATAATCTACATCATTCTTGTTGTAGTTTGTGTGAAAACATAAAAGCATTATTTCATTAACAGACATTTAAGCAGTTCTTTAACAAACACACCCGAATCTTTACTCTCTCGATCATTACCACAAATATTAACGAGTGTTCTTCAGACCCTTATCTCAATAATGGAGGTACTTGTCATGACGAAGTTAATGCATTCACATGAGAGTGCCGTGCTGGTCTCATTGGACAACGCTGTCAAGATGGTAGGCTTACAGATCATGATGAATATAAGAAATCAAAAGGGTGTATTTAATTCCAGAAACAAACAAAAAATGCTATTTTTTTCTCAATTATTAAAAGTTTTACATAATCATTAGGATTATTCTATTCACCAAGATAGACGGTATATGTTTACTTGTTTAGTCAGTTTGTTTAGCTAGTAAGTGGCAGACCCGGGGCATCAGGGCCACTTGCCGACATTTCTTCATTTATTTCTAGCAATATGCATTGTAAAGTTCATTGAGAAAATTATTAATCCCTCAATCAGATTCAAAACAAAACTGTCATTAATCTTCTTTGTTTTAATTATTTCTAGTTTGGATTGATGCTTACAAATACAATCAAATGCAATATGGAATGATTGGTTTCGTCCAATCACATCCCTACTACTTAAATTCTTCACAGCATTCCTGGACAGCTTACTTGTGGGTTAACCGTCCCAGAACAACTATCCTTTGGAAAAACCCAGAGGAGGACTGCCCATTATCTTCGAGTAATGAAGGCAATTTTAAGTTGTTGTCCGGTTCGATAGTCGATAGTTAGTCTATAAGGATGTTGTGGAGGCGTCGGGGTGAAAAGGTGCAGTGTGTCATTTGCTTGACTCTAAATCCTAGGGTTGAGGGTTAAAACCCAGCCCGACACTTACGTCTTTGGAAAGACATTAATCCACATTTACACATTTTACACTTACCACCCAGGTGAAAATGGGTACCCGGTTGTTGCTAGGGTAATACAAATTGTAGGGCCGTCAGGAAGAACAGTTTTCATGCTGGTGAGGCTTCCCAGAGTAAACAAAATTATTATTATTATTTATACGACTGCCCCTTTTATTTACAGAAGAAAACGAATGTGGATCAAATCCTTGTACCAACGGGGATTGTTTGGACGAGCCGAACATGTACAGCTGCAACTGTTATTCTGGTTGGACTGGCGTGAACTGTCAGATTAGTATGTTCTATTTTACTAACCAACTTAATAAGAAAGTTTCCCTGTGTTAAGATAATTTCGAAAACATTGAAATGTAACAAACACATTTGCTTTTCTATGAAAACCAGTTTGTTTTAGTCAGTTTGTTTAGCTAGTCAGTGGCAGACCCGGGGCATCAGGGCCATCTGCCGACATTTCTTCATTTATTTCTAGCAATATGCATTGTAAAGTTCATTGAGAAAATTATTAATCCCTCAATCAGATTCAAAACAAAACTGTCATTAATCTTCTTTGTTTTAATTATTTCTAGTTTGGATTGATGCTTACAAATACAATCAAATGCAATATGGAATGATTGGTTTCGTCCAATCACATCCCTACTACTTAAATTCTTCACAGCATTCCTGGACAGCTTACTTGTGGGTTAACCGTCCCAGAACAACTATCCTTTGGAAAACCCCAGAGGAGGACTGCCCATTATCTTCGAGTAATGAAGGCAATTTTAAGTTGTTGTCCGGTGTGATAGTCGATAGTTAGTCTATAAGGATGTTGTGGAGGCGTCGGGGTGAAAAGGTGCAGTGTGTCATTTGCTTGACTCTAAATCCTAGGGTTGAGGGTTAAAACCCAGCCCGACACTTACGTCTTTGGAAAGACATTAATCCACATTTACACATTTTACACTTACTACCCAGGTGAAAATGGGTACCCGGTTGTTGCTAGGGTAATACAAATTGTAGGGCCGTCAGGAAGAACAGTTTTCATGCTGGTGAGGCTTCCCAGAGTTAACAAAATTATTATTATTATTTATGCGACTGCCCCTTTTATTTACAGACGAAAACGAATGTGGATCAAATCCTTGTACCAACGGTGATTGTTTGGACGAGCCGAACATGTACAGCTGCAACTGTTATTCTGGTTGGACTGGCGTTAACTGTCAGATTGGTATGTTCTATTTTGCTACCCAACTTAATAAGAAAGTTTGCCTGTGCTAAGATAATTTTAAAAACATTGAAATGTAACAAACACATTTGCTTTTCTATGGAAACCGACTAATACCATTGGCTTAACTTGTTTAGGGTTGCTGGGTCTTGCCCGAAAGTATCAACTTTCTATTTTTTTTTAAATTAAAATCCTATTATTATTCAAAAATGTGTAGTCCTTTATATGATTAAATTCAACTTAAGTCAAGTGAGTTTTAGAGAGGTCTATTTGCCATATAAATGTAATGTCTTTTGAACCCCAACTTTGTATAATTTGAATAGACGCCAAAACCTGAAATGTGATATCCTTAAAGGCAACTCCCTTTATTTCAATGTACTGTATTACAATCTCTGAAATCTAAAGCTTGTCGCCATGAATATTGTGAACTGATTGAAAAGTGACAAAATCACAAGGAATGTTCTAATCTGTTTTTCTAACATCCATAGATATTGATGATTGCTCCGCTGAAGCATGTGCAAATGGGGGAACCTGTGTGGATCATTTAAATGCATATACCTGTGAGTGTCCTAAAGGTTTTCGTGGAGCTATTTGTGAGAACGGTAAGTCATGAATTCATATTCTTAAGCACTAAACTAAAACAAAAATCATATATTGACTTGTCAAGTTCTTTATTCTTGTTCTAGTACGAGTCGGTTTCCCTCTGGATTTTTACCAGTAGCATATTATACTTATATAGAAAATTCACTGTTCGATCTTGATTTATATTTGTGTCTCCAGAAAAGTATATAGTAAATTTGATTATAACTCGTTTGAATTCATACATTTTTCTATAAATGTTTATATATATATAGATATAGATATATTCAACGAACCACATTCAAGATGAGTTCAAACTTGTGTTCGTTTACCTAGCAACGAACTATTACATTCACCTGTGATATATTATTGTATCTCTATAGTCAGAATATAATTTACAGACAGAAGGGGGTTGCTAGGTCGGACAAATGTCGTGGATTGCCCTTTATAGCAACATGTAAGGTATTTAATTTTCAGTCTGACTATTGAAATACAATTATATAATTCGTCACAAGGCACTTAACGCAACGTATCTATTTAATTTGATTATATTATGAAAAGAGCCTATTGCTGAACTACTGTTTTTACACAGTTATCAGTTTAACTAATTAAATGTTTATGTACAGATGACCCTTGTGCATCGAATCCATGTATGAATGATTGCTCATGCAGCGTGGTGAATGATACGACAGCAGTATGTACTAGCGACTCGGTCTATATTACTGGAACATTTTGTGAACAAGGTAGGCTTACCTATGTATCATTTTAAGGGCTTCTTTGATATATGATCTTTCTTACGATTCGCTAACTCAAGTAATTGGTCATTGCCCTTCTCTGGATGAGGTGCAAAATGAAAGTAGCAATTAAACTTAAGCTCTTTACTACCACATATGATAATAGAAACAAAAACCCTCGTGTGTTCAAACACACTCGGCCTATTGGTTTACATCTTATGTTTATAGAATGACGGCACATGTATATGAACATCTTGTTTAAGGAGAGGGTAGAAGCTAGAATTTCCCACAGATCTATAACCAGACACATACAGAAGTTCACCAGTAATCTAAAACATTCTTTAGAGGATTTGCAAGAAACCGACATTGTAATTGTTATGGAAGGTAAATAGAAAACAAAATATCATCTTCGAACAATTCATTATTAATTGCAAGGGATGGAAAAAGACTTCAAGAGGAACTCTGCCGTTTATCCCCATTTCTTTTTACATAACTTGAAATGGATTATAATAAATGATTACACTCTTGATAATATTGATTTAATTTTAAATTTCTCTATACCTCTCTGTCTCTCTTTCTTTTCAGTTCACATATGTAGTCGGAATGGCGTATGTAGGAATGGTGGTACATGTGTCCCGGATGGAATTGAGGGGGAGTGTTTTTGTCCCCTCGAATATACCGGAAATCTCTGCGAATGTAAGTCTATTCAATTTTCGCTAGACGCAAGACAATCATGTTACTTTTCGCCTACCTCTGCTGAACTCAATCTAAGATACACTCTGCACTGTTTTTAAACAGATCTTAATAGTATGATAATTGTATTCAGTGGTTACATATAAATTGATACTTGTTTGTTTATATTGATACCTGTTTTTTTTTAAAATGTGGTTTTTCTCTTTGTATTTGTTGGAAAAAAATCAATCTTCTGACATGAACCATGCAGACTCTCAGCTTAGTCAGCTATCATTTACTGCTTAAGAACCGCAAATATAAATTTTTAAACCGTAAAAGAATGGAAAGGTTATTTGTTTGTCTGCGTCTTGTTGTTGTTGTAGTTGCTTTTTTTATAATTACATTTTACAATGTATCATAAAATTGAATCATTGATAGGCTGATTCTATTTACCGGATATAAAAAAGGAAATGATATGCGATCGTATGACAAAATAATTCAGAAGGAACACCCTACCCAGCTGTACCATTGCCGTGGGTCCTTAAAGAATTTAACTTATTTTCAACTGATGAAATTTGTTGACTTCTTCTTTCTCTCATGGTAAGCTGAGTGGTGTTCCAATGATATCTGTAACGGGAACAGTATCTGTAGTGTAGTTATCATGATAATCAGTGATAAGTTTCTAGTAAAGTAGACAAGAGATCTTTTTTCGTTTTTCCTGGGAATGTCCCCCTTCCCTACTACCAGTACAAAGACACGTTACCTCAAAGAAAACTGAAAAACTGGGCATACAGAATATATAAATGCTATAGAATATATCCATATAAACCTTTACCTTTCTGTATACAAGTTAATTTCAATTGCGTTTATTCCAAGTGAAAGGCGTTGTAGGCTTTCTTATGTTTGTAGAAAATGAATTAAAAACATCTGAATCATTCATAATCTAAATCATTCTTGTTGTAGTTTGTGTGAAAACATAAAAGCATTATTTCATTAACAGACATTTAAGCAGTTCTTTAACAAACACTTTCCTTACCCGAATCTTTACTCTCTCGATCATTACCACAGATATTAACGAGTGTTCTTCAGACCCTTGTCTTAATGGAGGTACTTGTCGTGACGAAGTTAATGCATTCACATGTAAGTGCCCTGCTGGTCTCCTTGGACAACGCTGTCAAGATGGTAGGCTATTAAACAGATCATGATAAATATAAGCAATTGAAAGGCTTTGTATGATTCTGCGAACAAATATAATATATATAATTATATCAATTATTAAAAGCTTTATATGATCATTAGGATTATTCTATTCACCACGATAAACGGTATATGTTTCCTTGTTTAGCTATACAGTTGCGGTCCCAGTGGGGGGAGGGGCACATGCCAACATTTCCTCATTTCTTTCTAGCAATATGATTATTTTTTTTGTCTGCGTCTTGTTATTGTTGTTATTGCTTTTTTTATAATTACATTTTACAATGTATCATAAAATTGAATCATTGAAAGGCTGATTCTATTTACCGGATATAAAAAAGAAAATGATATACGATCGTATGACAAAATAATTCAGAAGGAACACCCTACCCAGCTGTACGATGAAACTTATTTTCAACTGATGAAATGTGTTGTCTTTTTCTTTCTCTTATGGCAAGCTGCTTGGTGTTCCAACGATATCTGTAACGGGAACGGTATCTGTGGTGTAGTGGACGGCGAACCGACATGCATCTGCTCGTCAAACTGGGTCGGAACATTCTGTAATATTGGTAGGTTTACTTTTAAAAAAAATTGCCATGATTTCTCAGGATTGAAACTATTTTAGCCGATAGGTTCTATATTTAAGTCACAAAATTCGATTATGTAGAACCCTTGTTTATAAGACGACCTCTAATCAACCGCCGCAAATTTGCAGTCCTCGGTCTCTGATGTAAATAGTTGCAACTCTTTATAAGACGGGTACCGGATGTGCTCACCTGTTTCTATTGTATTCGGTAGTTATTGTTTCACTACCGGCCATGTCTCGATATTGAAGTTGGCAGTATATATGAGTATGATAGATCATTTTATTTTACACTTAATCGTTTTGTTAGGCTCTTCGTCACTGAACCACTGTTGTATATATGAACAATGCTCAAAATCTAATAATCTTGATGAGTTATAGAAACACAACCGCAGAGACTTTCAAATAAATCTCTCTTTAAAGTCAATTTCAATATCCATGTCCACCACCCATTGATTGGTGGAGCAAAACAAATTAATTGATTAACAATGGTAATCTCACCATGCTTTCCATGGGATGTACTATATGGCATTACAATCGCCATTAAAAATATTATCTGAAAGTTGTTGCGACCGTGTTCAAATTTTCAATTTATCACACGTAATTGAAATAAAGTTTGGATACGTCTCTTTAAAATTGAGTTGATTCGATTCCGATATGGAAGAATTGTCTTGTTTCTTTTCGATTTCAGATAATCCATGTCGGCCGAACCCCTGCCAGAATGACTGTACGTGTAGTGTCACTGTTACCTATACAACCCAGTGTAACAGTGACTCTTCCCTCATCACCGGTCCATTTTGTGAAAATGGTATGTCTCCTTCTTCTTCATCATCATCATAATCATCATCACCTTCTTCTTTTTCTTCTTTTTCCTTTTCTCCTCTGTTTTGTTGTTATTCTCCTTTCTCTGTTCTTCTTTGTCGTCTCCTTCTTTGTGTTGTCTTCCTCTCCTACAAAAAACAATTCCTCATATATAAATTAAAATATAAATTAAAATATAAATTGTTATGATTTAATTACCACACAGGCCCTTGTTCGACCGGACGAAGTATGGTACAAATCACGCAAAGAGTTAGAGATCATTCAGACAAAACCTCAAGAACTTGGATAATCAATGCTTTGAATTATATCAAATCATTGTGCAGTATAACATTTACGTTTTAGCTGTAATGAAACAAGTTATATACGAGCTTTAATTTTGTTCAAATTTCTCTTCATTTAGTTCATGTTTGTCTTTCTGGCGGTGTTTGCTCGAACGGTGGTTCTTGCGTCCCCACTGGACCAGGGTCATATGATTGTAACTGCACTGTTGGGTACACTGGTACAACGTGTGAGAGTAAGTCTGATTTGTCCAGGTATCTGGGAGTTCTTATTCATTTTTCTTTTTATTTATTTATTTCCAGGCAAGATGATAACATACAAAACATCACAAGGTTGACAAATGATAACATAAACATAATGATATTTAGCACCAGCCAATGCCTGAGGATCACCTAAAAGAATTTAAAAATTCTGTCTAGAGACTCTCCATATTGGCTGGTGCATACATAAAACAAAATATAAAGATAAGGTTAACATAATTTATAAATGAATGTGTAACTAAAACTAACGGTAATATACATGTAGATCAAATACTGTTAGGATTATTATCAAAAAGGATTGAAAAAGAGCTGTTCAAACTATGCATGTATGATAAATGCATGCTAAATGCAGAAAACTGTCTGTTTATACAGTCATGTGGATACGATATAGTCAGGTAGATTACTATCATGGAAATAAATCTGGAAAAAACTTGGGAAATGAGTTCTATTTCGTTTTACTAGTCAGGGAGAAGTCAATGAGTTTTACAGAAAACCATTCAAATCAGGGGAAAAATCAGGGAATTTCATTTGTTGGAGTTTTGCTAGAGTTTTTTCTCTGGTGCAACCAGCGTATCTACAGAATTATTACCTATGGTTAGCAAAATGTGAAATGTGCTGATCCTGAAATGTTGAAAACTCTATCAGGGGTAAACAGAGAATTACGTTTTCGTTTCGTTTGATTTAAACGCTGGAAACCCTGTATCTAAAAATTTGATATTGATATTCATTTTTGTTTCTTCCCTTTCAGTGGCGTATGTAAACATATTATTGTATTCTCACATGTACACGTGACTACTATTTTGAAGGAGGGGGCAACGGGCGGGGGTGGGGATTCTACTCTTTTGACGGACTTAGCATCAAGATTGCTTGTAATGCAGTCACCTTTTATAAAAACTATATAGATAATAAATAACGAGTAAACGATTTCGCACCTCCCCCGAACAAAAACCGAGGCCCTTAAAAAGTGGTTTCCTTACTACAACGTATAGATCACACTGGGAAAAAATGTTTTGCTCCTCCTGGGGCCGACTTATGGATACTCCATTGAACCTGGAGTACCCCCATTTGAGTGTTTAGCTGTGTCGTAAAAGCTTTCGATTTGATGTACAGTACTTTTAACTTACATTGTACTGGGCCCCGTTGCACAAAACTTACCATTGATTATAACTTTGCCATCAATGGTAACTACCATTGAAACCTTGATTTTGATTGGCTGTTGAGCCCTGTTACCATGGTAGTTGCCATTGGTGGCAAAGTTACCATCAATGGTAAGTTTCATGCAACCGGTCCCTGATCTGTAACTTATTCTTTTAAATGTTATCTAAAGCTTCACTGTGCCCCGATGACCTGTGTAACGGGAACGGCGACTGCAGTGTGACTGGCGGGAATTCTGTATGTCTCTGTTACATAAACTGGGTTGGAACATTCTGTAATATAGGTATGGTCATCTCATTTTGTAGTTACTTTTTCTATTTAGCCTTAAAATGATAAGCAATATGTGGTTTAATATGGATATGTCACTAGTTGAAGGCGGACATGGTGGGTGTATTTAAAGAAATGAAATGAAGCTCAATATTCTATTTTAAAGGTAATGCAAAGTTTTGGGAACATTTCGAAAATTGAGTTTTGATATATTTGGATGCCCCTGTGGTTGGATTATACGCACTAACAAATTTAGCCCCTTAAGCACTTCCGCTTTCGAGAAATTGAATAATCAACAAGCCCTGTAATATTTTCGGCGATTAATCTATATTTGCCACTCTCCATCCAGGTATAGTAAATGGGAGCCTGGTAGTTATTCATTACTTGGATGCTGTAGCGTCCTAATTTAGGGCAGCTGGGTTAAGGCCAAAATGCAAAGTACCTTTGTAGACGCTTAGGATATATATATGCGTAATATGGTTTTAGCCTTTATTATCATCATTAATTCTTACGTATACAGACAACCCTTGTTTGCCAACAAATCCATGCCACAATCTGGGACAATGCACATTCAGTGTTGATGAATCAGCAGCTACTGCCTCATGTACGTGTAATCCATCCTGGACAGGCGACTTCTGCACTATTGGTATGCCCAGCTTTAATTCTTATCATTTCTCCTCGTTATGTTTGTTTACTTGTTGTTTGCTTGTTTACTTGCTTGCTTTGATTTTTATATGATTACTTATTTGAGATAAAAGTAAGTAAACCATCAAACCCTGGGATGCTTGCCTCGAAAAACAACAAGACAGTGTGAAAACGTAGACACACAGTTTAGTTATTCTCATACGAAAAAAAAAAAGCAGTAGAAGATATGAGAGTAGTATTTGCAATCGTTTGCAAAAGATTCACATTGATGTTCTACACAGTGGTGGATCCAGGATTTGCCGATAGGGGGGGGGGGGGGGGCGGGGGGTAAGAGTATATTTTGTTTTCGTTTTTGCCCAAGGAAATTTGAAAATCGCGGAGACCGTTATTTTCGCTCAGTGTGGGGGGGGGGGGGTAGTGTGAGTAGTGTGAGTATTAACTTTAAAAAAATCAATATAAAACAATTTTATTTATTTTTTATTGTTCAAAATATATCCCCAAAAAATTTTAAAGGCCAGGGGGCGGCCAAACAAAAACTACAAAACTGTTCTTAGTTATGCATGTAAACAATAATACATCAAGTTTTTAAAAGATGAATGTTTTTTAGTTTTCATTTTCATTTTGTTTTCGGGGGGGGGGTCGGATCTGCAATCACACTAGCAAAGCAGTTAATCAAATCCCATGCGTCGTTTATTTAGATAATGCTGTAAGAATCTACCCTTTAAACCATTGTCTTTCCGAACCGGGTGGTTCCTACTTTAATCCTATACTGAATAAAGGAATTTACTGTTTTTGACCTATAATTGTATATTTTTCAGCCGTGGCGGCGTGCTTACCCGGTTCATGTAGCGGGAAAGGAGCTTGCAGTGTTGACAACAATGACATCATATGCGACTGTTATCTGGGCAGCCTAGGACCATCTTGTGCTATCGGTGAGTACATTTGGGCACAGTAAGAAATGAACGAGTATCGTAACAATTGAGTGATTTTTCATATGAGAGGAAAACAATAGTTAAACCAGTCGGACTCAGTGGACATTTGAGAAAAACCCATGTAAACATTTCAAAGTTATTAATTTGATCATCATTGTCTTTTTTCGGGAGGGAGTTTTGTCGTTGTTTTGTTTGTCTTGACGATTAAATACATGCGAGCACCATATTATCTTTATATGTATTTTCTTATAATTTGTTGAATATCTTTGCAATATACGGTGTATTTCGTTTAAAGTAAACAAGAGCTATATTCGTGATAATTGATTAGGTCAAATGTGAACTCTCCCGAGTTGGAAATGATAGAGTTGCCAGGTTTGTTTAATTATTCGCATCTTTAAAAAGAATAACCTTTTATCCCTTTTTTCTTTATTTCTTTTTAAACTTCACTGACCTGTTTTTTTTTTCTTTCTAATTTGTGAAGTCACATTTAAACAAACATAATGTCATGGTCACCTTCCTCTATTCAATTATTCAAGAACAAATCATTACCTTTGAATCAATCTTCTCTTTTACCAAGTTGCAATCACTTGTAAATATTTAATCAAAGTAAACCCCAGAGCAATTTTTAAGACCTCAGATTTTGGTCTGTTTACAACTCAATTCTAATGAAACCAAAACGATTCTATTGAGCAATAATTACGATTATAAATGATGTTTTTAGCACAAAACACAGGAGTGTCTCTATGCACTTTACAAAAGATTATAATTTATCTATTGCGAAAGTTAATCAATCTACTGCCATGACTGCGAAATAATGTTTAAACAGGTTTCGTTTGCTTTGGTTTTAATCTCCGTATACAAATTCAAATACATACATAAATACAATTTACAAATATAATACAAATCAAGAATTAAAAACGGCCGGGAATTCTCTGATCAGAGCCATTATTAACGTGGCTCTGTTCTTGGTAGAAGTCCAGAATTGAAGAGTGAAGTGAAGAGAAGTAATTTAGTTCATGGTTTCACCATTCGTAAAGTACTGCCGATTTCTTTCATTTGTTTCCACTCATGTTAAACAATTTGGAAAGTTATGCCAGAATGAAATCACTACCCATTGCATTTTTTTTTTTGCAGATGATCCATGTGTACCGACTCCCTGTCTAAATGGGTGCTCATGTAGCGTTACAGATGCCTATGCAGCACGATGTACAAGCAGTTCACCACTCATCACCGGTCCATTATGTGAAAATGGTAAAATGTGGATCCTGAAAAAAAATAATTTTGTCATGAAGTTGTTCTACTTTTCTGCTTTGTTTCCATGTATTTTATCTCAATTAAGAAATTAAAGAACCCACCCCCCCCCCTCTCTCTCTCTCTCTCTCTATCTCTTGGTATGGGGAAATTGCGTTGTTTGTAGAGAGTGCCTTAACTCGTTGGGTTTTAAATTTGTCATTGCCATAGGCTTAACACGCGGACCGCAAGGCTCCTGTAAACAATTGGATGCTCGATTTCTTTCGACAGCTATGATTGGTTGTGCAGACCACAGACCTGTGTGGAAAGTGGAAAGTGTAGTTTAATGTCTTGCCGAAAGACATTGGAGCCGTGTTGGGGATCGAACCACGAACCATGTGATCCACAGACGTTCCCATTAGACCACGTACCTCTACACCTCTAATATTAGTTAGTTAGCAAAGAATTATTACTATGTTATTTTTTTTTCTCCCGTGATGTTGCAGTTCATCCCTGCTTGAGTTACCCATGTGAGAACGGAGGAACATGTAGAGCTGATTCATCTCAGGGATACAACTGTTTATGTCGAGAGGGGTTCACTGGAAATGAATGTCAAAATGGTCAGTTCAAATCTGTAGAATATATTTCTCCCCTTGATATGATTTTGGAGTCTAATATCATAATCATCTGGCTCCAAATTATGCCGAATATTAATGTCATACCTTTCACGAGGTTTCGTCGTCTAATTAATCTGAAAATCTAATGAAAATAATGTATTATATGTATAGAGAATAATAAGGGAATTCATTATATTCTTGAATATTCGTAAAATACGCCATTCAATAATAATAATAATAATAATAATAAAGATAATAATGGATATTCTTGTAGCGCCCGAATCCACCACGCAAGGTGCTCAATGCGCTCCAATATTACTCCAGCTCCGCTAGGCTTCCGATTTCCCGGGACACAACATTTCAGGAATTCCTTCCCACCGGTACTCATTAACACCTTGGTGGAGAGTGGCAAATGTCAAAAGTCGCTAGTTCCGCGTTGGGACTCAAACCACGAACAATTTGACCTACAGACGCATCCACTAAAACACGATTATATTACTCAATATTGATTGATTAGGAAAGAATAAATACATTACATATATCTTTTTCTCCCGTGATGTTGTAGTTCATCCCTGCTTGAGTTCTAACCCATGTGAAAACGGAGGAACATGTAACGCTGATGATTCATCCCAGCTATACACCTGTTCATGTTCAGGGGGATTCACTGGAAATGAATGTCAAATCGGCAGGCGCGGATCTACGGGGGGGGGGGTTAGGGGGTTTAAACCCCCCCCCCCCTTGGGCGGCCCAGAAAAAAAAGAAAAAAAAAAGGGGAAAAAAAGGAAAAAAAGAAAGAAAAAAAGAAAGAAAAAAGAACGCACGCTGGAGAGAAACCCTTTCAAGTGCAAATATTGTGAGAAGATATTCAACTCATCTGGTAACTTAACCAAACACATGATAACTCTGGATATAACTGTGTATTAAACTGTTACTTGATTTAAAAAGACGTTATCATGCACTGCTTTTTATGGTCTCCATTGTGTTAATAGATGCCAGGAAAACATCACTTACGGGGTTCAAATAAACACCCCAAAAAAAATCGGCTCGCCGCTTCGCGGCTCGTGGACGATGCTCTGCATCGTCATTATTTTGGTCAAACCCCCCCTTAGCAAAAAGCTAGATCCGCCCCTGATCGGTCAGTTAAAATCTCCTAATTATGTTTTTCTGTGATATAATTTCGGACTTTAATATCATAACCATCTGGCTCCAAATTATTCCGAATATTAATGTCATACCTTTTATGAGATTTCATCGTGTAATTAATCTGTAAATATTATAACAAATAATGTATTATCTGTATGGAGAAAATTACAAGGAAATTCATGATATTCTTGAATATTCTTCAATATAGGTGAGGCTTGTTAAGTTTGATGACACTTTGAGTAATGTATATAATTCATGATTAGTCGAGCACTTGCAATCACTTTGAAACCGTGCAAATTTTTAAACAAACCTATTTATTAGGAACTTTTAAAGTGTTACCAGTGCTCACGAAACCGTAAAATGTTGACATGACTCATGATAATTTTTAATCAATAACATATAAATTATATTCGAATATTCAAAATTGCAATCATGGAGGATTTTTCAAAGTTCTGGGAAGAATACTAGAGGTAGACTTTATTGGATAACTTGTTTAGCGCAAGGTTAATATGCCAAAGGGTCCATGTCCCCCTTTTTAAACGCTCTGCATACTGTTATTCCTGTTTAACCTTTCAGCGATTGGATGCCTTAGTTCCGTGTGTTACAACGGAGGTACCTGTCGATCTGACCAACTTACTGGATTATTTGCGTCTTGTCTCTGTACCTCCGGGTACTATGGCTATAAATGTGACAGTGGTGAGTTAATAACAGAAAAGACTGACTTTTCTTACAACAAATATGTTAAGATTATTGACTAAAATCTTTTAATTTCATTATCAAATTACTTTTTTGAGCTGTAACAGTGTAGTTTCTTGGGTTATATGAGTACAACAAAATGTGTAGATTATTGTTCTCTGTGGATCATAGAGGCATTTAATATATTTATTTTAAAAAAAATCAGAATCAAGGAATGTAGGCGTTAAGTAAATTGAAATGAGTTACTGCATTATATTTAATATATCAATAGCCGTGATAGGGATTTGTAGTAAAAAGAACTTACTAATCAATAAAATAATTATAATAATAATCATGATTTGTTTCTGTAGCTCCGGTTTCTGCCAACTTGGGCGCTCCAAAATTTGACAACATTATTATTTACATGTAATGTCCGTACCTACAGAGTCCATACCTGTACTCCTCTTAGTAATTACATTAAAAAAAACATCAAATAGTTCAACAAATTACATTATATCATGAGAATCAGTTTTCTAATTGTGTAACCATTCCAATGTTTCTATCTATTGCCATAACAGCTTATCCTTGTACGCTACAGAATTGCTTCGGAAGAGGAACTTGTACAAACAATCTGGGAACTTTTCCATATGACTACACTTGTTTTTGCTTTACCTTATACATCGGTCGTTCATGTGAATACGGTCAGTATACTAGCAACCTAAGATTTTTTTATCAAACAAACTTTGTCGTGACGTCACAATGAAGGGAAAGTAATTCAATATTAATCTGAACAAAAATGAAAATGAACTATTTTCATAACCATTTTTAATTGAGACACCATGAATTAATATATTTTTTATCTTTTAGTCCACGATTCATTACAAGTAGATCGAAAAAGAAGCACAAATAGGCTTTATATAGATTATACAAAAAGTGTCCAAACAGGACCCACCCCTCCCCTCTGAATAACGTTTCGATCTGCATTTGTTTTACCTTTCCGTTTTGTTATTCATTGCAGATGATCCTTGCTTCCAAACGCAGAACCCTTGTCAAAATGGAGGCACGTGCTCGTACTCTGGTGGTTGGACGAATCCACCCGTAGTCTCCTGCACGTGTTCCTCTGAATACACCGGTGATCGCTGCGAGAACTGTAAGCTCTTTACTATTAATGGCAGAGTTACAACTTTTGAAACAAGGATTTCAAGACATTTCTTTGCTTAGATGTTTATTCTGAAGTCTGGGTTCTCTTAAAATCCAGTCTTAGTAAACTGCACTGTAGATAAATTTACTGGTTATATCAACTAGCTTTCAAAGTCAGCTACATACCCCTTGTTTGTTTACTCACAACAACCTTAGTCTCCATTAACATAGATCATAAAAACAAAGTTGTCTTGGGAATGTTAAGTCTGCTGTAAATTAGTTGTGGCTAAATCTACGCCACGGTATAACTAGAACCCAATTTTTAGTTACATGATAATGAACTTTAAAATAACGATGGATTTCTCACGGGGTAGTTAACATACCTGATTTTGTTTTTCAGATTAGTTTGAAATAATGATTTAAATGTACACAAAAACTGAATATTTACATGTTCGCAACTAAATCCCTAATAGTGATAAAAAACGGAATTGTCTAACTTCTTTTCAGTACTTCATCCCTGTGAGAAACCAACTCACCCTTGCTTGAATGGTGCAACGTGTATCCCAAGGATAGATCAGTTATACAAATGTCACTGTCCTAGTGGATATATTGGCAGCGTGTGTGAATTCAGTAAGGAACATCATCTTTCTGTTTAAGTTTTAATTACACTGTAAGTCTAAGTAAACATTCCCTGAATGCGTATTGGCATAATTTTAAATCTGAAAATTTGGTGCACCCAGCCGATATATTTGTTGGGACCACCCCAAACAATCCGTAGAGCGTCCGCCTCACAACCGGGGGGTCGTGGGTTCGAACCCCGGCCGCGTCATACCAAAAGACATTAAAAGATGGGAGTTGCTGCAACCTTGTTTGGCGTTCAACCATTAGGGATAGAGCAACGTCGACATGGCGCTGCTCAGTGGCTGCCGGGCTCACAATCAATTGGACAAAAAGAATTTCCATTTTCGGTTGAACTTAATAAAATTTGGAGTGAACTTTAAAAGATTATTATTATTAGGTGGTCTGTTGAAAACAGATCACCTATTGTTTTCGTCAGAATTTTCTTTATTATTATTATTATTCTTTATTTTTATTTATTTCCTACACTTTTTTGTGCCTAGGATAACTCAAGTTCGGTTTCGTCAATTTCATTCAATTTTGGCACAGTCATAGGTCATTGTCATGAGACGTGACAGGAACCTTTTCAAGGTCATCACGTCATCGTGACGTCATCCAGGCGCCATTTTGTGAAATCACGTTATCCATCATATCTTCATGATGCATAAGCAAAGGTCATTCATATCCATATCACATATATTTCAGGTCAAGGGTCAAAAGGTCATGTCATCAAAGGTCACATAAAGGTCATGACGCGCGCGTACGTGCGCGTCAAAATTTTAAAATGCTCAAAATCACTTAACTATTAAAGGAGAGTACGAATCAGGTCATTTTAAGCATTTCAAAATTTTCCGTCCGTAAGTGTCACCGCGCGCGTTGCGCGCGCTCATAACGCGCGGAAAAGGTCAAATTCAAATTGTTTACATGATTTAGATTCCTCTTACCGTAAATGACAATTTACATTAATTTCAGTCACCCTTGACCTTTCAAAAGGCCGTGATCGCGCGTCAAAGTTCAAAATCCGCGCGTGCTGCTATGGGCAATATAATGCAAATTTGATCAAAAACATGACATTTTAAAAATCAAAATAGCTCTTCAGATAATCAATTGTTCCCATTTTTTATATCATGGTTGGAAGAAGCATGAGTTGGAGATATGATTTCATGTGTCATTTGACCCTCAATTAACTCATGACGTCATCATAATGGCCTCCAAACTCAAAATTTCAATTTGCATATTATGACGTCAGCAGATTTTTGGAAAATTGATTGTATCTCTGTAAATATTGATCAATTTTCTTTCAAATTTGGATATGTTCTACCTGAGAATATTTTCTACAAATGCAGTCAACACGCTATTTCATTTTGACAATGGTATCATGGCGTATTTTTGCGATTAAAGGAGGCATGTCAATTTTTCACATTTTGCGTGTATTCTCTATGGGACATGACTTTTTCTCAAAACTGGATTCTACATTCTGGTCTTTCGCGAGCCATATCTCCGTTGTTTTATCTTTGTTTATGCTGAGCTTTGAGTATGTTGTAGCTGAGACAATAAGCTATCACAAGTGTGCCCTTTATTTTTCGATCAGATGCCGGGATCATGCTCATATTTCACTTACAAAGTGGGATTTGATAATTCCATTTTCCGTTTACGTGTAATCTCTATGGGAAATGTTTTGGTATATCGGTAACGCACTTGACTTCCGACCTCGAGGTCCCTGGTTCGAGTCCGGGCGTCTCCAACAATTTTTTTTTTAAACTTTTTTTTCTTTTTGACCTTTCACTGTACCATCTCCTTTGAATATTAAAACACGTACAATCGCAAATAATGTAATAAACAACCATATTTACTTTATTATTACCCTATTATCACTTGATCCATTACTTTTTGCGTGTAATCCTTATGGGAGATGACTTTTTCTCAAATCTGGATTCTACATTCTTGTCTTTTGCGAGCAATATCGCCGTTATTTCAGCTTGATTTTTGTTGATTTTTGAGTGTGTTGTAGCTGAGACTTTATACTATCTAAATGTTCTCTCATTTTGTTCAGTCTGATGTCATCATGGTCTGTTGATGATAATCATCAACATCATCATGATCATCATCATCATCATTATCGTCATCACCATTACTATCAAGATCATCATCATCATCATGATCATTGTTTACATGTCTTTATAACTTCTCCCTTTCTCAATACAGTAACTATTTTAATCTATCATAAGACTTGAAGACAGACCACCTTATTCGTCTTTGTGACGAATTAAATTTCTAGTTTATTATTATTATTATTAGGTATATTCCATGAACCTATAAAATGATATATACACTTACAATAACGCAATTCCAAAGTGCGACCTATTTTATTTTTTGAGTAAAATTATCAGGTAAAATTTTGCATTTCCCCGAAATGATTGTACACTAGCTATATAACGACAAGCCTTTCGCATTACATTTGTACACTGTCACATGGGTAATATTCCAAGTAGACACGCAGTTTTCTGCTGTGATTATCACCGGGGTCGTTGTGCCCTTCAGTTTTATTAATGTTGTTGTTTTTCCGCCTATTTTATACAGTGGACCCGTGCGTAACGTTGGTAAACTTGTGCTTCAACGGAGCAACATGTAATTCAACTTTTAACAGCACTTCAACCACTTCCTCTTGTAGCTGTGCTGAAGGCTGGTCAGGTCCACATTGCAATGAAGGTAGGTATTTTAGGGGATGAAGGGGGGGGGGGTCCTCCCCCATTTTGAAAAGTGTGGTTGAATGCAGACAAATTAATGATAGTGTTAGCTACGTTTATCAGCACATATATTCCATCACAATTGAATCTCACGGTGGCGACAAATTCATTATTGGTTCTTATAAGGTTACTCAAAGCGCGTTCATGGAATTTCTTCCTATACATTTACACTACCTGGTTTGAGATTTTTGAAGATATTTGTATTGGGAATTAAAGTAGTGCTGCGGCCGAGACTCGAGCAATTTGCAAAGACGTCGTGGTCTAGTGGATACATCATCGGACTGTGGATCACATAGTTCGTGGTTCGAATTCCGCCGTGGCACTAATGTCAATTGGCAAGACATTTATCAACATTTGTCACTGTCCATCTAGCTGTGAAAATGGGCACCTGGTAAGATGCGTACTCTAAAGTTATTACATGTGCATGTTTGTCCTTGTAAAATGGCGCATTGCCGGAATACTCCCCACGGAACAGAGTTTGTGCACTATCATGTGCAGATTGCAATTGAATCTAATGACAGGGATAATGATAATTACGATGTAAAGTAATTCGAATCATGATATTAAGCACTAAACAGAGGTGAATGTGGTTAACATTATTATCACTATTATTATTATTTTCATTTTATCACGCACAATCATGTGACTTGACAAGTGGGCCAATGGCGTATTTATTGGAGGGGGGCGCAACTTGCCCTTGACCCCTGACATATACCTCCAGTATACAAGTCCGAGATTGTTATAAAATACCTATCCGAGTTATTCTCCATCATAACCCCCCCCCCCCCCCCCAAAAAAAAAAAAAAAAAAAAAAAAATATTTAAGAATTCCCATGAGATATTTCTGCCAGGATAGGTTTCTTTTTCATGGTAAATCCTAGACATCCTCTTGGGAACATTTCCTTCTCTTTTGACTATGCCTTAATGAACATTCAAAAATAAATACTATTGATCTTTTGTTTAAAAAAGTAATAGAGAATAGCTGTGTAGAAGAAACAAAAACCCAGAAAAACATGCACTTTATGTGGAGAACAGTACCGTCCAATATTGTGAAAATGTGTTTTTTCTGTCTCAATTCGTTGTAAAGTTGGATGTACAGATATGACTTGCTCCAATGGCGGTACATGTGACAGTGACGAGTCAACTGGAGCTTTTACGGCTTGCCATTGCTCTTTTGGTTACTATGGAGATTACTGTGAAAATGGTAATTTTAAAAGCATTGTCTCTTTCTGTTGTGATTCTTTGTGTTTCTTGTGATTCTTTCTGTTATCAATTGAAGTGTATACTTAACATTCGAATCGTAATACTGCGTTATTTGATCGCAATAAATCTGTGACATTCATTGAAAAGCTAATCATATTTAAAAAAATACGAGTTGAAAGTAATTAGAAGTTACTCAATTCAAACTTTACGACGTTTTCGTTAAAGGAGAGGTTGATAATTCAAATTAAAAAATAAAATAAGTTAGAGTTATCTTTGATTAACAAGAAGTATGAATAATACTTAATAAATAACTTTTGACAATTAAATGTGTGGTGTACGATTGATTAGTTTGGCATAACAATACTACGTCGTTCAATCGGTTGTCTTAGCAGTGTATTTAATTGTTGCATGCCCAAAATTAATAGATTCAGTTTTATTGCATCTTATATTTAGAGCAATATATGTATCATTCATTTGTTTTATTAATTTGATTCCAGTCAAAAGATAACATTGTAAGCTTTTTATGAAGGAACAAACGAGAGACTAACAATTTAATTAATGAAAATACTCATTTGATTTTCTGATGTTAAATGTGAAATTCCTTAGCGTACCCATGCACTTCAAACCCATGCCTTGGGAGAGGGAGTTGTATAAACAACCAGCTGCAAGGAAACCAATATTACTTTACCTGCGACTGTATCTCACCTTACATCGGCCACTCATGTCAATATGGTGTGTATTAAACAATTAATCGGAATCATTTGATTTCATCGATATCATTTTCCACAATATTATATTTTCATTGTCATCCATTTTTTTCCATTGAAAAAATATTTTGAGTGGATACAGGTTGATATACATTACTTGCATCATTATATATATTTGAATACTTGTGGAGTATCATTAATCCTATAATAATTATTTCTCGTAACTGATATTTATATGAAATAATATAACAGAAAACTTGACAACTCGACTGTAATGTTTCCTTTTGTCAAATATATAGTTTTCTTAGGTTTTTTATATCAAAATATAATAAGAAAACTGAGAAACATTGCTTGCATCATTGAATGCGAAAAATAAACGGGATATTCATTATTTGGACAAGGATTAAATGTATTTTGTATGAAATCATTTTTAAGCTTGATTTGTTTCGCTTGCCGTCTGTCCATAATGTATTGTATAGAATCTGATGAAAATTACTCACCGGTTCCTTGCAGTACTTTAAACTATCATACACGATTTCGTCAGGATATTTCTAGATTATTATCACCTTCAAGTGCTTCAACGTATCAAACTCAATAACTTTGTAGAGGTAGTTGCGAAAGACTGTAGGCCCTACCCGACTAAGACTTATAATTCTGTCGCTTGGCAACGTCTGCAAATCATTTTATCCAAGCGTTGTATCATACATGCCACTTAAATGTGTAAACGTTCTTTATTATTTTTGTCCTTCCAGTGGATCCTTGTTCAACCAGTCTTTGTCATAATGAAGGTACATGTTCATATAGAGATGGTAATTTAACTCCTCCTATACCAACATGTACCTGTACGTATGAATATTTTGGAGCATTATGTGAAAATGGTAAGTATAAGTTATCCTTTTCTCGTGAATATTTGTCACTTGGTAGTTATAAACATATACTTTCTATGTGTAAACTACCTAGTTTACAGTTATTTTCCCAACGTTTCCCTTTCTAGCACTGTATTTGTATTATTGATGTATATTGTAGCCTTTGACATGCAAACAGTGTTAACGATTGTTTATGAATATAACAAATCAAATACCAACACATAAAATCAACATAAAACAACAGAACGTTAAGTTGTGAATGTTAAAAAGTAATAGGCCTGCACAATGTTTCTTGGGAACAGCCCAAGAGGACGCCCAACACACCGCGAAACAGATAAATGTAGTAATTGTAGGCTTTCAGACAAGTTCTGAGAGTTTACGAGACCGACATCGCTCTGGCGTGGGTCTCGAGTGCCCCTGTCCATTGGGATATTCCTATTTGGGCCAGGAACCCCCCCCCCTATTAGGCTAATTTATATTACCACGTTCATAGCATACCCATGTACATCAAAACCCAGGTACAGGTACATGTATTCAAAGGGGTAGAGGAGGTGAGAGTTAAATTAGAAGTAATAAATTGATAAGTAATGCTTTATATAAGCATGTTTTATTCCTTTATTGTAAACATTATTGGTGTTATGAATATGAGGGAAACGGGTAATGAGTTTGACAACATTTTAACGTATGAAAGTAAAAATAGATGATTGCTCAAAATACGCATAATTATGACCAATATTGATTCTTTATTCGACAGCATACCCATGTACATTGAACCCATGCCAAGGAAGAGGTTCTTGTACCAACGATGCTCCAAACAATTTTACATGTGACTGTTACCCTCCTAACATCGGCCTAACTTGTCAATATGGTAAATACTGACTACTCCTTCTCAATCCAATAACTCTGTTAACATCGAATGATAAAGATGATACAAGTTCGATGATTTCAAAGGGAGTTTGAATGTACTTTATTTTCACGTTCCATATTTTACTTAATAGAGGCTATTTCTTCTTTTAAATGAATCTCGAAATTGTTTTTGTGGTAGAAGGTTGCGTCATAAAATTGTCAATGTTACAAGCTACTTTTTTCCTTCTTTTCAATTGTATGCCTACTTCAAAAGTATCTCGCCGGCTTGATATACAGATGATGCCTTTAGGATTATAAACACTTAACTCTTGTATATTTCGAATTTATAAATCGCGTTACTTTGGCAATGTGTGAAAAACCATTAAGTGATATGATAATAATGATCACCCTGTTGATTAAACATGTATTATGAGGACTCGTTTATAATTTGCATGAGATATCTGTAAATGGTATCCAGTCACTTTGACATGATTTGAAGCAGAGAAAAATTATAATGCTATTGGAAATACGCAATTTGATCACTTAAAGTAGCTGAACACTTTCTAGCCATTCACGTGGAGCTACAAACAAATTATAAAATGCATGTCTACCATACCATTTCTTTTGAAACCCGAAATTTTGTATTCATTTTTTTTTCAGTCAATCCCTGTTCTTCAAATCTTTGTCAGAACAATAGCCCAAACTGTTCATACACAGATGGTATGAATACACCTCCTGTACAAATATGTACGTGTTCATCGGGATATTACGGAGAATCTTGTGAAAATGGTAAGTAATTGGCCATCGAAATTTGCAACGCTCTGTCTTTAATACCTATTAATAAAAGATAATAACTGGATTTTTTTTAATGGAGACTTTTCTAAATTAAATAATATAGTTGTTGACCTTCTTCCAGTTTTGGGAATGAAAAGTAGGAGGCGACATATATTTTACCGGACATGGTGGCTCAGTGGTTAGAGCGCCTGCCTCATGAACGGGAGGTCGTGGGTTCGAACCCCGGCCGAGTCATACCAAAGACTTATAACAATGGGACTTCTGCCTTCTAGCTAGGCGCTCAGCATATTATATTGGAGAAGAGTAGTAATAACATATTATGTTATGCAGGGCCCGCTGGAAGAGCAGTTTCATAACTGAAGTGGCTACCCTGGGTAAATAAAACGTTATTATTATTATCATTATTATTATTATTGTACCTCAGCGGCCGAACGGTTGTTTCGTATCTGTTAATTGACTGATGAGTTGTCTCCAGACAATATTGTCCGGTAGGGTAGATACATGGGAGATGTCCATATTATTCCATGGTATAACCCTACTAGTCAGAAAAAATAATATCTTCAACTTATCAGCAACAACAAAAAATTCCCCAAAACGCACTCCTTCCTTTTCCTTGACCTCTTTACTACCGTGCAATACTGTAACATTGAAAACAGTAGAGTAATTGTATGCAATGATAATGCTTTTCACAACAGTCTTTTATTTCTTTATAAATACATTTTTATCAATTTAATCTAAAGTATCATTAACATTCAGTTTTACATGTATTCTTATTCTTGCAATTTGTACATTTATTGTAATTCTACTTGCACTGAAAAACATGTATCAATTAGTATATGACTGCCAGTTATGTTTTTAATTAACCTTGATGGAATTTGAAGCGAATTTGAATTAGTTGCAGTTCCTCCCCTCATTTGTATTTCATCATTTTCTAGCTTACCCGTGTACATCGAGCCCTTGCCGAGGGAGAGGCATATGTACCAATGATTTACAGGATACTCCATTCAACTTCACATGCGCCTGTAATCCTCCTCACATCGGCCTGACTTGCCAATATGGTGAGTATAAGGAAATGTCCAACTAACATTTTCACATGTCCATTGTTACTTAAACATTGTTCCTTGAACTGACATTATTTTGCCTTTTCTGGCCCTTTCTATACTATTGACCTACTTTCCCATCAATGTAGATTGATGATACTTATTTATTTATTTATATATATCCGATGACTGATTTACATGAGATTTTCTGTCCATGAATTTATGTTCTTAATGTTAATAACTTTCTGTTAAAATATATATTCGTTATCTAGTTGACTCATTATTTGTGTTATTTGATATTATCGTATCTACTATTGTACATGTAAATGTATTGAATGTATCCCAATGTTTTAAAATGCATATTTTGTAAGTTTAGCGATTCATCCAACAGCTGCCATTCACAAATAGTAAAACACCACGAATAAAAATAAATTAATGAATGATAAGTCATGTTGAATAGTATAAAAGAGTACAAAATAAATATTCAAGTATAGTTTTCAAATATCGATACTTATGGTCGTTATCACTTCATTGCCATATTTTTGTTATTCACGTACAAGAATAGAAAGATTAAATGTTTGTATCATTTTTGTTCTCTCCAGATGACCCATGTTTGATATCTAATAACGCATGTCTGAATGGAGGTACATGTGACTACATAAGTGGTTCTTCAAGTCCTCCTGTAAAAACCTGCTTGTGTCAAAATGGAATCTATGGAGATATCTGTGAAAATGGTTAGTATATACTGGTGAATGTAGTCATTGACATAGTGGGTTAGTTTAGAGTAGACGTCAATCATATGATTTTATTTAACAGCACTTAAGCGTTTAATACAGATATCATTTAGACCAGTTTTCATCTCTTGTTTAGTTCTCTGATTGTATTGTTCAATTATTTATCGACTTTAACTGACAAAACACTTGAATTGTGTTCCAACAAAACTTTAACCTTCTTCGGCTCATGCAAATTTGCAAGGTTTTTTAAAGAAAATCAGTCGTCGATTTGGCTTACAATTATCTAGATACATAAAGAAAAGGATGCCTGGTGATTTATCTGCAGACAATATTGTCCGGTAGGGTCGAAGTAAGAAGTCCATAATGTCTTCAAGTTATCAGCCCCCCAAAAAACATTTCCAAAAAATACACTCCTTCCTTTTCCTAGACCTCTTTACTACGATAGTGCAATATTCTACATTGAAAACATTAGAGTAATTGTATGCCATGATAAAGGCTTTTCACAGAGTCTTTTTTTGCTTTAAAATTCTAATTTTATCAATGTAATCGAATTTATGTATCATTAACATTCAGTTTTACATGTTTTCTTATTTTTGTAATTTGTATATAATTGTAATTCTACTTGCACTGTAAAACATGTATAATTCAGTATATGTTATGTTTTTAATTAACCTTGATTGGATTCGAATCGAATTTGAATTAGTGACATTTCCTCCTCACAATTTACATCATTTTCTAGCTTACCCGTGTACATCGAGCCCCTGCCGAGGGCGAGGCATCTGTACCAACAATCTACAGGATTCTCCATTCAACTTTACATGCGCCTGTAATCCTCCTCACATCGGCCTGACTTGCCAATATGGTGAGTATAAGGAAATGCCCTACTAGTATCGGTCCATGACCATTGTTTCTTTATCATGTTTTCTCTACTCTAGACCTACTATTCGATAAATTTATCAATGTATATATAATTGTATACATACAAGGAAGTTCAGGTTTCTGCTTGGAGTTCGAGAAAATACATAGAAATACAATAAATAAAGATGCTCTGTACAGGAGAAATTGTTTTACAATTTTAAAAGAACAATATTTTTCAAAATTTGTGAACAAAATTCTTCGTGTACGGAGCATCTTTATTTATTGTAAAATTGTGTTTTTGTATGTATATATATATATCCTATGACTGATCAACATGAGGATTTCTGGGCATGGGTTTGTGTTCTTACTGTTAAATTAAATTTCTGATTACATGCCTAGTATGAATTTGACTTGTTATTACATGTGTTATTTCATATTACCGTATCTGTTATTGTATATGTAGGTAAATTGAATGTATCTTCATTATGCACTTGTGTGCATATTTTGTAAGATATGAGTAGTTCATCCATGGTCTGCCATTAAACAATCGGGATAAACCATGAATAAATTAAATGAATGAATAAATAAATAACATTTTTTGTTGAAAAGTATGAAGGGTAACGAACCTGTTATTTTTTAAAGATTTATGTAAATTTGTCAAGTATTGATTTGATCCAAATCCCTTCATTGTCATGTTCTTTTTATTCACGTGCACGAAATGAATTGTTTTTTTCTGTTTCAGATGACCCATGTTTGAAGTCTAATAAAACGTGTCTGAATGGAGGTACATGTGACTATATAGGTGGTTCTTCAAGTCCTCCTGTCAAAGCCTGTTTATGTCCAGATGGATTCAGTGGAGATATATGCGAGAACGGTGAGTGTATAGTGGTCAATATGAGCTTTTAAATCAGCATCTCCCTGCTATGTGACTGGCTAATAGAATAAGGGTTCCTGAACAGTGAAGTCCATCGTACATTGTCCATACTTATTGATATTACTGGAATTTAAAATGGATGATACATTTAATAACATATAGCTGATTTTTCACCACAACTTCTTTTTCTGTGACCATTAGGTTCCACAACACATCCAACGTCACACTCTAGGGATTTTTTTTTTGAATCAGTCAGGGAGCATCATAATGATCAAAGTAATAAACAACCGACATCAGCAAACGACTATATTACAATATATGTGACAGCCAGTTCAGGCTCTTCATAATTATCGTGGTGATTAGGTTATTTGCTTGTCAGTTTCCTGGTTGTTGTTTTTTTCTTTTCTGATTGTCGTTGTTGGATGGCTGTTTTTTTTTGTTTTTTTTTGTGGTGTACTCGTACCCAACTCGTGATATTCTATACAACGTATTTAACCAATGCTTTGAGGAGCAGTACTATAGAGTTTTACCACGAGGGAAATATGTAAGAAATGTGACTCCCTAGTAATCGCTTGATTTATTTTTGTATGGGAAATAACCATGAAATGCTGAACTGCTGATATCCGCGACACCATATTTTAGACTGAACGTTCAATCGCACGAACTCCTTTTTATACGTCTTTTTTTAAATCTCTTCAGGTACAAGAATGGATCTTACAACATCAGCTCCTGCAGGAATTGACACGCTGAGTACGTGACTTCTTTTTATTTAATCATATATTGAGACAATAAATAAATGAACATTTACTAGAATATATTTAAGTTAATAATGTCTGTTGGGAGCCAGGGGAGTACAAATAATTCCAATAATTCCTCTAGCTCTCAACAGAGAGATTAAATTGTTATGTTATTTGTAGTTTTTTTTTAATCAGTCAGGGAGCATCATAATGATCAAAGTAATAAACAACCGACATCAGCAAACGACTATATTACAATTTATGTGACAGCCAGTTCAGGCTCTTCATAATTATCGTGGTGATTAGGTTATTTGCTTGTCAGTTTCCTGGTTGTTGTTGTTTTTTTTTTCTGATTGTCGTTGTTGTATGGCTGTTTTTTTTTTTTTTTTTTTTTTAGTGGTGTACTCGTACCCAACTCGTGATATTCTATACAACGTATTTAACCAATGCTTTGAGGAGCAGTACTATACAGTTTTACCACGAGGGAAATATGTAAGAAATGTGACTCCCTAGTAATCGCTTGATTTATTTTTGTATGAGAAATAACCATGAAATGCTGAACTGCTGATATCCGCCACACCATATTTCAGACTGAACGTTCAATCGCACGAACTCCTTTTTATACGTGTTTTTTTTAAATCTCTTCAGGTACAAGAATGGATCTTACAACATCAGCTCCTGCAGGAATTGACACGCTGAGTACGTGACTTCTTTTTATTTAATCATATATTGAGACAATAAATAAATGAACATTTACTAGAATATATTTAAGTTAATAATGTCTGTTGGGAGCCAGGGGAGTACAAATAATTCCAATAATTCCTCTAGCTCTCAACAGAGAGATTAAATTGTTATGTTATTTGTAGTTATTTGTTTGTGATATGTTAATTTATCGTTATATGTTATTCAAATGTATTTCGTAAGACGATGTTTATGCTTTCCTTTTATTTGTGCATGACAATAAAGAAATTCATTAAATACCAACAAATATTCTTTCGTTTGACACAAAATTTGCTATGAAGCATTTATCTATTTAAACAAAATCTGAACTTTAATATTTTAAAGTCCTGAGACACCTTGTAGATGTACTGTGTCTTACATAATTAATAGTAATAGTATAGTAGTAGCAGTATTAGAAATAGTAGTAGTAGTAGTAGTAGCAGCAGCGGAAGTCGTAGTGGTTGTAGTAGTAGTAGTAGTAGTAGTACATGTGTAGTAGTATAGTAATGGCGGTAGTAGTAGCAATTACTTATAGTTATTCCCTCTACTTTTATTATAATAACCATAAGGACTACTGTGAAAATAAATATTCATGTTCTTTACACCTTTTTTTTCCTTCTTTTTTCCAGCCATTGTGGTCGTCGTTAACTCTTTGTTGGTCGTAATCATCATTATAGGGTCCTCGGTAGCCATTTCATATTGCTGCGGGAGAAGACGGTAAAGTCCCACCTTTATTTAAAACTTTGATTCCTATTTAATGATATATGAATGTATGAGAATTAGGACACGTTAGTAAGATTTTTCACTAGTAATATTATTATTTCGGCACAAGTTCGGTAGAGGGGAAGGGAGAACGACTCCTGCCTACATGATCACTTTTTAAGTTTCCGAATTTTGCGGGCAATCAAGCCAAGCAAGTTAAATTGTGACACCTTATTACAATGACATCGGTGACCAGAATTTGACAAACAGATCATCTTACTGTCCGGATTATGAGATGATGATTGCCTGAGTTGACTTGTAATATTATCATACGCTCCACATACGACTGTGTGTAATAGGTGACAATGGTTTTCTTTTTGTTAAACCTCAATTAAGATTAAATTCAAAATACAACAAACCATAAATTATCGTTGAACAACGACTCTAGCAACATTGTTCTAATGTTGTCATTTTTAGGTAGCATTTATATCACACGATTCTATACTATTTACATGTCTCTTTTTCGTTGCCAAATTTCTAATGTAATGATCCAACTTGCTCATGAGTACGTATCAACATTTTCTCACCAGGCGAAAACGAAAGGAGCACGAAAAGGAAGACTCTACGGATCCTGCTGAATCCAAAGGGAAAGTCATCTATGGTCAGTATCAAAGGACGATCTTACCAAGACGGGAAAACGGATACGAAGACACCCTCTCGCCAGTACCCGTGGTCAATATATTCGACCAAAGGTATCACGTAACCCGACGTGGCCTTCCTGAAATACCTCCAATACCACTAGATCTGGTAGAAATCGACAATGAAGACATTTATAAGAGATACGAAAAAGTGGGGGAGGAAGGGAATGACGATCACGGACGAGATAATGGCGGGTACGATAGTCTGGAATTGGAAGATGAAAAGGTTAATGATGGAACCAAGAGCGAAAGAGGGTACGAACGGGTGGAAGTGAATGACGATCACGGACACGATAATGGTGGGTATGATAGTCTGGAATTGGAAGATGAAAAGGTTAATGATGAAACCAAGAGCGAAAGAGGGTACGAACGGGTGGAAGTGAATGACGATCACGGACACGATAATGGTGGGTATGATAGTCTGGAATTGGAAAGTGAGAATAGTGCCGATGCTGATTTGAATGATGTCAGTGGAGATGGTTATGAGCCTGTTCAAGATTCTGCACTCCCTAAACGCCATGTATATGACCCTGTTCATACTCCCGAACCCCCTAAACCCCATGTTTATGACCCTGTTCATACTCCCGAACCCCCTAGACCCCATGTTTATGACCCTGTTCATACTCCCGAACCCCCTAAACCCCATGTTTATGACCCTGTTCATACTCCCGAACCCCCTAGACGCCATGTTTATGATCCTGTCCATACTCCCGAACTCCCTAAACCCCATGTTTACGACCCTGTTCATACTCCCGAACTTCATAAACGCCATGGTTATGAGAAAACGATTCAAGAGACGGCATTCAAGGGGAACAATGACTGCCGTATGATGGTCATAAATGAAACAGTGGAGTCTACATGCTAAAGTCCGACCAAATATGACGCGTTAAACCGCAGCGATTCAAACAATTTATTTTGGTAATGACTGTCAACTGTGCAAAGGTCATACGCATACGCATATTACACTCTCGTCATTGTAAAATTATACAGAAAATGCACTGCGGTTTACCACTTTTATGAACGAGTCTTTTAAATCGGAACTTAAAATCTTTCGAGAATTCCAATAAAGATACGTGACTTTCGCCCGGTATGCTAAGCCCTTCACACGCGAGGCATCACTTCGACTGCGTTAATAATTCCCTGCGCTAATCAGTCCTGTGAATCAACCCATAAGTGAGTACGTCAATGCAGTATTTTTTGTTCAATTACCCATATTGATGACGATGTCACCCTCACAAGACCACACGAGTCACTGACGCAGTCATGCGTCAGGAAAATAATGTCTCATTTGCCAACCAGAACGATTTTTCAATTTGGTATGCCACAGGTTAAAGTAAATAATAGATCACTACCGATAATGACGGTTGCACACTTGCATGTGCCCATGGAGCTGACATATCACACAAAATGTTCTGTTTGCACTCATTTGTTTGTGTAGAACGTAATACACCAGTTATCCGTCGAAAGTCGATTGTCGGACAATCCAAACCCTTGCGTCAATCCATCGTACTCTGCATCAAGGCATTGCGTTCGTGGCTAAAGACTGCGCCTCGACTTATTATGTGCATTTATATATGCCTGAGTCACTGATTGGCCTTGAATGTTGCAATTGAATTAACGCACCATGTGCACAGTAGTTTCAAGTTCAAGTTCATTTATTCAAAACCACACAAAACATGATATAATAATAATAATAATAATATGGATATTTATGTAGCGCCGGTATCCGCCAGGCTCTGACGCTCATGGCGCTGTACATACATGTATTACTATCACAAAAATATAACTTTAACATGAAAAAGAGACTGGTTATAGTACATTAGTCAACATATACTAACCTGATTACATCAGGCGCGTACGCAGGATTTTTTCAAGGGGGGGGGGGGGGTTAACATTTATAAATCGGGCCGAAAATAAGCGGGGGGGGGGGGGGGGGGGGTAAGAGGAAACTTTTTTTTTTTTTTAGTCTCGACATATGAAAATTTGCATTTTTGCTCCGTTGGGGGGGGGGGGAGTAAGGTTACCTTTTTTAGGTCAGCCATGGGAATAATTTTTTTTTTTTTTTTTTTTTTTAATAATTGAAAAAAAAAAAATCCTAAGGGGGGGGGGGGGTTTAGGGGGGTTATGGGGGGAGGGGAGGGTTTACACACATTAAAATACCAAAGGGGGGGGGGGTTAACCCCCCCCCCCCTCCCCTGTGTACGCGCCTGGATTACATCATTAAGTGAATGGTTTTAGGACCTCTGTAGAAGCTAAGCTTGTGAGCATGCGTTGGCGAGCGTCAAACTTTAAAATTTGTCAAAATGCTTGTTGAACCAATTTCTTACACGTTTCAGACCTTTTTGAACATTTTACAAAGTTGCCTGCACGGACTCAGGGACGATCTCAGAAAGTTCTGTAGAAACTGCTTTCCCTTTTGACCCTTGCTGGAAAATGGTATTTCGGGTGGGAATAAAAGAATATGTTTTCGGAAATAGAAGTAGTATAGAGTTAGGGCCTGATTACAAAATAAGAAGACGATGAAATTCTTTGGGGGAATGTGCTTGTTGTAAAACTAATTGTCACACTGCCTAGTAGTGAGCAAGTGCGGGATTGGTTGATGTGATATTGTAATTGAAGACTTGCATAATCACAAAGAAATCATTTTATTATTATTTGTTAGAAATGATAATTCATATTGGGGAAATCTTTCTCTCTTTCTGTATTGTTTACCCCCTTCTACTTTACTCCCAGATTACTTTGTATGTAATCATAAAATGAATACATTTAGTATACTATTGTTTGTTAATTAAATAGAATATGATGATGAACGCTATGTACATAATTATTATATGTGTATATAAAATTCTAGTAAGAGGAAATCATGATGTTGTTTGTAAGTTTACTATAGTGCTATGCAGACTATTATTAATTGCAAGTTCCTTGAATACTGTAAGGAGTTTAGAATATAAATTGTTAAAGATGTATCTTTTCAAGCTCAGTAATCGCTGAAATGGGTAGATTCGGATAAAAATGATGCAGATGACTTTTGAAAAAATACATGAAAAGTTCAGGAATTGTCATGAGTTTAATTAGTATTAATGTGAATACCTGAGACAAGATATGACTTGTTAATTTACGGATTAGTAAAGTCTGAGAGTAGAATAAACATGCTTAAGGTCTATGTGTAGAAATGATCCTCAGTCTCGGAGTGTAAAGACAGAGTGGAGGAAGCTCATTCGGCAATATAGTATAGGGATGGTTATGCTAACATTCTTGTATCATGTCTATATGATTCTTAATGGAGACGCTAAGTGATGGATTATATTATTAGAAGCTATGGTAGATTGACTGATATCTCAATGTTACAGACATTAGTTGGTTAAGAATTATTCGTAGCCGAGTATTATAAGATCAATGAAGAGTGGCATTGCGCTTGTAAATAAAGCACGGAAGTTAAAATGTTCTGGTCGACTATTAGGTCTTCCTTCATTCAAAGCAGACCAAAGAAGTTTCTGTTTCGTTTGCTGGAAGTGATTTTTGGGATATGCTTCCTACTGATCTAAGAATCGAAAGATTAAGAACCTCCTTTCGTAAAAAGCTCACAAAATTACTCTGTGGTGAAAATAGGTGAAAAACACAAATTATAACTTTGTAATTATATAGTTATAATTATATAGCAACCAGTCTCGTTGTTTGGATTGTAATAATAGACACAATTGTTTTTGTTATAGAATTTGCAAACCCATCGTGTATTCTTCGTTTACTTTTTGTGTGGCTTTTATTTAGATAACGAGGGTCAGGCTCGACTAGCACATGTGCTATATTTCTGACTGTATTTTACGACCGATCACAAAGTCATTGTAAGTAGTCATTTATTGTTTTACTCTTGACACAGAACTCTTTAAATAATGTTTATCGCTGTATAACGTCATATTGACATTGTATTTGTACATTTATATATCTTTTGTTTCAATGGTGGAGAATTGATAAATTCGATTCAATTCATTCCAAGTTTCCCAGACGATATCCGTAGCGATATATTTCAGAAAGTGAACCCCGGAGAGCCAAAGCTTTGCCGTCAATTACATAGTGCCACTTAAATGAAAACAATTATTGAAATCGATTCTGATAGGGGATCGTGGTCAAAATTAAGATCTAAGGTGAAGACTGCAAAATCTGCCATTATAATATGGTCTTTACACTTATCTCTCGATCAAAGCGGCATAAAACCTATTTCGTCTTTGTGACAAATCTTATGTTTAGTTTTCATTTTGTGTTCTTGCGATAGGGTGACTTGATGTAAATATATTACATGTATTTCAAATTCAACATGTCAACATCTTTACTTTATATACATTTCTTTGCAAGGAAAATCAAAGGAAGGTCCTCGTTGACTTAATGATTTATGATATACATATATTTTTTGTTGGTGGAAGATATATATATATATATATATATTTGGTGGAAGATCAGGTAAACATCAATATTTTCACTTACATTAATTCCTCAATGGACTGGTGCCCTTTCATTCCAAACGACAAGGATTCTCAAATGGTATCACCGACCGGGCAAGCAGTTACTTGAGTCGTTAGCTCGGATCATGTTTAAAGCCGACAAGGTCTTCGATTTTTCAGGATAAAGCACAAAAACTATTTTATGTTTTACATTCACTATCCTCCTTACTCGATGCTACATGTGTTTTGAAATATGTCTTAGATATCCCATTGAATGGGGTGTTTATAAATAGGAGACGTGTACTTTATACTGACTCTTTACCAAAATCATAAATTCATATCGTTGAAGCGTCAGTGGTGGAATGTTATACATGCATTTATAATGTTACGTTAAGAAGATTGTTAATGGTTCTGTTTACTACCCACATACTTTGTTTTTTGAATTCAAGTCGTTGCTAAGATTATTTTTAAGATATGAATGTGTTAGCAAAGAAAATAATACTAAGCTGGAAGAATTATTGTTGAATGTACTTTAATCTTTAGCCTATGTTCTTTTCCACTCAATCATTGAGTTATTAATGTACAAATGTATTACTATTATGGAAATAAAAACCTCGCTTGAGGATAAGAGAAAAAAAAAATACATGCATTTATCATAATGGTGATGTAACCATAGGGGATGCAATATTCGGAAAGTTCTTTATACATTTAATATGTTCATTGTCATTTCATGAAATATTGAATATTAACATTAAAATTAGTTAATTTAAATTCATAATTTTGGGTGGTCAGTCTATTGTCTGAATTATTTAAGAGAAAGACGTTAAAATCACGAGAGCCTAACTTGTAACTGTAAAGATACCGCGACAGGATGAAACATTGAAATCTCGATAATATTTCTACTCATGGAGAAGGAGAGAGACAGAGAGACAGAGGGGGATAGAAAGATCGTCATACAAACACACATACACGGCGGAGGGGAGGGAGGGAGGGAGGGAGGGAGAGAGATAGATAGATAGAGAGAGAGAGAGAGGGTGGCAGACAGAAATACAGATATACAGAGTTTACATGATAATCATAATGATGTCCAATGACGAAACCGACATAAATGCAATAATATAATTTGGAATAAGCGAAATGTACGACAAACGAATAGAACTACTGAAAAACAATAAATCAACATTAAAATACATATTTTAATATTTATATTTAATAACCGGGCATGGTGGCTCAGTGGTTAGGGCGCCGGCCTAATGAACGGGAGGTCGTGGGTTCGAACCCCGGCCGAGTCATACCAAAGACTTATAACAATGGGACCTTCTGCCTTCTAGCTAGAGAAGGGTAGTAATAACATATTATATTATGCAGGGCCCGCTGGAAGAGCAGTTTCATAACTGGCTATACCCTGGGTAAATAAAACGTTATTATTATATTATTGTTATTATTATAACATCCCCCCTTCCTCCGTTTTTTTAATCATTATTATTAAAAAAATTAAAAAAACATATAAATAAATAAATACATATAATATGTATTTGTATGTAATATGTATACGTATATATATACAAAGTTCAAGAACTGTTTTTTGACCACGTATTTTCTTACCTCTGTTAATTAGATTGCTGTTTATCTTTATACATGTACTATTAATATATTTTGATTGTCTATTTTATGATATAAATACGACCATATACGAAATTAGTAGATCATTGATGGTTTTAAAAAAAAATCTATGTTACACAATAACTTTGAAATTTCATATTATCCAATGTACCCCAAATTGAGAATGATCTTATCTGTTTGGATTGAAATAAATAAAGTTTGAATTTGAATTTGTATCACCATACATGACGTATGGTTTATCAATTCAATACATAAGGGGCGGATCCATAGGGGGGGGGGGGGCATCGGGCCCGACTTCCCTCTCCGGCGAAAAAAAAATTGTAACGTTAATTTTACCTTTTTTAAACAAGAAATGAAATCCCCCCCCCCCAACCTGGCAAAAAATTGAAAAAAGGGTTTTGTTTTTGTTTTTGCTCAAAGAGGGGGGGGGGGGGGGGGTGTTGAGAAAAGAAAGGGAGTGTGTACTCAACCCCCTCCAAACAGTGCTTATACCCCCCCCCCCCCCCCCCCCCCCCCCCCCCCCCCCCCCCCCCCCCCCCCCCCCCCCCCCCCCCCCCCCCCCCCCGCTTATTCACCGGCTGGCTGATGAGCCGCTAAAAATTTTCTCACGAATTGGGCACACAAAAAAATAATAAAAATATTGCTCCTATATGTGATGAAGATGAGGGTTGGTGATGGTGGTAAGAACTATGATGGTGAAGAATACTGAAGATGATGATGATATTTATAATAATGATGATGACTGTGATGGTGATAGTAAATATTATAACTATGTAGTTGATGATGCCGGTTGTGCCTCGGACATCAATGGTGTTGATAATTTTATTGATTTGATTGATTGATTTATTTCCGTTTGATTTTCTTTTGCATTTTTACAAATATATAACAAACACACATTTCAAATTTACACATGACAAAAGAATATATGTAGAATAAAGTAACTGATGGAATCATTTACCATAATGGATGGTGATGGCATGGGAAATGATGCAAAGAATAAGAAGAGATAATGTTCATGGTCGGATTTTGATGATGATAACGATGTTGGTGACACAGAAATTATAGGTCGAAGTCACATCGTCCAGTTTAGTCGAAAAACGATGTCATGAATACGCGGCCCTCTACGTTACTGTTCACGTAATCTTTCCAGTCAGCAGCTGAGAAAAAGAAAAAGGAGACCGAGGGCCGAGGGAAAAACGGGCCACAAATAGTATGTTTGCCGTAACCACGAGAAATTGTAGCTGTGCAAACCATATGTGACTTTCTGTAAATTAACAATCTAATCGGATTTTTAACAGTGATTCTTCCAATTATATAAGGTTTTTTGACAATGTTCGGTGGATGATAATCTAGATCGCGCAAGTTGTGATTGGATGCCGTGGACGTGTTATTACGTGCAAATCGCATGCAAAGGCGTGTCCGCATTCAACACTGTGCAAATGCCTATGGTATTACACGAACTGCATCAGATGCTGTGATCGCCTGGAGGATTTTAAGAACTTAGAGCGAAGAAATCTTGATTAAATATCTCGATTGGCTCCTTTCTTAAGAAGGAAGAACTTTATCACTCTCGTTTATGTTGATCAAGCAATGTCTAATATGACAAAAGAGGATAACGGTGAGTACAGTTCAAGCTGATCATGATGATGTCATCTAAATGTATTGCAGATGAGATGAAATGAGATGTTGCATGATGCATCACTGCACACGAGCATCAATTTGACATGGACTCGGCCCGGTCATCTTGACTCACTTATGTGTTGAGTTGCCTAGTACTAGTATAAGGAGTGAATATTTTTGTCATGATGAGTGTGAAAGAGAAGGATATCAGAATTCTGATTTATAGTCTAGACTAGTCTAGAGTCTAGTATGTATAGATCATGTTGCACTTGAAAAACTGGTAGACTAACACTGTATCAGTAATCTGAATCATTCTAATATTTAAGTAGGGCTACTATTATTTTCTAATAGACTTCAAATTTACACACAGCAATAACCCTTCCATGTATATGCGCACTGCGTTAACATTAACATAAATTAGCCTTTAAAGTTGAATGTGTCATGTGTGTTTATGCATGTGTTGGCTCAGTCATTAGAGCGTCCGCCTCACAACCGGGAGGTCGTCGTCGGTTTGAACTCCGGTCGCGTCATACCAAAAGACGTTAAAAGACGGGAGTTGCTGCTACCTCGTTTGGCATTCAACAATAAGGGGATAGAGCAACGTCGATCTGGCGCTGCTCAGTGGCTGCCAGGCTCACGATGAAAAAGAATTTCCATTTTTGGTTTAATAAAATTTGGAGTGGACTTTAAATGATGATTATTATTATTATTATTATTATGAGATCAGGGCATGAGATTTTTAAAAAATTGAAGAGAAAAAAAAGGACAGGGTAGCAAAGTTTTTCCGTTGAATCTGATTATATTCCTGACACCCCCCTCCTGTAAACTCCAACAACGCATGAAGTCTAACCATAACAGTATGGATGCCCCTCCCCCCTCCCCTTGTTTGGATGTTGTGCCACAACAAAAATTACTGGTAGATATCAAAAATTGGAATAGTAAATAAATAAAAATAAATAAAATAATAAATGTTCACAACTTGTGGAAATTCACTTTTGCAATTTTTGTATTCCATCCCACTCTTTCATTCTATTTTCATCTCTCATTGCATTTGCATGATGGTTAATTTTAGTATCTTGTCTTCTCTTTTTCTCACCCATCCCTTTCCCTTTAAATGTCTAGACCCTATAAATTTCCATCATAGAGTAACTAAATTCCATGCGTTGTAGTAAGGACTAAGAAAGTAAGATTCCCATGTAAATCTACTGGAATAATTTGTGGTTGGGGGATGTATTTCACAGTAAACATTGAAAAATTGCCTTCAAAGTTCAATGAAGAATGGAAAGAAAAAATGAAATAAACTAAATACAAACAAAACCATGTTAAAGAGTGTACTAGATTCATGTACATGGAAATTACATTCAGACTACAATAATCCAGGCAATTATCCAGGTCTTGTCAATGTGGCAGAAATATCAAAATAATATTGTAATGATGTGTGTATTGAACTTTTTGAATAAATATTGCGAATAGACCAGTTTGTGACAGATTTAACAAATAATAACTGTTGTTGTTTAAATAGCACCTTAATCATTATAAGTTGGTTTATTTGGTTTTATACTTGTAGTTGACCAAAGTGCTTATTTTCTAACCAGTGCTAACTGTAGTAGCAGGGCTTAAATTAATCCAAGGCCATGGCCGTGGATGCCCTTTTGATTGGCCTCAATGCCCCTTTCATTGGCCTTGGAGATTTGTTGTGTACTTTCCAATTCTTCCTATTTGTTCTGTAATATAGGAATGTGCCCTACAAAAAAGTGGTCTTGCCCTAAAAATATTGAAATTTAAGGCCTGTACTAGTATAATAAATTCTTTCAGAAATTCTTCAAGAGGGCCTTTGCTTTGTTTTTCTTTGCAGACTCCACTACCCTTCCCACAGATGTCAACCGAGCCAACGATTGCTCCACAGACGATGGGGAAGATGCTGAGGAGAAGGCTAGGCTAATATGTCAGGTCCTGGAACTACAGAATACTCTAGATGGTAAATGGAAATCTCTTATGTACAAGGTTCCACACACATTTTGTTTCACAGGGACTCTGGATTTAGTTTGTTATGGTCTATATACATGTGAATGCATTGGTTGATTTGGATCCTGGTTGAATTTGGACATTTTAAGATTTTGGGGTGAATATTTTTGGGTTCATGTGTTACAGTCTGAGTCGTGAAGTATGAAGTACAAGCAATGTACATGTACAATGTAAGATACAGGAGGGGTTAACATGAATTTATATGAAAAGATGGGGTTTTGGGAACTTGCACAGAGCGAGGGAGTAACGTTCAAAGGATAGAGAGGAAGAAAAGAAAGAGAATTGCAAAATTGTTAGGGGACAGTAGACAATGCATACCATACGTTGTACGTGTCTGTTGCACGTGACAATTTATTCACAGGATCAGGGCTGAGTATGAATTATATGTCACCTCAAAATTGTGTATGAAGAGCAGGTCACCAGGGCCCTGTTGCACAAAATTTACGATTGATGGGAATTTTGCCATCAATGGTAACTGCCATGGAAACCTTGATTTTGATTGGCTGGTGAGCCCTGTTACCATGGTACTTGCCATTGATGGCAAAGTTACCATTAATGGTAAGTTTTATGCAACAGGGCCCAGCATTTAAGATTATTAGTATCTCGCTATTATTCAAGTAAAGTCAAAGAAATATAATGATAAGTTTTGGGGTCCTCACCATACCTGAACATGAGGTTAAAGGTACTATGTCCCATTTGCAGGCCAAAAAAATGAAAAGGTTAAATTCCAACTGCATTTGAAAGATATTACTAATTTAGAACTTCCCTAAAAATGGTGGGGCTTGAAAATGTCTTCAAGTGGGAAAATAACGACTATTAGTTGTCAAATGGACTTTAGGGCTATAGAGCCCAAAAGTACTAGTCTTGATTTTCAGACAATTGTAACGAATGGTAATACGTTTTATGCTGCGCAAAGATTCAATCAGTTTAATCTTGGCCATGACAAGAAGTGGGTTATTGATGTAGACAAATGCTCATGTACCCTTTACAACTCTTTTCATGTATGTTATTACCAAAGAAGAAAAAAAGCCAGTCAGTCACTCAATAGTGTCTGACAGTGAAGTCTAGCAAGTAAACGGGTTTCCTTGCATAATTTGAATATGAGGACACTGCTAACGTTTAAATTTCACAGATAGGACATATATGACATATTCATAATTCCTGCAAAGTTCTACAGCATTTGAGGTTGGCTGCAAAAGGGATATAGTACCTTTAACCCAACTTTTTGAATGCTTTTGATTTGCAGACCTCTCTCTCCGAGTAGACAAAGTGAAAGAAGAAAACTTGAAGCTCAAATCCGAGAACCAGGTCCTAGGCCAGTACATCGAGAACCTCATGTCAGCCTCCAGCATGTTCCAGTCAACATCGCCCAAAAACAAGAAGAAGTAAGTTTGCGTTGGGTACTCAGGAATCTGAAAATTAATTATGAACCCAGTGCACCATTTCAACCCCTTCTGTACTCTGTAAAGTACATAGAGACATGTGTTATAAATGCACTATACCAAAAACGTTTAATTATTTATTATTAATGTGACAAATATATGAACCAACACAGTAATTTTCTAAGTGATGCCATAGTCCAACGTTTAAATATTTTATTTTACGAGGGAAATTCTGAATTTGGAGTTGAATATATATTGAATGGGGATATGTGTTCAGTATGTGTTTATCGATTTGTGATAATTGCGGTCTCATGCGATGAGTTTCATGTATCTCGTATATGCATGTGTTTGTGCCCCTAAGAGAATGCAAGCAATGGGCACACGCACAGAATAGTGGTGAACGGTCTAATGCACTTTGTACGCAAAAACATATAGGATTGAGTGTCACTTGATAGACTTTTCAGCCGATTCATGTAAGATGGTCCCTAAGTAAATACCCTGTTTTATAGTAAAACATTATTAAACGGAAGTAGACATTTTGACTAATGCACTGTCCGTTGAGATCCATGAGGCCCTAGCTCTTATCAATTTAAATAGACTTGAATTAATGCTTGTTTGAATATCATGTAATGATTTGTACATCACACTGACACTTTCATATGATTATATTTACCATAGACACTCATTCATGTTAATTATTCTCCTTAAGGTATATTATTGAGAGCAAACAAATGGCTGGTATCATATCAGAAGGAAAATCTTAAAAGATTACTTTCCCTGTTGCAAACAAAATAAAATATTTTCAGCATATATATTGATATATCAAGTGAGCATTTTCCTCAGCAAAATATTCAATATAATAATTCAAGGAAAGATCTTGCCTATTAAAGTTGCCTCTATTTTGAAGACCCCTAGATTCTGCTTTGAGATGGGAAGACATGTTTGAGGGTCCTTGGGGAGTATAAGTTCAGCGATAAGAATTCAGTATCGACAATTGAGTTGATTCAAGATTGATAAGTGAATTGACAGCTGCACCATCTGCTTTGATTGCAGTAGATTATTAAAACTGTCGTTAAGTGGGAAAATAATGACTATTAGTTGTCAAATTGACTTAAGTGCTACCAAGTCAGTACCGGTAAGTAATAGTCTGATTTTCAGATTTTCAGGCTATTGTACTGAATGGTTGTACGTTTTGTGCTGCACAGAGATTCAATCAGTTTAACTTTGGCCATTTAAGAAGTGGGTTATTGATGTAGACAAATGCTCATGTACCCTTTACAGCTCATTTTATGTATGTTATTACCAAAGAAGAACAGAAGCCAGTCAGTCACTCAATAGTGTCTTACAGTGAAGTCTAGCAAGTAAACGGATTTCCTTGCATAATTTGAATATGAGGACACTGCTAACGTTCAAATTTCACAGATAGGACATACATTACATGCAGCGTGTTTCTATTAGTTATACTGAATTTATCTGTTTATAATGTTCTCCAGAAAATAGCGTATAATGCCAGGGAAGGGCAGTTTCTATCTACGCGCATTATCCGGATTAAAAGAATGCTCCGATTACACGGGTTAAAAGGCTGTGAAAAAAAGTTCATCGTACTCTGGCTAATGTCACCGCAAAGTATTATGGGACTGCTACTGTAGGTCAACCTGGGATTTTAGTGTCGCGCGCGTCGGGGTGAAATATTCCAATCACGTGAACGTGATCGCTTCGATTTTCGGTTTCTCTCCGCTATGTGCACTCAATCGGAACGTTGTGAGATTCTACTTACGTTATCCGGTTAGCTGTCCCTGCATTATCCTTTTAAAAGATCTCACGGCCATTATCCGGATAATAGCGGAGAAAGTCAGTTTCTATTACGCAAAATTTATCCCTTATTGGCCATTAACTGGATAATGGCTTCTAATAGAAACACGCTGATATTCGTAATTCCTGCAAAGTTCTACAGAATTTGATGATGGCTGCAAAAGGGACATAGTATCTTTTAAATTTCTGTCTATCTGAATTTGCTATTTGTTTCATGTTTTTTCCTCGTATTCAACCTTACCGGTATTCCTCCTTATTGTTTTCTTCCTTACCAGGTCAGGGGGCAAAGGCAAGAAGTCGGACAAGTGAGATAGTCTGCTGCCCTCTCAAGTTAACATCTCATTCTCATCAGATAATAGGGTGTCTGACCTGTGTGCAATGGCTTACTTGGGACAAGTACATGTTTCATGACTAAGGTGTTCTTCATTTGTGTGATATCATTCATGTAGGTACAGAGTGAGAATGTGTTGCATATTATAACTGCAGTATAATTCTCTTTTTCACTGATTTCTTTGTCGTTTATGCTCTTACATGTAACGTCTCCCTTTAAAAAAAGGGACAACATGTGTTGACTTTAAAAGAAATGTGATTCTTCCTTTTTCTGAAATTTCTTTATCCGTATTATGTATGTTGTATGCAAATGTGAAAGTTTACTTCAAAATGTGGGGAATTACTTTATGGCCTTGATGTATTCTTCTGGATTTAAAGATTCTTTGTAGATACACTCTTTATTGTAATTCAAGGAACTCTAGTAATTCTTTTTGATCGTTTAATGATCTTGATGGTGTGTGTCTCTGTAATTTAGTACTGGCAATTAATCCTCAAGAATTGATGAAAATCCCTGATATAGACCACATTACTTCAGGAGATTAATTTGGATTTACAAACTCAGTATAACTCAGTATAACTTTAATTTGCCATCCTCTGAAGAATTTCTGGTTCTAACAATCTTTTTATTGAACTTGCTGCTACATGTGAGTTGGGAAGGATACACAGTCAAACCTGTCTAATAAGGCCACCCCATTGAAACAGTAAAAGTGGCCACAGTGTAAACATAGGTGGCCTTCCTAGACAGGTTCTACAACAAACGTTTTGTTCTCAAGGGAGACAAAGTGCATGGCCTCTGTAGACAGGTGGCCTTTATAGACAGGTGGCCACTAAGACAGGTTTGACTGTTCATCTGGTGTACGTACATGCAAGAGCTTCTTGCATTATATAGCTTATAACAATATTTGGGAACATGATTTTAAAAAAAAATAGTTTTGTTAATGAAAACATAGACATATTTAATGAAAGATATATTTTATAGAACAATCTAGTCACTATAACAGCCCAAATTTAGAAAATATTTGATGACGTCTTTGAATGAAGATGTACTTTAAAACAAAAATAATATGATATACAGCATGGGAGGTGATCGTGATGAAATAATTCATTTTGGCTACAGACTTTAAGTTAAGTTTGGTCTGTTGTGCTGCAAATTAGGATAGTAATTGCGCAAAAAATATAAAGATCCAGTTCTTTTCATATAGCCATGATAAATGACTTCCCCTTTGAATTTCTTCTTAATGTACAAGTTGCCACTTTAGAAATGTCTGCCAACCATTTTGTCTAAATTCTATGCATGAGTTCTCACTAGTTCATTTGAATGAAAATGGAAATTATGAATTATTGCATTTTTCTAGAAATGTCACTTAATCTTTCTGTGTCTTCATTTTACAATGACTGTTGATTGTACTATACATGTAGCTTGTAAATATCAGTAGCAAGGAACCAGTGTTTGATATTTGGGTATTCATTGCCATGAAATTAAATTACGATATTAGACTACATGTAGATGCATATATGTGTGAATGATCCGGCAAATATCGTGCTCTGCCTCTTTATAATTATAATTTTTTTGATTTGTGTATAAAAAATATGTAACAATAAACATTTGAAGATTGTGTTTAAAGAAAGATGGGAATATAATGTACATTACATGTTATTACATGTTGGTTCCAAGAAAGTAACCTCGGCCAAAACATTAAAATGACTAGAAGAATTTGATGAGTTTTAAATGTGTATCTCAAGGTATTTGAAGCTGTTTTGCAAAACTGTACAGGAATATGTGAAAACAAATGCACCCAAGTTACTATTCATTCATCATTTAAACCATGAACTATTGTCAATTGTACAATATTGTAAGAGGCTTACAGTGTACATGTGTGCAGGCTACTAAAGTGTGCTAAAACACTGTATACAGTCAAACTAGCAGAAGTTGAATCAACTGGGACCAAATAATTAAACTGGAAATGACAAGATTTGTTTTTAATTATTCGGAACTACACTTCTTTGGCCTTTTAGGCAGAATCAATTTTTTTTTACCTCTTCTGTGTTTTTCATTGTTTCAATGGGTCCCCATTAAAAAAATGGAAAAATAATATCTAAAGAATACATGTAGTTGTAAAATAAAGTTTATAAATCTGCTTTTATAGAAATGGAAAAGGAAAATTATGATGTTCTTTGGAGCATTGATGTTTTGGTTTTTTGCCTTTTGCAAAATGGACTTGTGTGAATTAAGGTGTCAAATAGAGGAAAAGCAAATTGTCAAGTTGTATTTAATATCTTCTGAATTATTGTTTCATTTTTGGTGCATTTACCTTATGGATTCAATGGCATAAGTTATATTTTCAGCAATAAGTGTATACTGAGTAATATTTGAATAAATGAGTAGAAAAATACTACAAGACGAAAAATAGAACTGCAGATATTTCTAGTATGATAGCTTTTTTGAGAAGTATCCTTCACCCATCTATATAATCTTTCATTTTCTCATTAGTATACATCCATCTTTACCATTAATTTTGGTGTTTTCCCAGTGGTAGATAAATAGATATCGCATACAAAGTGTACTAGTAGTTGATCTGTATAAAGGGATAAGTGATTAGCAAAACAATTTTCTTTTAAACACATTCTCTTGCAATAGAACTGCATAGCAGGTACTACAAAACATGATAATTAAATGTAGGAGTATTTAATCTTACAGGCTAACATAACCAGTTGCTATAAGCTTTTTATCTTGCCATGTTACCAGTTATGCATTACTTAAATGACTGATATATTCTGTACTTACCAATACACTGTTGTACGACAGATTAACACTTTATAAATTTAGGAAATAACAGTTTTATATAATATGCTCAGAGAAACAGTTTCATGGACGCAACCAGGAATAGGTAAAAAGGATGACTAAAAACAGAATTAATTTATAAGTAAGTCAAATGGATTGTCTATTGAATTTTTTTGTTGCTGATGAATTATGCATCGTAAATATGAATATGTAAAAGAATGTGTTTCGTAAAGCCTGCCTCATGTTCAAAATAATGTATTAGAAATGAATGTATACAAACTATATGTTTGTAAAGAAGCTGTTACAATTTTTTTTCTAACTAGCTGTATTGTATTGGCTCTGTTTGGTTGTAACTTGTAAGATTTTCCATTGTCTAATGTGATATAATGATTCATTGCTTGATTCAAAGTGAAAACAGTCAATTTATTGGAACATATTCGACCAAACCAAGGGATGTGCAGTGATGATAATTTCAGAAAGTTGCACTTTATTTATAACATGAAATGGGTACTTAAAGCCCCACTGCACTACTTATAGCTACTTGCGACCTCTATATAGCAAACAATGCCTAAGTGGTGACCATGCCCTTTTTCTGATGTTAATTGAGAGCCGATTTAATGAGATAACCACCTGTTGTTGACCATGCAGGGAGGTCTAATCCCTCCCGGCCAAACTAGTGCAGATAGGCTTTAAGGTACTTACTTAATATTCATAAATTTCTTTATGAGGTGACAATCTTGATTCCTAGTATTTTTAAATTACCTTGGCCAAAGCATAGCTGTCTGTAAAAATTTTTTTGACAAAGCCACTGGAATTGATGTATAACGGATACACATTTACAACACCTGGGTCATTTTTCAGGAGAGGCAATGATAGATGAAATGCCTTATCCGAGGACAGAACTATATATGGCAAGGATTCAAACTCACATGCCCATATTCTACTCAAATTTAACCCGCTCTGGGCTTAAGGTCTTGTTCAAAATGGGTTTTATCAAAAAAAGTTAAGTCTGGGGTCTAAATTTCCTTTGTCAAACTTGACCCTAGACCCAGGGTCAGATTTAACTGAATTAGTAGAATACAGACCACAATGTTTTTATTGAAATGAACCACTATGCCATAGAGCATCCTTTCAACGCTTTTTAAATGCAGTTGGGTGGTAGCTGATTCTAAGTGGATGGGTCTAACGAAAACGGCTCGGTTTCTCTCAAACTGCACTTTCCTTCATGACCATTTAGGGTTTTTTTTTTAAAGGAGGAAGGCTGCTAGCCTCCCCCACCCAAGTTAATTATTTACCATTACTGCTTCACTTTTATAGACATATTGATATTGACAATGGTTAAAAATCTGATAAACAGCAATTTTGGCAAGGGCCTGCAATCAGTGATGTTCTCTTTTCATTGTGATTATCTTGTATCTTAGAATTGATGATTTATTTCAAAAGCTGAATTTTGATTTTTCATCACAAAAGCTGTATCTATAATTATGTAAATAGTGTAAATGAATGCTTTAAATGTGGAGCAACACTTATTTATATGTGAATATTACTTTTTATATGTTAGTATGGCAAATGGTTTTACGTGTAAACTTAAATTACTCAATTTTGTATTAATCTTGTTGTGACTGACATTCCTTCTTACGTTATTGTTTTTATTCCTGAAGATTATGTTGTGTGTTAAATAGTGCTGCAGTCGCAGTCCTTATGTTGTTTAATTACAGTGAATAGTGTAGGAGCTCTGCCACTTTGTTATTATTGGGTCATATTTCAACTTGAAGTTATTAATTACCCTTATTACATTCAGCATGGCAAAGATTGATCATGTATGAACTCAGAGATTGCTCTTGTGTGAAAGAGGACTAGTTTAAGATTCCTGGAGACCCCAAACAATGTAAAGGGACCAAATTATGCTTTGTCTTTGATATTTTAAACAATGCGGACCGTGAAACAAAAAACAAACACCTAATTTCACTACAAGGGGCTGACTAGCTTATTGCAATTCCTGAAATCTTCAATGAACATTGCGTTTTTATTAACCCATACAGGAAATGGATGGTTCATTTATAAAGCCGAGAGGAATGGAAGAATACAATACAGATAGAGTAAATGCCTAATTGTTTGTATACCACCAGACACTTTTATACAAGGAGAAAGACTTTGAAGGAAACATGAAAAGTGGTCATTATAGGCAGTTGGTCTTTACGCACAGGCTCCTTTAGTACATGTTTCAGTGAGAACTGATTTTCAAGGGAAATGCAAAATGTGGTCTTCATAGACTGATGGTTTTCTATACAGGTGGTTGTTAAAGCAGGTATGACTGTGAGATCATTTTCAGGATCATGTTCTAGTACCGTAGTTATTTATGTACACTGTGAAATGCAATCGTATAGCGTAAATTGAATTATGATTTTTCTATGTTTATTTGTGGTGCTATTAGACCCAAGTAATCTCACTTGGATTATGAAATGAGTTTCTTTTGCTCAAACCTTACTACCACTTTTCTTGTTCTTACATTTAACTAGACATGATTATATTGTTGTACCTAGGTGACTATTCATTTTAAAATGAAATAATGCAAGTTCATTTTCCTTTGCTGAAACTGTTATGTGTATTGAAATCAGAGGAATACATTTTATTCCAAGCTGCTTGTGCATTAGTTTATTTTGCTATGCTCGAATTGACAGGTTTTAGTACCGTAAGTAAAGATGTTTTTATTTAGTTTGAGTTATTATTATTATATAATGGTTTGTGTTTTGAGATTTTACCAGAAATTATATGCTTGTAAAAATATAGCCGTGTCCAATCTTTACATCATTACTTTATGTGGTTGTTTTCCTCCACAGTTTACTGAAGGGTTAATAATATTTGAAGTAAAAATCCTGAGTACCTGTTTTCTTATTGACAAATAATCAATATTGTAAATTAGTATTCAAAGGGTAAAATAAATCATGATTTTTGCGTATTTCTTAAATGTAATGGGATTTTTTTTTCTTCAAAAGTGCCGGTTTAGGTTCTACCCATGAGGTTGATACCTTTTCAAGATTGGAAACCTGAGCAATAAAAAATGACATGATAAATTCTTAACTCAGCATTTAAAGGATACACAAACTAAGAAGTCTTGAAGAAAACTGTTGTAACTTTGTCCCAAATGTTGACATTTCTTCACACCGCTTTTCAAACTGAAAACTAATCCGGTCTCCTCTGTATTCATATGTAGACATTTATAGGTGTTCAATGTGTAGCGAAGTAAGCTAAGAGTCTAATAGATATATTGTATTTCATTGACATAGATAATAACTTAAGAAATTTATATAGTCTGCTGTACTTGTGTGGGCTTGCAAGGTAGATAAAACAGAAATGAATAAAATCGGATTTGCCTATATCTTAATTGCTGACAATGTTATTGTAGTGTTCATTTCATGCTATGTGTGTGATATCTATGCAAGAGTGGATACAAACAAATGAAAGAGAGTGGATGTATCCTTTCAGCATATACAGTCCTAAGTACAGGTTGAAGGCCTAGTCTTTCCTATCCTATGTATGTTAAAGGTATGCTCTACTTCTTCTTCTTCTTCTTCTTCTTCTTCTTCTTCTTCTTCTTCTTCTTCTTCTTCTTTTTCTTCTTCTTCTTCTCCTTCTTCTTTTCTTCTTCTCCTTCTTCTCCTCCTCTTCTTCTTCTTCTCCTTCTTCTTCTTCTTCTTCTTCTTCTTCTTCTTCTTCTTCTTCTTCTTCTTCTTCTTCTTCTTCTTCTTCTTCTTCTTCTTCTCCTTCTCCTTCTTCTCCTTCTTCTTCTTCTTCTTCTTCTTCTTCTTCTTCTTCTTCTTCTTCTTCTTCTTTTTCTTCCTCCTCTTCCTCTTCTTCTCAATATCCTTAATATTGTTTTACATCATCTTTATTATCATCAACATTGTTGTATATCTTTAATCATCATCATCATCATCATCATCATCATGTACTTTAATTGTTATTAAAATGATTATCATTATACTGTTGTTATGATTATAATTATTATAAAAACTTTTAAAATTACTATTATTATTATTGTTATTATTTGTATTAACATTATCGATATTATTATTATTATCAGTAGTAGTAGTATTATCATTTTCATTGTCATCATCTTTATCATTATTATTATCTCTATTATCATTATCAATACCATAAAGTCATTATTGTTTTCTTTAATTTCTTGAATAAAGACTACTCAGGAGGGTGGATAAAAAATTCCAAGATATTCTCAATTTCGTTGCTGATATCTTGAAAAGACAGCACACTTTGGTGAGTGAAAAGGTAGAATTCACAATTTCAATTTGTACTAAGTTTATTGTTGTCATTTTCTTTGGTTTTATAGACTGTACAGATATGGTTGAATGATCGGAAATAGGTTCGGTAGAGAAAAGTAATTCTATAACGGTCCCACTAGTTCAAATATAATGTTCGTTTGGATGAACACGCGTCTTCATTTTTTGTCTCGCCTGTATAGCAAAAGCTGAATCCAGGGAGCTCCGCCGCCGAAGCCGTCCCCTGGCCTTCGGCGGCGGAGCTCCCTGGAGTTGAGCAAAAGCGAGACATAGCAGGCGCCGCTTATCCGGTGGCTGCGGCGGTGGCGGCGTCGGTGGCGGTGGCGGGGGGCAGCGGCGCCAACATCAATATTTTTAATACAATTTTAAATGTGTAAGTTCTTAATCTTAATCCTAATCCATGAAACTTGAACATAACTTATAAGGGATATCGGCGCTAGTGTAGCAAGGTATCCAAAATATAGCCTACTAAAACAGACCTCAAATTTTAGACCCCAAATTTCGTGTTTATCATTATCTCTAGGGTTAGGGTTAGGGTTAGGGTTAGGGTTAGGGTTAGGGTTCTAGGGTTAGGGTTAGGGTTAGGGTTAGGGTTAGGGTAATGATGACCACAAAATTTGGGGTCTGAAATTTGGGGTCTGTTTTAGTAGGCTATATTTTGGATACCTTGCTACACTAGCACCGGGGGCTCGTTCCTAGAAACCAACGACAAGACAGTCATAACTTTATCCGCCAACTACGGAGATGTCTCTGATCTTCCTAAACCGTTTCACGAAGAGCTTACTAGCTAGTATCTCGTGAGATCGATATTATCGGCGAGAAGAGGAGCCGAGAATTAGCCTTAGTCGCAATACCACCAGATTATTACAAAATTAATATTAGGGAAAATGCAATTATTTAAATGAATTAGTAATAAAAAAGATTAAAAATGATACCAAGAAATAAGAGATCCAATATACTTCCAAATTTGTGTAGATTAAACAATTGAAGTACTTGTAAAATATAATTGTGAGTTTTTCATTACATGACCAGTGAATCAGTTTTGTTGTTGAGATGGGCACCCCCCGAATATTTTCATTTGATAGTTTATAAAAATACACCCTTATATTATTCTTTGAAAAAATACGATGTAATGAAATTTGTGTTCAATGTTTTTGGCGTCAGCACAATATAAAAATTACAAAACTTCGATATTTCAAACGTTAAAACATTATGTTTAAACCATTCACTTTGCATAATTGAAAATAAAATTCATCTCGAAATTAATATGGGTCTGAAAACTAAAGAATACACTTCAAACTATGGCTTGCCTGCCGTGGCAAAATACATATCCCTTCGATGAGTTTACAATGTGGAAATAAAGGCGTATAATCAGTTTATTTAAGTGGGAAAATCCTTAAATACAAACATGGCATATTTTCATGAGATTATCAAATACAAAAAACGATAATTCACTGTTTAAGTGAATGTGTAGAAAAATCATAGTTGGAGGATTTATTGTCCTTTTTTGCCAGCCATAGTCTACCCAATAAATGACATGTGATGGCGCTGCCCATCGACTAAATAGTTATGACAGAGATACGACGGTGTCAGAGGTGTCATAACTCCTTAGTCAGGATGTTGTCGTTGATCTTGGCAAAGAGGGCTTGGTGAAACACGTAGCGGACAAGTTGTTCACTAACGCTGATTTAGTCAAGAAGTTAGACTTATGACGGTTTGTAGGAACGGGCCCCAGGATATCAAGTATCATCAATGATAAGATTAGTCTTTGAAGTGACAAAGTCAAGGTCAAAAGTCATTTCAGGTCTGCAAACTCAGACTTTGTTGTGCCTTGTGGCATCAAGATTTTGAATTATTTTCGGCATAATTTCAAAAGTGTTTGTTCAAATTCTTCTGAAACTTCTACCCAAGGGTTATCAAGTATCACGAATCATATGACACAAATTCCAGATCACAAAGTTGATCAAAGACGATTAGTTTCACTATCAAGTATCATTTTCACGATTTTGAGAAAAATATAGATCTAGATCTAGACGAGTTCGGTACGTAATTCTCTGGGATGCGAAATGCAAATGTACAAAAGTGAGAATACAAATTATACAAAAACTTTAAAAAGCTGATTATAAACATTAAATCACAAATCATTAAACTATAACATATAAATAAGAGAGGTAAGAATGTTACACACCGTTTTCCATAGTCGATTCATACTACCGGTAGTCTTTTCTTAGGATACCGTCATACCTTTGGGGCCTATGTGCATTATTATTCCCTCTCTAATTACTTCTTCCAAATTATATTTTCAATATCAAATCAATTATATAACAAGTATTTTAGAGACTCTAGAATAAAAACTGGCTGAGAAAAGGCATTTTGCCTAAAATTTCTCGTCACAATAAACAAAAAAGTACGTATTGATAAACTATCACTTTACGGTATCCTTCAACTAACTTTTGATTCGACTGTCAAAAAAAAAAACACTCACAGGTTTTTCTTCAATTTAAGAATCTTTACAGAAATATGCAAATCATTTGATGATGTAAATATGATAATGACACTATTTATTATTTATTTTAGGAGAATTTATATGTACATGTATATTTTTTTTTTTTCTTTTTGAACAATTTTAGCGCCAAAACTTGTTTTGGGTTATTCTTCATAAATCAAATGGATCGTGACAAACACTATCTTCTTGAGCTGCTAGTATCGCGATATATCGATTTCATGTCTGTCATGGCTTTGTGAAACGGTTTATCCACTTCATGACATCTCCGTAGGTCGGCGACAAAGATATGACTGTCATGGAGTTGGTTTCGAGAAACGGCCCCCCGGTTTTCGGCCACTTAAGACAAAATCCTATTTTTTGGACCCTTTACTTCCTATTTATTATCATTTCTTGTTCAAATCATTAAGCAAATATTATTATTATTATTTAAACAAAAAAAGAATCCCAGAAAAAATCATGAATTGCCATGACAATATTCATTTCAATTTTCACTGTTTTGGAGCCGGTTATCGACCTAGCGAGTCAGTTTACGACCGCATGTACAAAGTCAATAGGAAGCGCGTGCCGTGCGCCGTGCGTTTCCGCGATGATCTATAGCACAAGCGGGCGGAGCAGGTATCCCTGCGCCGGAGCTCCCCGGTGCTCGCTTGGTCGAAAACTAGCACTGCGGTGATCGGAAATTGGAATCTGAATTAGACGGACATATCGTGTGTGCGTCGCGGTGTTCGGCTGCATTGATTTAATACATGCGATGAGATACTTTTGAGCTTGCGACTAACACAAAATCGGGCTCTAAATCTGAAAAATACTTGAAATAAAGCTCATTTTATGGTAGGCCTACCGATATTTCTTACAGACACGCGTAAGATACTCGATTTTTCAGATTTGGGTAGCGGGACCGCCATTTACATCTCTAAAATGTGATATTTTAGGATATATTTTCCATTGCAAATGTGGTTCTTCAGTGACTCTGGCATGGTATAGTATGTGTGGGATATGTGTTATGCTATTATGCGATGTATTTTAAATGGATTTTATCATGCATCCAACGGATCGGACGAAAACTGGAACTAGTCGATTACTCCCTCCTTTACTCTATATGAGAATTAATAAATTAATTTTTTATTTTTATTTGTTCATATTTCATGAAAGATATCAATCTTGGTATAAATGATAGTAAATAATACTTCTGATTCTGATTCTTAGTAAATATTCACTTCAAATGCTGACTATTTTCAGAGAATTTCATTTCAGGGGCCTGCTAATGGGCCACCCTGCCTATAAATAGTGTCCCAACCTCAATTTTTCATCATATCATATCAAATTGCTGCATATACCTCCATATAAACTTTATACTTAAGGTATATTGTGTTTTTGCTGTTCTTTTCATGTTTTCATGCATTCCTCTTTTTCTTCCTTCCCTTTTCAATTAGACCTAACAACAACGTAACCGGTAAGGTGTCACAAATTTCAAATTTACAAGCTGGCAAGTGACAAGTTAATTTTTAAAAAGGGCCAATGCGACTTGACTGTTGACAAGGCTCACCAGCTGAACAAAAATTTCTGAAATTCCATGTTTTTTTTTCTCATACTCAATCTCTCTTTTTTCTCTTCATTTTCCTCTATGACCTATACAGTACGCAAGTGTATGTTGAAGATGCCTTCCAATGGCTTGGTTTCTCATCATCCGATCATCCAGTTCAGGAACTGTCGCATCCTCCATCAGCGTCGGATCATCCGAGACGACCTGTGGGTGAGAAATGGGGAGATCCTGAATCCAAGAAAGCTTTTCTGGGAGGAGAAAGGCTATGCTGATCACCAGATAGATTGCCAGAATGCCATCATTGTTCCTGGCTACATTGATGTGCAAATCAATGGTGAGAGCAGTTATCTGTAGTGTAGTTTCTTATTTTAAAGTTCCCCTCTAATCAAAGCGGGCTTAAAGTTGAAAAAGAGACATGTAGAAAACATTTTGACTGGAGATTCCGAATATGACAATGATTTTTCTTAGAAATCATCAATAATTCTTGAAACTACATGTAGCTCTAAAAATGATGACTCAGACCGCTTGAAAAAAAAGCCCAGTTTCCAAGAGCTGTATTGCACAAATTATAATTTCATTGCAGGAGACAACATTGGCATTATACACAACATAACTTAGCACTTGAATGGAGATTCCTTACTATAAGTTCTATAACATACCAAAAATCAACTAAATCTTCAACAATTGTTCAAATAATGTCCATGATTTAAAAGTTGTTATCGTTCCTATCTGTTTCATGTCAATTTTCTTATATTTTTAGGAGTAATTTTTCTAAAAACAAAGACATTAGTATACATACACTTTCTCACAGGTTTCACGGCAAACCGCTGCACAATATAAGTATAACGACGATGGGGTGCAGGCGCACGCGCACGCGCGTGAGTGAAGTAATTGACTGTAATCTCAAATCCTCATTAAAGTCATGCAAGTAATTCACATTATTAATTGATGATGATCACTACACCGGGGTTTCCCCCTACCCTTATACAAATAGTGCAGTGGGTTCTTGACATGCAATTGTGGTGACTCTCCTCTACACGGGGCCTCCATTTAACGTCCTATCCGAGGGACGGAGTGTTTACCACTTAACGTAGCCTGGGTCTATGAAACAAGGGGAGGGGCACGTAAACACACAACGCAAGCTTTAGTCATCCACCTGGCTTGGATTTGAACCCAAGATCTTTGGTTTGACAGGCAGACCCTCTACCGACTGAGCCAACTCGCCTCCTCGCAAGATCCCTACGTAAAACTGCAAACTGTTGGGCATTTGGGCTTAGATTTTGGGCGCCCATGTGTCCCAGGCGCATGTTAGTAATAATCATGCCTTGATTTATCTTTTCTTTTCTTGATACCAGGTGGTTTCGGTTATGACTTTTCCTCTGAGCCAGAGCTTGTGTCGGAGGGAATCCAGAAGGTCGCTCAAGGCATCCTGTCTCATGGGGTCACCTCTTTCTGCCCCACCCTTATCACTTCATCCCCAGATACATACAGAAAGGTGGGTTAACATTCCAATAGCATGTTCAGACTTAAGGAAATCTATACCAAACTTGTTCAAAGAAACGTTGTATAAACAATCATTGTATAGTGGAAGAGGCGTATAAAATGGGTCACAACATTGTATAAAAAAACATTTAAAGAAACTAGTTTTGAAGAGGTCAGCTGACATGGCAGCTGGCCAATTATCTGCGTGCTCTCACCTCTTTGATAAGCCCGCCCATTTTTATGCTTTTTGTCGATACAATGTTCAAATTAGAATGGGACCCTTGTCCTTTATCAGCTTTCTTTTGAAATGATACAATACAAGATACAAGATACAAGATATTTTATTTGGTCTTTGCAAACAAGTTACATAGAAAATTGTTTTCCACTGGCGTTACAGTCATATTCAACAAAATACATAATTACAAGAAATAAATACATCACGTTTATAGAATGAAATAGATGAAATAAGGAACAAATACATGCAAAAGATAATGAAGCGACAAAAATGGTCATTGGTACATGCACTTCAAATCATGAGTTTCAGAATTAAGCCTTGGCCATTGGTATTTCAAATCGTACAATTAAATTCCGACGCAGAAGTTTAACGTTTAACCTGTGAGTTGAATTTATGAACAGAGTCGGGTACAAATGAATATCTGAATCGTGAAAGCCGGGTTGGGGTGGGGCGAATTCGGATACCAGAACAATTAAATGAATAAAATAAATGAAGTGGATGGGTATTGTCTTTCATGATTGCACAGACCTTATCAACAATTTGCTCAGTACAATGAGACTCGACAGAAGCTAATTCTACCCCAATTATGCGTTGTGCTATTTTACGTGGCCTTTCCAATTTCTTCTTGTCATTTTTTAAGAGATTGCCAAATGAATATGTAATATTGAAAAGATGCACATTCACCATGCAATGATCAGACTAGATTATAAACTATTTACATATTGTATAGGTTGGAGAGAAGGAGAGCATATTTTAATGGATAAGAGTGTGTGAGTACTGTCATCACTGAAGGAGGAGTCCTTGCCTTTGATTGTGAATGTTCAAATGCAACACAGCAGCAGCAGCAGAGCGGTATTGATAACAATCACAATGTTGTATCTACCATCAGCAATACGTTTATCGTCATGATCATCATCATCACGTTGTCGTCGTCATCATCATCATCATCCCTCTCCTCGACATCAGTGTTGCCCTCATAATTATCATCTTCAACAAGATCATCATCGTTGTTATCATCAGCGTCACAATCAACATCACCATTATCATCAACATTATCACCATACTCATCATCTTCATCACCATCATCATCATCATCATGTACACTGTTTCTTGGTAAGATTATATTGAAGCTGACATACGGCCTGCTCATTAAAGAGAGATATGTTTTTATGTTGTAATTTGATTGTTTTTCTTCCCCTCAAATCTTTTTATAATTTAGATTATACCACAGATACACAAAACAGAGGGGTCAAACAAAGGGGCTGGTGTATTAGGTAAGATTTAATTATTTTCTTAATATTCATGTTTTTAAATTATTTGGTCATGCTCCCTTTGTCAATCAAGCAGTAATGTTTTCAACTCCAACTTTCAAATTGTTAGACTTCAAGATCAATTTAAAAATTAAAAAGCAGTTACATTGTATTACATGATAGAAGGTACTAATAATTTCTGAAAGTAATTTTTGATACATGGATACAGAGGGAGACTGTTAAAGAATTAACCAACCATCAAGTCATTTTAACCTGATGATAAATGAATTATGTCATTGCTATATGGTTTAAAGGGGCTGTAGCATGGGAAATACTTGTTGACGCCATCTACGTCTTCTTTTGGACAACTGCACGTAAACTAATGGACTTGATTAACTGGGTCAGCGCGCTAGCGTTCGCGAAACAGACCAAAGTTCTCCTTACGCTTCGGTTTCGCGTATGTTGCACGCACATGAATATGTAGGCCTACTGCGGTCGCGTCGTCCGTAGTCGTAATATATCCGATTTTTCCCGAGTTGGCCTCGGGAAAGATGCATAATCTCGTGTGCTACAGCCTCGTTAATACAGGAACCACCAGGTTCATGTATGCAGCGGGTTAAAGTTTAAATCAATCTTATTATCTGTTCTTAGAGTGCAAGAGAAAAGTTTCAAGTCGTGTTGTAAGTCAGTGCTATTCTCTCTTGCAAGGCATTAATCTACATTCCTGCACTCTATCCAGGTGGAGTAAGTGGGTGCCTGGGAGGAATTCATGCCTGTAATGCGTGTAGTGCCTCGGAACAGCTGGGCTTAAGCCCAAGTAATCATAGATTTTTGTAGGCACTTCGAGCAGCCCCCGGGTTAGATTTATGCGCAATATAAAAGTAGCTATATTCTATTTTATAATTTTGTTTATATTGCTTTTTTTATATTTTTTATTCTGATGATTGCAAGACAAAGACAAAAGTTTTTAAAAAGTGTCTTGAATTATTGCTATTCTCAAAAATATGCCCATGGCCATGTAACTTATTCCACCTCCATCCATTTCCAGGTCTACATTTAGAAGGGCCCTTCATCAGCGTAGAGAAAAGAGGGGCACATCCCCAGCACCTGGTCCACCCCCTCTCTGGCGGCACACAGGACCTCTTTGATGTCTACAGTAATCTGGATGATGTCGCCATAGTAACGCTAGCTCCGGAGCTGATTAACGCCAAGGCCGCGGTGCAGGAGCTAGTAAAGAGAGGCATTACTGTGTCAGTAGGTGAGTAACATAATGATGGTGGCAGCAGAAAGTACAGTCAAACCTGTCTATAGCGACAACCCAAGGGAAACACAAAATGTTGCCTTTGTAGACAGGTGGTCACTAAAGCAGGTTTGACTGTATCTTTTCAGAGCCTGAATAGTCTTAACTCTGTGTTAAAGTACATGAGTTGGCTCCAAACAGATTAAATGTTGAAGTCAAGTGGTTTGATCACTGGACTGGGGATGGGAGAGTCATGGGTTCAAGACATGGTATGGCACTTAAACTTTTTGGCCCAAATTCACAAAGGAGGTTCAAATTTAACCCATGGTTTAAACCCTCATTTACATAACCCATGGTTTAAAATGAGCTCAAATTAAGCGTACCTTGCCTTGAGCGTGTCTAATATTAGACCTTTGACTGCGATTATTTTGCGCTAATTTTAGACCATAGGTTATGTAAATGAGGACTTAAACCATGGGTTAATTGTATACCTCCTTAAACTGCATTGCTCTCCATGGGTACATGTTAAAGGGGAAGACCACCCTGAAATTAAGTTAGTTTTAATAGGAGTAGAAAAATGAGAGAAACAAGTCAGTGAAAGTTTGAGCAAATTCCGATTAAAAATAAGGAAGTTAGGATTTTTGAAGTTGTGATCAATCAAACACAAATTGGCAACTCTATGACGTATCATGCGAGCTCAACTTCCATTTGCTCAGTACTAAAAAAATCTAAAATTTTCATTTTCCCTCAAGAAAAATTTCAACCATACATGCACCCTAAATATAATAATTGCAAATATGTTTCTATACTCCCCCTGCAAGGAACAAATATATATTTCGTCATCAATAACGAAGAAAACATGATTTTATGGAATATTATGCACAAAGCAAATGAAGGAGAGCTCGTATAATAAGTCACAGAGTTGCCAATTTGTATTTGATTGATCACAACTTCAATAATTCATAACTTTCTTATTTTCATTCTGAATTTGCTCAAACTTTCACTCACCTGATTTTCTTATTATTCTGCCTCTATCGAAACAAACTTATTTTGGGGGTGGACTTTCCCTTTAAAGTTGCATGTCAGTGTGGTTGGATTAGCATTCAATGCAGAGTGCAGTAGAACAGTGTAATATTATGAGCATAGGGTGAGGATTCCATCATTTGAATCAGTAGGTAGACACGTTATCAAACAATGATTCATTGATTCCATTCATGGTGCACCTATAGGCGCATTTATACTGTCAAATACCTCATTTTGAAAAGTCGCGATGTTTCGTGCACCCGGTTACACTTGTGCTGAAACATCACCGACGGAGCTGTTCAGCGATGTTTTGGCGTGTTTCGGTTGGTAATGCGCATGTGCAGTCTTCCCGACCTTTGACCCCGACCTGCTTTAAGATTTTTAGCGCGCGCAATTTCCAGCTAGCGCTATAGCTAGCTAAATAGCGATACATCCCATGCACATGCATGCGATATGTTTTGTTTATCTCGCGTGTAGTATTTGAGGCAAGAGTGGATAAGTTACGAAGTACGGACTACGGCTGCTGATTCAGTTTTCCCAAATTCAATCGAAATCTAGTAGTAAAAACGATATGGGAAGGTTAAGAAAATCATCGTTGTTAATTGTTAATTTCATGCTTTCACTCATTTCTCTGAAGCCCTTTTCCCCACGTTTGCAGGGACGCTTGGAAGTCTGGTGGAGGAGCTCTCCCTGCCTCCACATCGAAATCAAGAACTTCATCTCATCATCAGTCCAATGGGAATTGTTCACTTCCATATTAATTAATCTAACAAAACACTCAAATACTACTACTAGACAGATATGGCCAGACGGGAATAACGAAGATTGAATAAAGGATGAGTTAACGGAATTGGAACAAACGGAGCTGAATGAACGGATAACACGCGCGACGATGGAAATGCTATAAATATCACACGGGAAGAACGTGGTTTAAAAGAGCGCGGGTAACAATCCGGAAGTGCCGGAAGTCACGTGCCTAACATCGCGATGTTACAACTGCGAGCGGTTATACTTGCCAAACACGCCAAAACACGCCAAAACACGCCAAAAGATCACACTTCGTTTTGGAATGTTTGGGGCTTGGCATGTCTGCCGGTAAAGCGTAGTTGCCCTTGGTAACATCGCGGCCAGGCTCCGGTTTGGCATTTTTTGGCGTGTTTGGATGACAGTGTAACTGCCCCTTATGTTGAACTGGGCCCCATTTCACAAAACTTGTCATCAGTGACAAATGACAGTTTTTGTTATAAGCTAGTGAAATCCTTGCTTCTGATTGGTTATCAGCAGATTTGTCACTGATTTTTGTCACTTGTCATTTGAAAAAAGGGTTTGTGAAACGGGTCCCTGGTGCAACAATTCGAGGGGCAATATAGTTATTCTGCTTTTGCTCTTTCGTTCAGGTCATTCTACGGCTAATCTATGTATAGCAGAAGAGTCTGTCAATGCTGGTGCTTCATTCATCACTCATCTCTTCAATGCAATGCTTCCAGTAAGTTGACCCCCCCCCCCCCCAGAGAACATGCTTAAACCAAACTAGTCAACGCATCAGTCTAAATATACATGTATATGTAAAAATAAATGTACATTTTAATACAGAGCATTTGAACAGGGGTATCAGAGCTGGCATCATACAATGAATATCAGAATCTGATCAAGTTACAGATATTATTGATACCATGCCTTATTTTGTAAATTACTTTTGTACTTTGATCCTTAGCATTTTGCCATGTTAATCCAATGGAGATGATCTGATTATATAAAACATGTATTTTAAATAGGTTTGATCCTCGTCCATGTGGGCTTTTTATTTATTGGATTATTTGATGCAAGCTATTAAAGGAAATCATGTGCACAGTGAAGTAGTGAGTTTGAAAATTTGTAGACGACAATAAACAATTCAAAACTTTTATTTTCACTTGTTAATGCTCACATGATTTTATTCATCTTTGCATAGTTCCATCACAGAGATCCAGGTATAGTGGGTCTTCTGGCAAGCAATGCGATCAACCGTTGTGTGTACTACGGAGTGATTGCCGATGGTATCCATACTCACCCAGCAGCTCTGCGTATAGCCTTCCAGACACATCCCGATGGTAACTAAACTCAAGACTCTTTTATTGATAAGGATAATAGCTCACTTTTATAATGCACCTAATACTTTGTTTCTAGGCGCAGTTCATATTATTACCCCGGTTATTGGATTCAGGCTCACCCTCACACAATGTAGCACATTCTCCACTCCCTAGGGAGCATTCCAGCCAGGCGCCATTTTACAAGCGCCACTTGCTCATCCAACCACCTTAACTTTCGCATCCTACCGGGTACCCATTTAACACCTGGGTGGAGAGTGGCAAATGTAGATTAACGTCTTGCCAAAGGACATTAGTACCGCTGTGGGACTCGAACCCTGCACCTTGTGATCTTCAGTCAGGTGACTTATCCACTAGATTACAACACTTCTACACTACTTACCAAAGCGTTTTCATCTTCATTGTTTCTCTCCGCTCAGGTGTTGAATGGATACCTAATAGGATGCGAGAATCATTGTAGTTTGCTCAGCATTGTGAGCGTCTCTAAAAATGACGCCTGGCTGGAGTGCTCCCCAGGGAATGGAGAATGTGCATACATTGTGTGTGGGCAAGCCTGAATCCAATGACTGGGGTGATAATATAGCTGTAGAGTGATTTAGATATTTAAAGCGCTGTATAATCCCAGAATAAAATTATTATATTATTACCAGTTGATGAAATTGTTTAGTTGTGCAGCCCTTCTGGTTAAGGCTTTATTTCTGTAGGACTGCTTGGAAGGTTCACAAGACAATAGGCTTTTTTTGTATTGTGGACCTTCTAATTACTGCTTCACGAAAGACCCGAATTAGATGAGATACCAAGTACAGTGTAGAAGGTTTTAATCTTTTGGACTTTCTGATCAAAATTGTTTATGGTTCACAGGTCCAATTGTTGAATCCAGTGGATATGTGGTTTATATAAAACTTAATTCTGGACATTTCCTCTTCTGTGTTGCATCCATTTGTCTTGTCTCAGCTAACTGGTCAAATTAAAGTAAATAATTTTTTTTTTTTTTTTTTTTTTTGGGGGGGGGAGTCAATATGCAGCCAAGCCATGCTTATGTAAAATTTAACAATGAAAATATTTTGACTGTTGCTAAAATGGTATTACCATACATACTTGTGTTACTCTCTATGATATGGTGGGGATTCAAACCTTGTATCCGTAGATCTATAATGTGCAGTTTGGTAACTTATCTACTAGATCATGACACATCTAATTTATTGCGCTTTAATCAACAGGGGTTGTCTTAGTAACGGATGCCCTGTCTGCGCTGGGATTACCACCTGGCAGGCATCAACTTGGCACACAACAGCTGGATGTTAGGGACAATGCTGCTTACGTGGCTGGTACCAACACTCTCAGTGGAAGGTAAGAACTGTTATATACGCTCTATGAACACCTCCTCATGTTTCTCTTCCATTGGTTGTCATGGTAGTGGATGCCTTATCTGCAATAGGATGACAGTCAGTTCATTGTCAGGGCAGGTGGATGTTCTGCTTGATATGACCACACCCCTTCTCCTCTATCACTATTTTATGTGATCGTCATGTAATTCATCTCAGTATTCATTGGCTCTATTAAAATGTTAAGTAAAATGTATTGTGAACAGAAAACTGGTAACAAATAGCCTGCCTTTGTCATGATATTTGATGAGAGAGACAGGAAAATTATTCATCAACCAACTAGCCAACCCACCTACAGGCCTGGGACATTTTAACATGATTTATTCTTTTAACTACTCACTTCCTTTATATTAAAGCCTGTTGGCACTAGTTTGGTCAGGAGGGATTAGATCTCCAAGCATGTTCACTGACATGTGGTTATCTCATCAAATCAGCTCTCAATTAACATAAAAAAAGGGATCATGGGGGACCAACGGGTACCACTTAGGCATTGTTTGCTATATAGAGGGTGCAAGTAGCTACAAGTAGTGCAGTCCTGCTCTTATGTTGATGTCTTGACTAAATAAAAACTACTTGATACTTTTTCTTTTAATTCCAGCATCGCCACCATGTCATCTTGTGTCAAGTTCTTACAAGGAGCAACCCGTTGCACCACCGTAGAGGCTGTCGAAGCTGCAACTCTTCACCCTGCCCAGCTCCTAGGAATCACAGAGAGAAAAGGAACTCTAGACTATGGCACTGATGCGGATTTCTTATTTGTAGATGAGGATTTAAATGTTAAAAGGACTTATATCGCTGGTGAAATGGTCTGGGACTCCAAAACAGGTTTCAGGAATAAATCAAGCTAGCATGTACTGTATGTATTAACCAAGCACACTGTATCCTTTGCCATATGTGCTAAATCTTATTGAATACTTATTGTTTTATTACTGAAATGAATGCACACTGTGTGCATGAAAGTACTTCGTATTATGTATATCGATATCTATATGTATATATGTAGGCATGAGGAATCATGGTACTAGAGAACACAGATGTAGCTCAACTTTCACTTTATTTGAGCAAGCTTTTGGCTTTGTAATCTCAGAAATGGATGATTGCCCTTCTGTCCTCAAAATGATAGAAATAGTAGATACTCACGTGCAATTGATCCGCTGCAGTCTCTATCTACAGTTTATGCAAACAAGATACAAGCCAAACCAACAATATCATTATCTTGCCATAACCTGGATTGTTGGTCCTTACAAATATCCCAAACTAGAATATGAACTAGAGATGGTGGTAGGCAGGTTTGTTAGGAAAATATTTTGGATAATGAGGTGCCTTAATTAGTGGAGCTAGGTTAAATGAGAGATGAAGATATATCAGATGATATTGAGCTTTAGTTTCATGTTTATGTCTGTCTTGCTTTGCGCTTTGTGAGCAATTATTATATCTCGTACATGTGTACACCCCCCGGAAAATTTTAAAAAGTGCACATTTTTGTTAATAGCAACATGTGTACATGTTCATATCAATCACACAAATCGTTCTTAACAAATCGATCACCAGAACAATGAAAATTTAGAAAAACACAGCGAAGTTGACCATGATTGCAAATTTTATGAAATTTGTGCAGACAAATGAAAATTGGCATAGTGTGCTATTGTGCAATGTGATCTCATGTGTATGTCTGAGGCACACACCATTTCATTTCATTTATGTTCCACATTCCAGTAAAGAATTCTCAAGATATCTGCCTCTCCCCACACAGTAATTAATGCCTGGCTATCTTCTTGAGTCCAAAGAAACGCAATGTTTTCCACCATTTTATTTTAATTCAGCGCGTGTCAACCTAGTGTCGGGGTCAAATATTCCAATCACGTGATCATTCCTATTTCCGGTTTCTCCCCGGTATGTGCACTCAATCGGAACGGGGTTTGTTTCTACTTTTATGTACATTGTCCGGTTAGCTTCCCTTATCCCCTATCGGCCATTAACCGGATACTGGCTTTAGATAGAAACAAGGCCGCTTAGCATAGTAGGATCTATAGCTGTACATCTAGACATTGAGCTCGAGTACATTCTGCATATCCAAACCCTTTCCTTATTGAGCCCGAGGCCAAGGTAGAATGAGAAGTCCAAGACTGTAGAGACACGGCAGAAGAGAACTTTTGAGTCTTGGACTAAAGGTCTATTCGGTGGATACGACTCGAGGTCCACTCCATCTCTGAGTCTGACTCTGTCAAAAGAAAAATGAAATTAAGAAAAAATGATAAAATAGAGCTCTGGATTGAAGGGGCATACTCCCGACTTTCTTAAGGCTCCCTCCAGATTAGTGCTTATGAGCCCGCACAGATCATATCTGGTGATTGAACATCCTGGATGCTCAGCTAGAAAGTATGTGCACTATCTGTTGAAATGGGCCTGGTACTGCTCAGAGGGCATTTCTTAAAAGGAGGGAATTCTTCTTCTTAGTCTCTTTGGAGATGCGCTGGATAGGTGTCCTTTGCTGTAGCAAGAACACTCATCATTTCGGGTGATTGTCGCTTCAGGGAATGGGTGTTTGCTAGATAGGTTCCATCCGGATTGCCAACGTTCCGCAAAGAGGACATTTTAGTGGGGCGTGGGAAGTCTTCTTGGTCTCGCAGATGCGCTGGATAGGTATCCATCCGGATTGCTAACGTTCCACACAGAGGAAATTGTGGGGGGGCATGGGAAGTCTTCTTCTTGGTCTCGCAGATGCGCTGGATAGGTATCCATCCGGATTGCCAACGTTCCGCAAAGAGGACATGTTAGTGGGGCGTGGAATATCTTGTTCTTGGTCTCGCAGATGCGCTGGATAGGTATCCATCCTGATTGCCAACGTTCCGCAAAGAGGACATTTTAGTGGGCGTGGGAAGTCTTCTTGGTCTCGCAGATGCGCTGGATAGGTATCAATCCGGATTGCCAACGTTCCGCAAAGAGGACATTTTAGTGGGGCGTGGAATATCTTCTTTTTGGTCTTGCAGATGCGCTGGATAGGTATCCATCCTGATTGCCAACGTTCCGCAAAGAGGACATTTTAGTGGGCGTGGGAAGTCTTCTTGGTCTCGCAGATGCGCTGGATAGGTATCAATCCGGATTGCCAACGTTCCGCAAAGAGGACATTTTAGTGGGGCTTGGGAAGTCTTCCTTTTTGGTCTCGCAGATGCGCTGGATAGGTATCCATCCGGATTGCCAACGTTCCGCAAAGAGGACATTTTAGTGGGGCGTGGGAAGTCTTCTTGGTCTCGCAGATGCGCTGGATAGGTATCCATCCGGATTGCCAACGTTCCGCACAGAGGACATTTTAGTGGGGCGTGGGAAGTCTTCTTCTTGGTCTCGCAGATGTGCTGGATAGGTGTCCTAAGAGTGGAAGGAATAAAAATATATTATATGGTTGATACATGAAGGTGAATGTTATTTATTGTCTTCACAGGCAGTTCTATATACTCTGCCATTTCAATGATGTATGTGTAAACAAGTATTACATTTATCTCATTTTAATAGTAGGTAGGGAATTAAACCATTATAAAAACATGATACTGATAAGTGATTGTGTAATTTGTAAAGGAAACATGACCTGTTGAATTAACAGAATTATAGAAGATCAAGAAATTATGTTTGAAACTTCCAGGTGCCCAAGGACTAGCTAAAAGCTGGTTTGTGCTGGCATTTGAAATATGAATAATACAGATCTGCCAAGTAAGCAATATATTTTCATTATCTTCTGTGACATGCACTACACAATAAACAGTCCTACATTTGTACTTGGTACGTACCTTCTATCCCTATCTTGCTGTTAGGCACCAAATCACCATTATCACCAACACCATCCATTCACATAGCATTTTGATTTCAATGAGCCATTTCACAATTACAATTATACAATAAGTATATTAGTGAGCTTGCATTTCTTATGATTACATTAGATCATGTATTCATTTGGTGGTCCTCCACATTCAGGACAAGGTCCATTGACACAGACTTGAGAGTTTAGGGGGTTGAGAAGCATTAATTTGGCTCTCGCTTTCATGTGTCACATCTGCTGCCATTCCTACTACTTGGTATAATATTGTAAACAATTTGTGTGTCCTGTATCAATAATTATCATTTGAAATTCTTTGGCAAACTTCACAATTGTTGCATAATCAGTGCCCAATGTACTTACTAGTCAATCTCAGTGTAAATTGACTAATTTCCTGCGCAAAATAGTCCCGCAAAACAAATACAACATGGATTTTTCGGATACATTGGCAAGTACGTTCCCCTCGGTATTAGACGTTGACAAACGACTTCAAGTACCTCAGGAAACTAATTTGCCCGGTCCCATCAACCTTGTTTTAACGATCGAGAGTTTACTGCATTGCCTATATCAACCCTCAAACCATGTTATATTTGGATGATAACTTTTTAGTCCTGTTTGTTCATTTCTTTTACTTCGTTTGAAAGCGACTGCCCTACTATTGATGTTGGTCCATGTGGATATTTCTTCATGGTGACGGCTGTAGATTATGCTTGATGAAAAGAATAATATATCATGATGCTTGGTTCAATCAGGTATGATCGGAATGGGTGCATGGGACTAGACGTGGTTGTTGGGCAGAGGTTGCTTCCAGCTAGAGCAAGAGTATATCAAACATTTCTGACAAACTTTATATGACGTACGACTGGAGGTATAAACAAAGACTGTGGTCTGGGTGAACTGCAGGGATCTCGAAGTTGGGCGTGGATCGGAGCTTGGGTGTGTAAGTAATAGTTGAAGATCATAGTTAATGTGGCTGATGAACATGAAGAATCCTGTTTCGTGTCCTTTACTCATAACAATAAGGGCGCCGCCTGTGATTTTATCACGATGTTAAAATGCCGAGTACAAAAGTGCAGCAAGAAATTCCTTGTGGAATCCCTTGTACACTGCTTGTTTTTCTGTGTGATTGCGCAGCATCTTCTTGGGCAATTAAGTATTAGGATGTCCATCTGTTGGAGGGGCATGAGTCCGCTGTGCTGGGTGCACATGCGGCTTAAAGAGAAGGTTGAATACTACATTTAAAGCACTTTCCATTGATAATATTATTACCTTTTGTTCATCTCTGTCTCAACCTGCATGTAGTCAAGATGGATGATTCAAGAAAAGCAGGACATGAGTTAGCAAATACCCATGCAAGGTTGCATGCATACATGTACATAATTTCCATCAGTCCATTACATTTTATCTTCATTCTTCGGCACGGGCGTATCCTTCGACGCCCTCCTCGTTCTAGATGTGGCCTTTGTTATTATCGACCTAGGCTTCTTCACCGAAGCTTTCGCTGTATAAGATAATGAGATGAATTCTTGGGATGCAGAGGACATTTCGGGACATTGCGTGTATATGAAGTAGCCTCCCTCGACAAGGCTGCAGTGAAGGACTTTGACACTGTCTTTGAAGGCTTCATACTCTTAGCTGTGCTAGATTTGGATTTCTCGATTAGGATGTGCTGCCGAAATAGCCATTTGCTCAGTCCTGAAAGGGAATCATAAGTATTATCATCCTAAACACTTTTGTAATACTCAATCTTGTGTTCCTCTGGAAGCTTCTGTTTGATTTGGCTCAGCATGATCCTACTGTTGAGCTCAAGTCTGCATCTTGTGTGGTCAGGGAATCGACCGCATGGCTCGCCATGTAAGGAGGAAGCATGCAAAGCTTAGCGAGGAAGAAAAAAGGGACTATAGGGAGAAAATTCTAAGAGTAAGTTATTGTACCTGTTTCGCTAACACGTATCTATAATATCATTGTATAGTTTATAGCTATCCAATCCTTAATGCTTGCTTCTCTATTTTTCTTGTGTAAGGACTTGTGATTTAGTAGAGGGATTTCCTAGTGGTGTTGCCTGTGCACCACTTCATAAACGGGGGGAGGGGTGCATTGTTTTAAACTATCAGAAGCACAAGATCACCCACATCTCAATGATGTCACTCTTCCTGTCAGGGTTTCAAAAAACTGTTCTGACGTAACCAAAGCCAACTGCCACAAAGGATTTGGTAATCTGTAATATTTCATTTTTTTAATGCAAGGACAAACCCGGTTTTAGCTAGTCCTTGGGCACCTGGAAATTTCAAGCATAATTTCTTGATCTTCTATAACTTTCTTAATTCATCAGGTCATGTTTCCTTTACAGATTATACAATCACTTATCATTATCATGTTCTGTTAATGGTTTAATTCCCTACCTAGTATTCATCCATGTACTTCAGAATTCTGAGTGCCAGGCAGAGATGATGGGCCTAGTCTCTGCTTATTCTTGTATTTTTGACTGCCAATTAAAGGAAAACGAAAATTGGTTGATTGGGTTGTTGACAGGCATCATAGACATGTGGGCTGTTGCCCAGATGCTCGATTGAAAGACACTCCTCTTCAGATGTTGATACATCTTTGGTTGGAGGAATTTTCTCCACATCCCTAGTCTTCTGTGAGAACATCCTCATTTGGACGAGGTCAACCTCATTCGGACGAGGTCAACATCATTGTCCTTATTTGATTCATACAGCCGACAGACAATTAAAGTTTGTAGCCACTTCTTTCAATCTCGCCGACGTTTTGAATGGATTGTCAACAATACTTGTGAATTGTTCCATAAGGGACGACACTTCATGCATCAACATGCAGCAGGATCATTAATCCTTGAACTTGAAGGAAGATATTCTGTCTGATCCTGTGAATTCGTGGAAAAGGGCCATGGCCTTGGGTGTTATTTTCAACTGTATGATTCTACTTTCTCAAAGAAACAAAAATATATATAAACATCAATACTACAAATAACATACCAATTTAATACTTTAGCTTTAATATTATTGTTTATCAGTTTCTCAATTTGAGTTGGAGACAAAAAAACTAGCTGGATGTAGAGACGAACCTGTTCGATTTTTCTGACTCTGGTATTTATTGGCCCTGACTTTCATGTTGGCCCATTTCGTCTTTACATCGGATGCACTCCTCTCCATCCCGCACTGGAGCCTTAGCACCTCAGCACACTTCCCCCAGTACTTCGCCTTCCTGGATTCGACCTGAACAGTACAAATGTTTGCAGTCAAAATTTGTCACTTTACTTTGTTATGAAGAAGTAGTCTTGTTTTTTTTTAAAGAAAAAGACTACTTGTAAAGTAGCCACTAAAAATGAAGTAACTGATGGAAAAAATAATTCTGATCAAAGTCTACACAGGTTTCTTCTTATCACAGCAGACATGTGTTGTTGAGCCCATTAGCAACTAGAGATTTTGTAAAAAATGGCCTACTTATTACTCACTGGCAGATATTGCAATATTGCTCTCATTTTGACATTGTTCTGAACAATATGAAATAACTCCTTACACGTTTATTTCTGTACATTACAAGTTTTATTTGAGGACACCCAAGCACTTCAGTTCATCACCTGCAGTCCCTTCACCCCTAAGGAGTGCCTGCAAAACTCTTTGTTCAGTTTCGTTGAGCATTCCTAGGAAAGACCGTAGCATCGTATCTTTGGACACTGTAGAGTTCAAGGCAGCAGTCAAAGTGGCTTTGTTGAACTGTATAGGCCAGTATACCAGAAGAACATAGGCATGACAGAGAAAATGGTGTATCACATGTTTATTTTTTGACAAATTTTTGTTGACTTTTGACCTTTAAAAAGTTTGATATTCATGTATAATACAAACAAAACAGACACATTTTTTATACAAAATAAAACAAAATAAATGCAAGAGTTGTTTTGCTTTCCAATAAATATGGAATAGATTTGAAAAATCAACAAACAAACAAGTAATATATGTAGTCTCAACTCAAGACCTTGAGTTTTCTGGGTAGCGACATATCAATGTATGACATCACAAGTTTGGGTAAGAAATTCCTATGAAATAAAGTGTAGTTTTTTATATTGCATCATGTGAAAACGTTAGTTTACCGATAACTACAAACACACACACACACAAACCCACCCACCCACACACATACACAAATACACAATGCATGTGTAATACTTACAATACATATCAACAATATCAATTGTTCCCATTGCACAGAATATGGAATCCATATTCTAAAATAAGCACAAGTGTTCTGAAAATTCCCAGTGTTCTTGAAAATATCCATGGATGTGTTCAATACTTTGTTATGATAATTCAAACATTATGCCACTCATTGAAGCTCATTTGGCGGCACATATTCAGCCGACATCCTGTGTAGCCAAATTTGGTCTGGATTCTATCCACGTATGGTGCTCTCCTTCCAGCTTGCTTGCACATGACACAGATTTTCTTCCTATCAGCAAAGGCCACAAGACTATAGCCAGGAACAATGTTCTTGGCCACAAACTTCTCGATGGGACGCTGTCCATCGGCACTCGATCACCGCTTTCATGAAGTAAAACCATCCCCAAGCTGATGGAGAATGGCCAACTTGAACACTTTGAGGGACCAACTCCTTCTGTTCTTTGGATGGGGTCTTGTTGATAACTCCCACAAGATGTAGGCATTGAGGATAGCTATATTCAAGAGCCCCCAGAAAAGTACTGCCACCTTCTTCCCGTTCTCCCAACATCGTAGTAGCTACGGAGTTGATCTGCATGGTCAACATCTCCCATCCGCGCCTATTTTAATCAGTGATGACCGAAGGAATGGAGATGATTTCCTCTCGCCTGAAGTTGGTCCGCTGCTTCTCAACATAACTTCCATCGTTGTTTGTGGATAGCATGTACACATCCTTGTTGTTCTTCCATTTCGTCACCATGATGTTGGCCTTCACCCACTTGACAGTGTCATACTTATGCAGCCTCATGTTGGGCAGTTCACGGGGGACTTCAATCCGATTGCTCCTGAGTGCACCCCAGAAGTATGTGTCAACTTGGAGGAGGTCTGCAGCTAGCGGCAACAAAGAAAAGAAATTCCCTGTATAGACAGTATGGTTGCTCAGAAGATATCTGTTCATCAGCCCCATGACAACTGTGTAGCAAAGGCCAAACTCCTGCACAAGTAGGGCATTTATTCCACATCCTGTATACACTTGGAAAGCTAGACAGTATGCAGTTGCTGAATCACAAAGGCACCACAGTTTTATGCCCCACTTTATAGTTGGTTTCTTGGGCATATATTGCTTCCAAGACAGTCTTCCGTTGTATTTTATCATGGCTTCATCGATGGAGAGTGACCGTCCTGGTACAAACATGTTTGGGAAATTCTCCTGGAGTATATTGACCAAGTTCCTGACCATTTGAATTTTGTCATTTTCGTCATGGTCTTCACGGATATTGCTACAGTGAAAGTAAGGACAAAGTTTCTTGTACCTGTTCTTTGTCATCAGCTTTGATATGAACTCATTTCTCAGAGCCTGATCTTGGGACCAGCAGTCCAGGTATTTGGATGTTTTGTTGATTCCCATTAGAATGTTGATCACCACGTATGCTTTCACTTCATCAGCATTGGTAGGAGTCCATGAAGGAGCTGAAGAAGCGTACTCATTTTCTTCGTTCGGTTCTACTGGGGGTCTTTTTGTGGCTGCATATATGTTAGTATTTCTCACTAAAACCTCGAAGAAATCTTGTCCAACAACATAAAGAACCTCTCTGCTGCATCAATGATTTCAGATAGGCTTTTAGTTTTAGGCCTATGTTCCCTGATAAGAATAACTATTGACTGAGAAGTACTATTGAAAAACTGTTCCATTAACAACAGCTCAACAACATGCTCATATGTCGGCTCAAATCCAGCCAATTTCAACCAATTTTCAAAATAACTGTGTTCTGGTTATGAACTTAACAGGTGATTCCCCATTCTCGGGTCTAGCGCTACAAAATTTCTTCCTAGATCCTTCACCGTTTAAATCAAACCTCTCTAGAAGCGCCTTCTTCACCAGATAAATCACTATGTGCCATGTAGTTTGCTAGTCTTCTCCACTTACCGGGAGACAGTCTGTCCCTTACATGTACTTACCGAATCTACCATGAAGTAACTTTCTAATGACCTTCCACCAGTTGCCTCACCTTTGGCTTGATGCTTTTTTGTCTTAATATGCTTCTGTAGTAACCTGAATCCCTGTGACTTGCTCCCAACTGTTCTGCCTGCTCGAAAGGAGCCCAGGTCCTTACCGACCACTCCTTCAGTCCGGTAGTGGATAAAAACATTTTCTTACACACTGGCTTTCTTGGTTGCTTGGATATGGGAGGAGGAGCTCGGCAACTACGAACCAATATAGAATGGATTTGTTGCACATGACAACCACAAGTTACGCCTAGTAAGAGACAGTGCATAAAATCCACAGGAAAACCCCAACAAACGGGAAGTTCTGGTAGATTAATCAATGGACCGGGTCCTTTCACTCCCTTAACAGGTCTATTCTCCTGAATTGACAGAATCATGTCTTGTAACATTTCATCATCGGTGCGATCATTATATTTGCATACATCAATAGGATATTTAACAGTTCGTTCAACTACTTTTTGTGGGTGATAGCAAAGACCACAGCCATAGGGACCATTAAACCCAATGGTGTTTTGCATGGAGGAACGTGCAGGGTATCAGCACAACAACAAAGACCAAAGAGTTTACTTCGGACCTCATCGTCGCCTCATTTCCAAGAAATACCTTCTTCAGCCAATCCTTTTGCTTTCTTTACAAATTGCTCTAAGAAAATCTCCATTTTGGGTTCACTCTTTCCACACCAGATACCTGCGAGTAATAAGTTATTATGTCGGAGCGTAGGAGCTAATTCATTTATCATTAAGAATATTGGCCACGTAGAAAATCGGGGAGACTTGAATACAGGACATCCATCAGTGTTGAAAGTATATGAGAAATTTTTGTCATAGCCCAATAATTCTTCATCAGCCATCCTTTTCTTATAAATATCTCCATCATATATATCTTCAATTTTTTCAGGGGACAATTTATTCCTATTTCTCCAATGTGAAAGATGTGCTGTTGTATCTGGTCTCTAAAAAAGTGACTTTACTTTTGTGAGAAGTTCTGCTGTAATGAAGAAATTTTGTTGACACAAATTATTCACAGCACAAAGGTGACTGCAGTGTGGACATAACAGATTGTCTTCTGTAAGCACATTGTATGACTTCACATAGGCATAGCACGAGACACAATAGAAATGGAAGGTTAATTCTAATTCTTGGTTTGAGAATACTTTTTTGAAATTCCCATCAACATGACCAAACAAAGTGTTTATAGGTTCACACAGTTGGATAGCAGCTATGGATGAAAGACAGTGTCTCATCACAAATGACAATATCATTAAAATTGCCTCAGCCTTTCTAGTTTGTGTCCCGTTGAAAAGAAGCTCGTAGTACCTCCTCACAAATACTTTGTCAGGCCACACATCCAGGTCGTACATATCCTCAACATTCTTGCAGACGAATGAGATGTGAAAGGACCCAAATCTGGCTCTCCCTGATGCTATTTTGCGGCAAGTGACTGTTTCTTAATTTCTTCTCCACCTGTTTTTACATCCGGAAGGGGATGCAACAGTGTGGAACTGCAACGGGTGATACAGACTTTTCAATAAGTATTTTGCATTCACATGACGTTTTAGCTTGCCACCACCAGGAACGTCAGTGAGTACGTCATCGAACTCCAAGAGTAGCGAGGACACCTGTCTTTGCTCCTCGCCTGAAGTTCCTTGGCAACTTTGACGTCGTCGAACTTGGAAATAGCAGGAGAGACTCGGGAGGCAATTTCCTCTCATATCCAACTTCGTCACTGTCATTCATACCGACAATCGTATCATCTTCCTCTTCAACAACCGAAGTCGCAGCTAGTTCCAGCACTGCTGCAGTATGAACCTGGCTCACTTGGTCGTCTTCTCGTCGCAAGTACCGCCTTGAGAGATTGGCATGAAAAGTGGTGACTCTCTTGCCCAGATCAACCTTGTAATCTAGCTGTCCTTGTGTCTGTACAATATGGAAGGGGCCCTTCCAGTGCATCAGAAGCTTATTGTGGTCCGTCGGAAGAAGCACCAATACCTCGTCACCAACCTTGAACGACCGCTTCTTCGCCTTATGTCGACGAGGTAATCTATGGATGTTTGCAAATTGCATTTTGACTATTTCATCATCACTTGTAGGCTTATTCATGAACAAAGCAATCTTCTTCTTCACAATGCCCTCCACATCCTCATTTGCGTGGTTTGCACAACATACATTAGGAGATTTTGCTTTCTCTCGTGCAATTCTGCTGCAAGTAACTTATTCGCACATTCTCGCTCTACTCTTTCAAGCTCCCTCTGTAGTTGCGGGATTCGTTCCTTCTCCAAGTCCATAATTCTGTTAGCATTGATGAGATGAATTTCCCTGTGCTTCCAACAGTTTGGCTTCAGCTGCCTGTTTATCTATTTTAATGATTTCAATCCAGAGTTTGTGCTATCTTATTTTTAGAATGTGCTCTTTCCATAAAATATCTAGTCTCACAGCTTGCTCCTCCTCTGCCAACTCCACCATCCTTTCCTCTGCTAAGCGACATCTCTTGTTTTGAGAGGGGAAACTCGACGCTCGCTTCACAGAATAATAATATAATAATAATAATAATAATAGCCTAATAGTCCACTCCAAATTTTATTAAACCGAAACGGAAATTCTTTTTGCCCAATTGATCGTGAGCCCGGCAGCCACTGAGCAGCGCCAGATCGACATTGCTCAGAAGGAGTCGTCAGAAGAGAAGTGTTGATATCTGTATTGCTGTATGGTTCAGATTCAGAATAATTTGATACATTAAATTATGTTGGATTAAATACTTTGATGAGACAAATTTCCCTGTGCTTCCATCAGCTTGGCTCAGCTGCCCATTTATCTATTTTAATAATTTCCATCCAGAGTTTGTGCTTTCTTATTTTGAGATTATGCTCTTTCCATAAAATATCTAGTCTAACAGCTTGCTCCTCCTCCGCCAATTCCACCATCCTTTCCTCTGCAAAGCGACATCTCTTGTTTTGAGAGGTGAAACTCAATGCTCGCTTCACAGAAGGAAATTATTGTATAGTTATGAATACCTTGAAAGGGGTAGTGGGGTCACAGTAGATGCACTAGGCTTGGAGGCTCGACCTTCAGACGTAACTTCGAATGAGGTTGTCCTGTTGCCACTCGCCAAAAAAGTAGTCTATATTTGTAGTCTTCTAGACTACTTTCTAATAACCAAAATGAAAAAGCTCCAAATAGTATTATTACAAACACTGAGAATGTAGTCTAGAAAGAAACGGTGTAAATTAGACTTTGCATAGGCCTTATATATAACTTATAAGAAGGAGATGCATTTTGAAATTTGACATGTGAATTTCATTTTCAGGGGAGAAAGAAGTAGACCCAAAACCAAGTCTAATTTGTATTTCTTAAGTGCAAACGTCATTATGAATGTTATCATCTTGTAGCAAATTTCATAAGCTTTCTAATGATGTATAATTTGTGGAGGTTTCAAATTACAAAGACATGAAAAAGATGATTTACTCGGAACGTTTCCACGCACGGGGCCGGGGCGCGGGCAGACACTGACCAAACAACTTTTTCAAGAAGGTACGGACCCCTACCAAGCCCAGGCCCCAGACCCAGCCCAAGGCCAGTGAAGGCAGTGTCCGATACGGCACTTTTTTCGCTTCGACAACATCAACTGGTGATGTTAAATGTGATGAGCATTACGAGAAAATGACATATGATGACATAAATGGTACCCTGGGGTACCCAAAAAAATTTGGCCATTTTGTTGAATTATTATTTTTTTTTTTAAGGCTGTACCCTGTGTTACCAAAAAGTGGGAAATTATTTTTGTGATTTTTTAACCTTCAATTGTGTCCAATGTTCTTGTAAAAAATCCTTTAAGTCCTGTATTTCTAAAATTCATTGTTGTTATGAGTAATTATTCTATTATTGATATCATTTCATGCTGTTATGATACACCCTGTATTATTATTGTGGTATAATTAAAATTATTAATTATAAATGAAAGTTCTATTTTGTGTTATGATGCTATCTGTGTACAGCAGTCATGATAATCTCATGTGTTGTGAATAAACAAATTTTCCAATTGAATAATAAAAATGAAAACATTATGAAGTGGTATTATCTTTTATTTTCTGTCTTGTCAAGAATGAGGAGAATTTCTCTACAGCACGAGATCGAGCTCTTTCAACTTTCTCGGCCCTTGTAATCTTCCGTCTTTTACGTCCTTTCCCTTTCAGTAAATCCCCGTATCCACCATCACCTTCCACCCATGGCATTTTCAAAGTTTGAAAGTTTGACAGTAACGCGCGCGTTAACTATGTCGATGATGCGATGTTTGTTTGTTGTTGTTTTTTCGAAAGAGTATACAGGTACGGTACGTACGTGCAATAACATCAAGTTCTAAAATAGCCGCGGGTCGGGACCGGACGCCGGAGCTAGCTAGCACTATAGTGTGCGATAGCCACCGTAGTGCGCTTGTGATCGTGAGCGAGCGCTATAGCGCGAGCAGTGCATGCATGCACACCATGCATAGTATACACCATAGAGATACCACGGAACTATGTACACGCACTTCATACATTGTACTCGAGTGGACGCGAGATGGCGCTACACAACGCGGTACCCCGGGGTAACGCGTGGTGCATCATATAAACCATTGAAAACTTCCTTAAATTACTCCTGTCAATAACAAAAGCCAGTATCATTGTCCTGGGATCCTTGCTTACCTTTTCCAGGGCAGTTGAGAACTGTTTTCTTTTCTTTCCTTTCTTTTCGTCGAACTTCTGTCGCACTCCAACAGGCTTGCACAATGCACGAAGTTTGCGAGGTGTCACGTGACAAGGTTTGCACACGGCGTGCTCGCCATCCACTTTCGAAAAGTTCGGAAAGCTGTTAGGAAAGTTAGCATATCGTTCGGAAAGTGTTAGGAATGTTAGGAAAGTGTTCGCAAAGCGTTAGGAAAGTGACCCAATGTTAGGAAAGGGGAAGAAGTCGGATCCGCGCTCTGTACGGCCATTGTACTCTCCGCTGCATGCTCATCTCCACGTGATTCATCGCTGTCACCTTCCAACATTTTTCTATCCTTATTCTTTCTTGTAGATCTTATATTCAATGACGCTCGAGGATCTGATTGCCCTCGGGAGAATAGTATGATTTGATGTTCCTCTGATGCGAAAAGTTTTAGCTTGTTCCGAGAATGAGTCATTGTATATTTGTTTGATATCCCTTCACCTGTATCATTCCTTGGACACTTTTGTAATAACATGTACCGTACTCACATTCACATCACACATTAAACAAAACAACAACAACAAAATTGCACAGCTGAAATGAAACAATTGAAGTAAAAACGTGTGGTGAGTAGAATGATGACAGATGAATGATGGCGGAGTTACCACCGTTTTACTTACGGTGCGGTGAAATGTATGAAATGAAGAAGACAAGACAAGACACAGACTAAACAATAAACTAACCTTATATTAGACGTAAAAGGATACAGACTGGATGCTTGTCTAGATGCTGAACAGGCTTTGACACGTAGCAGAATCCAGAAGTAGAAGTAAAAGCTCAGCTAATTAATGATGCTCAGATATAGTATAGATAGTAAAACCTCTATCCGTCGGAAGGTGACGTCAAAAGGGTAGATTCTCGTCTCTAGGCTGGAAGTTGGTTTCCCATGTGTACTCATCAGCTATCAAGATCTCGA